CCAGCAGGTATAGCACGCTGTGACACAACCGAACACCGGCCAGATACTCCTCCCTCCTTTGCTGTATGGCTTATGTTACGCAACGAAAAAGTCGACAGATTCGAGTTACCGAGCAAACACAGACACTGTATAGTTTGTAAGCAGTATATGTGCAATTACTGGACTGAAATGACCGAAGGTTGCCGTGCTTCTCGTGTTTCCAGACTTGCTCAATTGGTACAATGGACACTCGGGGTTTGGGCCGGCCGCGGTAAAAATAAATGTCCTGCCGTTCGATCCGATGATACCCCCGACACGAGAACGGAATGTTATACTGAAAAGAAGGGCCAAGAACTGCTGACCGAATGTATACCACAACCGCATCTCTGGCGAAGATTCTCAGAAGGTCCAATCGAGCCGTTAGTCAACATAACACAGCGGTTAGCTGTCTCCAAATCAACCATATACCTACCACTAAACCCGAACCCTTTCGCAAGAAAAAATTGATGTTGTTTCTGCGGCATGGTATGGTTCAAGGAAGAGAAGAGCAACCTTACAAGGATGGCACCCCTGAAAGAATGTCACGATGGAAGAGAACATCACGTCGAGCTTTGGGCCGCAAAATCTGACAGATAGAAGGGTCGAGAGTTGAGATGCAGAATGGAAGTATCGGGACGGGCGAGTGGAAGCACATTCCTAACAGAAGGCCAGAGCGGATAATTCTGGGGCAGTGCGAACGCCAGAAAATATAGATTCTAGGAGAGAGGTATTGAAGATGGATCCAGGCTATGTAAACATTTGGAAAGAGCTCGAAGAAGGACTTGAGAAGCAATACTGCAATGTAGTAGCACCATGGAATGTTAGTTACGAAGAAAGTAACCCGTGGGTCCGATTCTGGAGTGGCAGCGAGCGTAAAGGACTCGAGATACCTTATCACAAGGCACCCTACCGTCTTTGAGCAACGGCTGCTGGTATGGGGTTCCAATATTACGCTATGTTTCACAAAGACAATGATTCCGTTGCCGACATGCTCAAAACATCCACTACTTCCACTTTGATAATCGATATCTACCGTGGCCCTCGCCCAAGATATAGGTATCGTGCCATTTTGCGATATGATATCAACCGCGCATGCTGCTAACCGGTATACAACCCCACCAAGATGAAACACCACATGCCTCAATCCTGACCTCTATCAACCACAAGCTTTCCGCGGCATTTCTTAGCCATGGAGATCCGTTTCGGAAGCTCAAGCCATGCGTTTCGCGAGGAAAAGGTAATCCACGACTCCAACTGTTTGGCCTTCCGCTCGCGTTCCCGCGAAAATTTCTGTACGCTTAAATAGTGGTGCGCGGAGAAGACGCCGTGTTCGACATCTGACGTGACAGGTGAGACTTGAATGCTGAGAAAAGGCTATGCCGGCGATACACAACAACACCACGAGGTAACTCGGTGTTCGTATCACTCGCGCAACAGTTTGGTCCAGAGCCCTCCAGAGCGTTCGCGCTTTCAACACCAAGGCTCAAAAAGAACGGTAGGCTATACGAGATATCACACGACTCCGTTGGGCAATGAAAAAAGAAAAGAGTATTAATAGCAGGTGCTGTGGGGAAGGACCGAGGATGTTTGCCTTCGTTCTAGCCTCAGGTACGACTCGGGAAGACGCACGCGGGAGAAGGAAAAATAGGCGTGCTAGAGCTAGAAAAGGGTTGGTACCGTATGCAGACGTCCGTGTGCGAGAGTAACGTTTCGCAGTCCGTGATAGCCCCCTTGTTTGTGAGGTGGTGCGAGGCGAAGCGAGCGGAGTGAGGTCCGCTCTGTGAGAAGGAGAACAAAACTTGCAAGAGCAACGACAAACGAGCAAGTTCGTCATCGAACAGGAAATGTGGATTAGCTAATGAGGTGAGCATCACCAGCATCATCCATCTATCCAAGCCGTAGTAATGATGCTAGAGATCTGCGGGGACTCCGCTAGCTCCAACTCATTCCCAGCCGTGCAGCTGCGCCTCCAGTGCACCAATGACCTTGCAATCTAACCTAAACCTTCCAATGAAGACTACCAAGTCACCAAATATTTCATCCCAACCTCTTTACAGACAGAGCCGCCGTTCGTATACTGCTCAAACCAGTGCTCATCTCGGCTAAAGCTACAGCAGAAAGGCGCAGCGCGGGACCCCTGGGCGGTCGCTGACCTAGAACCTGGTCTGCCTCCCGCTTAGACCCCCGGCGAGATGCTACTGTGCGAAACGGCCGGTCGTGGTGTGGGCGTAGCTGATACAACAGCTACGCTGAAGCAGAACGGGGTGATGATAGGAATTTGCATATAGACTGGGCCTCTGCTGCGCGCATTCAGATTTTTGTCTGCCGTTTCTTTCGAGTGATTCGAAGTAATCTAATTCGTGTATACTGCTTGTAGTTGTCGCAAGTGCATATCATCAGCACCCTTTCATAACCACCAACAACAACAGCAACACCGCACTCCCCTACCCAACTACTGCTTAATCTGCATCGGCTCAATACACCAGGCCTCCAGATAACGACCAACCTGAGCGTGGTAATCATACGGCTTATTATCAAGCAACCCGCTTACATTGCGCTCAAGGCCCAGTCCTTGGTTCTGGTATGTAATCTTAGCCACCAAGCGCAAGTACCCCCGAGACAACAGCATTAACGGTCCGAACAGATACAAGAAAACCACAACTGCTGCGCCCCTTCCCCTCATCTTGGTATAAACGTCACACCGCGTGGCTTTTCCAGCGCAAGGGAATACTAAATATACAACCGACTTTCTCAATCGCTACGAGAAAAGTCCAATCACTGCAGCAAACATGTTTGCCAAACTCTCTACATCGCTTATCGCGACCCTTATCATATCAACCACACTTGCGGCGCCTACACAAACACATTGCCGATGCGAGATCGTCAATGATATCCCATCATCACCGGCTCCTGCATCAGCTGCATACACACCCTCGGCTGCTCACTGGTCGCCCGCAAATACCCTACCAAGTCCCGTGGCCGCAATAAATGTATGCGCAAGCCTAGGATCCAAACTGGAGAAGTTGCAGCACACTGAACCCGAGATCTACGACTCGTATATGCGGGGAGCAGTCAAGGATGCTCAGAAGCCATTACCAACGTCTGTGTTGATGAGCAATCCAGAAATGGAGGAAGATGATGACGCACAATCGACATCTTCGCGGCCACAAGGGAGGATACTATGTTATCAAGAAGTTCGATCATCGCCAACCGAGTTCCACAGCTCGTTTGTGGGGCTATGGGCGCTTCAAATTATCGTTGTGTCGGCGGTATTGGCTTGTGTTGCTGAGGGTGTGCATTTGGGCAAGCGATGGTAAGACACCACCCATCTTCAACTGATTGAACTGTATCACATACTAACTACATTTCCAGGATGGAGAATAAGAGCGCTCCTGAGCCAACATGCCAAAAACACAGCAGGTTACGCTTATCGGGGGCGGAAAAGCGTCTCCTAGCCATTCCTACTGGTCCCCAGCAAGCAGACTTGGTGTGCAGCCCGGGCGCGGAAAAGAAGCTACGAGCATACGAGACAACACGATACTTCGTCACGCAGGCGTCGAGCGGAAGGAGGGAGTTCATTGCATATGATGATGATAGTGATGATGAGGCAAACAGGCCTGTGATGTAGTATTACCTACATCACGGCCTTAATGAATGTATTATGTTGCACTTTCCACTTGTACATGTTTACTATGCATGCATGTTCCAGCGATGCGACAGCGTGATGTAAAGTGACGCCGTACTACACGTCCAGACGAATAACTGGGTCTTTTCTAACCGTTGCATGTCATGGGGTTTCACCCGCCATGACATTTGCGGAGAAACCTCAGCAACCTTTCTTCCATCGCTTCTCAAGAATGCCCCGCACCCCAAGTTTTGCCTAGGGAGACACGCCGGGTGCCTATGCGACAGCATCGTAACATCCTTCATCCTTCATCCACCAACCCCCCTTCCTCTTTTCGTGCATCCGAACACCCACCTCCTTCGTGTAATAATGTTTGATACAATGACATTGCACGGCAAAGTGTGCGACAAGATGTTGCGATAAGAAGAACAGTAAACCCGGTCCACAAACCGGTAAAGAGATTGGGTACCGTAAAGGAAGAGCAGAACCGCTATAGCAAACAATCTACATACAGGTCACCCGGACGATGCATCGATCCAATCGTGGCAGGGCGCAAACGGTCGAACCAGGTGGGTGGGCGCAAGGACGCACGGCCGCAATGGACGAAGTGTCGCGATCGGGAAACACATGGAAGCATCTAGTCATACCTACCAGAAAGAGAACTACTACTAATATACAAACAGTGGGGTATCGCAAGGGTGGAAAGAGGAATTAGTTGTTGCTTGGTAGTAGGAAGGTGTGTCGCTTGGAAAGAGTCAGGTCGCTCGGGTTGTCGCTATGGGCATCTCGATAGATGTCATCATGCGGAACAGAGTCCTGGTATGGGTCCATGTATTATCGTTACAAGTCATCGTAACAGGTCATCGCAGTGGGCTGATTCGCAGCTGATGGTATCGTAATGGGATAGTCGCAGAAGGGAAGAAGGTTGCTGGCATAGCATTCCAGATGGGTACCAGTATTAAGGGTTTGTTTTATCGTAGTTGGCAATGGTAAGGTTGCTAGGGTATCGCGTGGGGGTATCGTAGTCGTATTAGGGCGTTGTCGCAGTAGGCCAGGAGTCCGCATTCACATCACCAGGATGCTTGAGAACCGAGAGGTCTAGGTGGAAGCCGTACATTAGAGTTCGTATCGAGGAACTGTGGGTACAGTCGTACAGGTGAAGACCACAAGATTGGTCTCCGGGAATGGCGCGCGTAAAAGAAAACAGGAACAGGATGTCGAACGCCGTAGAGAAATGCCGTATCCAGGAAAAGCGCTAATGTGACGTCGTAAGTGTATCGTAGAAAGGACAAAGTTTTGGTTGAGGGGAGCCGCCGGATCCCGCTCGCTGAACTGGTGGAAGTCGACAGAGTCAGGCTCACATGATGGTGTGGTAACCCTTTTCGTTCATGACGTCGATCCAGAAGGCATCATGGCCCTCATCGGACTGGCGCCATGTCTCCTTGATAAGCTGAATCATCTTGCGAAGGGGCTTATTAGGTAGCCTAAGGGCGAACTCTTGCAAGCGCCTAATGACGAACTCGCGAGCACCAACAATCTCTGAGTCATTGGCCTGGACATCAAAGAAGTCAATCGATGAGACGAACTTCAGCTCAGAGGCAGCAACGACGAGCAGAAGAGGCTGAATACAGAATGTACCAGACGAAGAGGGCAGAGACTGAAGCGAGCCGATGATGTGCATCGCAAGAGAGTTGAGCCATAACTTCATGTCGGTATCCTCGTACACTGTCTCAAATCGTGGGGCTGGGAAGTCAAGGTTCATGTTGTCGGAGCCCTTAGGCTTGTCTGATCCCAAACGCTTGCGAAGAATGGAAGGGAAGACGCGGTAGATCTCCAACAAGCCAGCAAGACGATATGCCTCAGCAATGGTGACGAAGTGTTCCTTAGGAGTACGTTCATCACCCGTGTCAATGACCTGGTCAACCGATGGATAATCGACAGCTAGAAGGTCTTCTTCGAGTGATGCGGCGTTCTGAAGGTTTTCCTGTCGTCGACGGAGGTCCATAGAGGATTCACGGTCCATTGAGCGCTCCTTACGAACCAGGCGACCGACCTCAGCGAACAGGAAGTGAATCATAGGTGCGATGCCTGTCCAAGGATGAGGAACAATCTTGCCTTGTGGTCCGCGTGCAGCAGGAGTGGTCTTCTTGGAGGTGATGCTCGGTCGCAGTCCTGACTTGGGAGAGAAACTCATTGCGTCTTCTGTTACGAAGCCCATGAGCATCTCCCAATGGATCAAGGATTCCTCAAAGAACTGCGCTTCACGCTCGAACTCGATTCCTCCTGACCGGCTGAAGAGCTTAGGAAGGATCAGATCCCTTGCGAGAGATAGGTACTCTAGTCCAAGTGCGTTGCTGTCGTGCCATGATGTAGTGAGACCCAGTAGCATGATGCTCAAGAAAGTTTTGGTCGTGCTTTTGTGGTCCCTTTGTGCAAGTGGGAGCTCTGCTTCCAATGCCTCACGAGCCTTGCGCTGTAGCTCAAGGCCTGTTGCCGCCATGTTGGGGAAGGTGTTAGCCAGGTGCGCGGCAGCCATGGATTGGATCGCATAGTTGATGGAAGGACACTCCTTGTAGATGCGGCCAATGGTAGTCCGGAAAGGATTAAGAACAGAATCAAAAGAAGAAAATACACCACAAACGTCCTTGAAGTAATGCTGGACGAGCAGCGACTCTACATCATCCGGTGAGGATGGGTCTGGAGAAGGACTTGGAAGACGATACAAGTCGAGAAGCAATGAGCGCGAGAGCCTGGGGCTGGATTCCCGTGTTGAATCTCGTTCCATTGTAGGTAATGACGAGGAAGTCATGTCTTGCTTCTGTGAAAGGTCTTGCATGTCAAAGGTAAGGTCCTCCAGTGATCCAGAGTCGAAGTCGATGGTCTCAAATGGGTCGAAGTTGAAGTCTTCGTTGGGCATTTGCATAGCATCGGCGAATCCGTCAAGCATGATAGGATCCATGTTGTTAACATCCTCCATGGGGAAGGGCTCGTACTCGCGGGGAGAGTCACCATCCTCGGTAGAGGACTCGTGTATTGAGGCTGGTTCCTCGAAGCTCGGTGGAGATGGGATTGCTGATGAAGTCTGTGTTGTTGAGAGTTGCTGTGTAGGGGTGATGTTCTTCCTGCCTGCAGGGAGTACGGCAGCCAACGCAGCCTCTATGCCGCTGGCGACATTTTGGGGAAGGGGAGATTTGGCAGCCGTAGGGACAGCAGAGGTGGCGTCAGGTGTCGATCTAGGCCTAGGAGAGGTGGACTTGGACTGGGCAGGGTTGAAGACTTCATACTTTGTCGACCATTTCAGAGTCTTCTCGTAGCCAGGGCATGCGACGTTCCTTTTCTTGCACTGCAAGCAACCGGGAGCGGTCTCGTCACACTTGAGCTTTACTATTGTTAGCAAGTGGCCAACACGGTAGGCAAAGACGTAGGATTCTTACCCTCTTGAGCTTGCATCGACCACATCCGTTCCTGGATTTGGTCTTTTTAGCCTTCAGATCTCTCGCCAAAACCTTGTCTTGAGCCAGTGTGGGCATGTTGAGAACGTGGGTAGACTTGGTGAGGGGGAGAGGTCTGGGAATGTCGAACGACAATGGGGTGAGATTCCCGGTGTGAAGTAACAGGACTTAAGATGCGGATCCAGACAATGCGGAAACGACCCTTCAAATGCGCGTGACGGCGCAGTGACAGACCCGATGGTTCCCTTCGCCTATCATTAGACTGGGGTGGACCAAGATAGCAGCTGATAAAAAGGTGTCGCTGGTGTGGTTAATGCAGGGAGTCCAAGCCTAGATGCCGAGCTTCGGCCTTTCAGCAGTCTAGTTTTCCCCGATGCATCCGTATCATGCATCGGAGTGAGGCTGATTGGCCAGCCACTTGAACTCGCACTGACGTTTTCCGCTTTTAAACCCCTCTATGGGAGGACGCCCGCAGAGCGGAAAAGTTGGACATGCGATGGATAGTTTATCCGCATCGCCTGGAATTATCATCTACAGCGGGCTCGTGAAGGAGATTATGGCTGAAAAAGCATCATGAGCATGTTGAGAGTCTGGAGATAAGCCTGATCAACGGCTACCCCACAATGAACCAGAAGTGGGATGAAAGAAGTGGAATTGATAACTGTGTGTGGTTAGCGCTGGCGCTTGGCTCCACTGGCGGCATCATCTTGCTTCACGATACCTCAACCCAAGATAAAGCCACGTCTGCGCGCATGCCCCATGACGATGTCGGAGCGTCAACCAAGGCAGTGTCCAGGCCAATCCGTATCAGTGCATGCACACATCGGTATGACTCTGAAGGAAGAACCGCCTTTGTGACCGCCTCGTAACGAAGGGACCTATCACACAAGCTGCCTCATGCCCTCGTAATCAAGGTGTAGCACACGAAGGTGTAGGGACCGTTATCTTTTCCAAGGAGGCTCTGCTTGATCGGCAGTTGCCAACTGCGCTACTGCACTGCTTGTCGAGTTCTTCCCTTGCTCGGCGCCAGGCTATCGGGCTCTTGTTAAGCAATTGCATATCGCTAGTGGCTTCGTGACGAGGCACGTCGCGAGCTTCTGTAGAGTTCGGCAGCCACGACTACCGAGTAGTTGATACCCCGCAAACTCGATACGATGGCGGTAAGGGTGACAAAAGCATCGTTGCAGAAATCCTGGGGTAGAAATCTGGGGACGGTGCATTCCAAAGTGCGCGATGTGTAATGCCAAGCTTGACATCGTGAGTTCTCGTCTGGGGAAGTCCTGCGCTAGAACACTAATTCCCCCGGAGATGCACGCAATGATGGCCCGTCCGCAGCTGATCGCATCCGACGGAAAATTCTTCATGATGCCGGGAGGTTGAACGACAGTATTATCTTCAGCCACGCAGCTCAACAAACGAACGATAGCATCCGGAATGTATTCCGAGACGGTTGCTGGGAGCGATAAGCCTAGAATGCTACTACTGCACGACATGCGATGGATATTTATGTCCGGCATATAGGGGCGCTTTCCGATGTCAAGATGAATAACGTGGTTCGTGTACGGCCCCATTATGACTTGACAGTATGAATCCGTGTACGTGTATGGGTGACGACGGCATACGAACGTGAGACGGAGAGGATACGACTGGACTCGGCCTGTTAGCACACTCTGTGGTTCACACCAAGACTGCTATAGTCATGTATCACCAAAGACAACACATGCTGCGCGAGTGATGCCATTGCTGCCTCATTTGTGTAAAAGTTTTAACATTGGTTTTTCACTATCTTATCTTCCTATCATCCACTCACGCATCCAAGCAACCCCTACCAACAGTCATCCACCCAAGTTCTCCATCAGAAGCTTATGTACAGTCCATTCCCCCAAAACAGTTTCCGCGTCCCCTCACTTGGGAGTTCGTTGTTAAAAGTGCAATAGTCCGCCCATATCCCCAGGGCTAATCGTTTACCTGACCCTTTCGCAATGAGAAAACAAGAAAAGCAGAAGCGGAAGAGGACGAAGAGCGCTCATGTGTATTCGTGAAAGGGAACCAACAACAACAAAATGCAACCAAAAGTCGACAAAGTCGGCTGGGGTATCCGCTACCATGAGGACGTTGAAGCTCAGGACTGGCGGAGTAGAGATATCTTCATCTCCCTTCGATCCGGTCCAGCGGAAGAAGTAGAAAAAGAAAAATATTGAGTGGCAGCGGCCAGGGTGAACAGCTCGCTGCTGGACTAGAAATTAAGGTATGCTCAAGTGTGCAGATGCAAACGGAAAGTTTTGTACACCTTGGAAGAGAACCTCAGAAGAGTAAGAGAGAAAAGAAGAGAAAAGAGGTCAAGGAACAAAAGGTATCCCTTTACCGTAAGAGACTCAGATGCCATCCCTACATGGCATTAGCACCTGGATACCTCGATTGATTCGACAGCCCAGGTCCTGGTCCCATCATAGTAGCAGGAGGTATCATCATGCCTCCACCACCTCTTCCTCTGCCACCACCAGGGCCCCCACGTCCTCGACCGCGACCGCGACCCGCACCAGGAATCATAAAGTCGGGGTTAGCAGCGTTGGCTTCAAGGATGACGTCTTCCTGTCGCATGGGTCTACGTGGGCCTGGGAAAGGCGCAAATTGACCGGCTGCAGCACCCATCTCGGGTCGCCAGTTGGGGTTGACAGGACGTTGTGAGACGGAGGTGAAATGTGAGGCTTCACTCGCGGCAGGTGAGCGAGCGCCTTCTGGGAGGTCGTCGTAGGAACTGTTGCGTGGGAGATTGGTGTCGCTGGAGTTTGTTGTTGAGAGGAAGTTGGGGTTGGGTGGAGCGAAACCACCGGGCATGAGAGAGCTCGGTAGGGGTGGAGGTGCTTGAGCTTGTGCGGGCTCTGCGAACCTGGGATCCACATCTTCATAGTAGTCGGAACTGCGTTCTGGCCTGTTGGGCCCACCAAGCTGGGATAGCTGAGCAGGCATTTCAACAGGTGAGTCTTGAATTGGCGATAGGCCACGGCTACTGCTGTTCAAAGTGTTGAGTGTTTGATCTGATGGAATCTGTTGTTGATTCCATCCTGCTCGCACTGGCATGTATTGCTGCTGTTGTTGTGGCATAGGCGGCTGTTGTTGTTGTAGGGGCTGTGGCCGTAATGCGGATTCACTGTTGAACGTTAACAAAATACACTGAACTCGAAGATACGTAGTACTCACTCGGTGGAATATTCGCTGGTTGGGCTCATGACCCCATCAGATGGTCGCCTTTGGGGTGCACCAGCAGGGAAGCCACCCTGCTGAAGAGCGAGCATGCCTGCAACGTCGCCGTCACTTTCCCTCAGTCCATAGTTTGTTGGAGGCGTTCCTGTGCGGTTGTCCATCTCAATGGCTTGGCCAATTGGCAGTGGTGGTCCCTGACCAGGCGGAGGTGCTCTGCCATATGGTGATTGCTCACGGGGTGGTGGTCCTTGGTTGTAAAAGTTGTTGTTGTTGTATCCTGGAGGAGGCGCTCCGCGTCCCATTGGTGGCTGACCTTGCATCGGAGGTCCATTCGGAGGTCGTCCACCTCGTCCGCCACCGTTCCATCCTGGTGGTGGAGGTCCTCGCATGCCTCCTCTTGGACCGTAGCCTCCTCCTCTTGGGCCACCATACTGCCCGCCTCTTGGTGGACCTCCACGACCCCTCATTGGACCTCCTCTTCCGCGCGGAGCACCGTTCATCATGGCGAATCCGTCGTTTGGCATGGGTGGAACAGGGTTGCCGTACTGATCCATTGGCTGTCGACGACCAGAGGGACCACGGTTTGGCGGGTTCATGTTCTCAGAGCGATCTCCTCCACTGCTAACCGTCTTGAGCGAAGGGTTGCGCTGGTTCAGAGGCTGCATGTCGTCGTTGGGCGATGGCTTGGAGGAATCAAAGTAGGCCGCATTACCGCCTGCCATACCGCCAGTCATTGTCTCACCAGAAAGAGGGGGCGGTGATTCAGCCTTGGGAAACTCGGTAGTGACGGTTGCATTGTTGCGGTTCGCGTAGTAGGTCTGGCCATTCATGTCGTCGTTCTCGGCGATGCGCCTCTTACGCGCCTTGCGGCTGACCAGTGTGCGCCTCATGGCACAGGTGACGATTCCGCTTGCGACGATGATGATGGTAGCACCTAGCACAATCCATCCTCCCCATCCTACGTGCGGAACGAATAGCAAGATATCAACGAGGAAAGCGAGCAGTGAGACCAGAAGAGTCGGGAACGTGAATATGAGCAGGGCGAGGAGGTAGCGCGGCGAATGAGCGGGCGAGTGAAAGTGGGCAGCAACGGAGAGACCGAAGCATATCAGCGTCATGAGAGCTGCGACAGGGTGCACGATGAGGATGGAAGAAAGCGCATGGCGCTGGGCGGATGGGAGTGAGAAGTCGGAGCTGTCTTCGCCTGCAAATAGCTTCTCTGTATCCAACTGTTAGCGTCTTGGTTGCATATATACGATATATATTTATAGCGAGCCATACCTGTGTTGTACCCGATCATGGGCCCTTTGCAGCCTTGATCGCCATTCTCGCAGTAGCCGAGGACTCCAAAGTGAACACCACGATAGGTAGCGAGGGGAATGCTCTTGATGAGGGGTGTTGACAGCGTCGAGAGCAGCAGCAGCACGAATGCGACAAAGAATAGTATAGACAAGGGGGTCGCAGGGCGCAACATGACGGCGAAGGATAGCAGAGTCTAGGGCGTGGAATTCCGGCTCGCCAGAGACCGGCTCTCGAGATGCGACGGCGTGGTGTTGGAGAACTAGAGTGTGAAGGAGCAGGGCGCAGTCGTAAACGTGCCTGGGGCGCGACTCTTTCTCCCGACGTGAAACGAGCGACGAGTGAGGTTACACAGGTAATGCCTGCTGTGTCATTGGTACCTCGAAGCGTGTATGCGACAGTGGCAGAGGCCGCGATACGGCACACAGCTGGTCCGCGTTGGCCTTCGCTGGGCTGTTTGGGGGTTGCGGGGAAGCGTGGTGGGCTCGAGGGGGCAGGTGGTGGGCGGAGCTGGAGGCAGGAGCGACAGACGGTGCTGCAGCAGCGCAAGTAACGAGCGGACGCGCAGCCAATGGCGGGTGTGAATTGCGCGACGGAGCGAACGTTGGAGCTATGCCAGGCTAGTCGCTGCAATAAACTTGGTAGCAAGGCGGCACACTATCGAGCCATTGACACCTTGTTGCAGCAGACGTCGACCAAGTCTCGCAGTGGATGTATGCTTGTTGGAGGAGTCGCTCGACGGCGCTATTTTTCTTTCACGACGACCAGGCCATCGTGTCACGCCCCTGGCCCGCGCAGCAACCGTGTCTTACCCTGCGACTCTGCTTGTCTTCGGAGCCTCAGTCGGAGTCCCACGCGCGTCCACGCTGCTCTCCCGAGTACTATGACAAGGATATCTATCGTCTCATTTCGCTAGTCGCACGCCCCACTGTCATCTTCCAGGTACACACAACGCCGGCCTCTTGTGTCCTTGTCCTTCAGACGAGGCTGCTCAACGCCTGAAACACACAGACGCTCATCTTCCTAGTTCTGAGGCAGCGCAGCGAGCATCAACACCACCCATCGTGGGCATGAATTTGCTTCTGTCGACGTTGCGGCTCTATACATTGCAATGCCTTATCTGCTCGAAACAGTGCACAAACATAGCGCCCTCCTATCGACCCCAGCCTGATCCCAGGAAAAAAAGGATCAGCCAAACGCCACCAATCTATATCACCACACTTATCGCATTCCACGCGACATCCTCTTTGTCTGAAGTCTTTCGCCTCTAACCCCCTACCGTGTAATAAGGCGACCCGAGCCGTCACAAAGCCTGCACGACTCCACATATAGCATGTCCATTCAGAGCATTTTATTGGGGAAGATGGAAGTGTTTATTTGCTTGATTCTCAGACCTCACATGGTATTCGTATGGAAATGCAGATACGCCAGATCCGATCAACCTCCCCATAGGTGATCACGAACGCCTTAATTTTAGGATCCGAGTCCTGCACCTATGGTCATGAACTCATGGGTACTTCATATGCTAACCTACAACTACGCCCGCCACACGTTTAGTGAGCGATGGCGTAAGCCCGGCGGCGGTCACGCTCCTCAGCAATCGAGAGCTTGACACCCTTGCCCTTGGGCAGAGAGATCCATGGCTTCTCCTTTCCGATGATGATAACGTTGGACTCACGAGTGGTGAACTCGTTGTCAACGGCATCCTTCAAGTGGACAATGTTGAAGCCTCCGTCGTGGCGCTCACGGTGGGTGATGACACCGACACGACCCATGTTACGACCACCGGTAACCATGACAATGACACCAGTGTCAAACTTGATGAAGTCGGTGATCTTGCCAGTGGCGAGGTCGACCTTGACGGTGTCGTTGACCTTGATGGCGGGGTCGGGGTAGCGGATTCTACACAAAAATTTTAGCAGCAATTCTGACATAGCCAGACCCTGGTCTTATGCCTGGTGAAAGAGGTTTCCCTCAGACACCTAGCCCAAACTGTGGTCCAACGGCTGATAGAGCGGGAACTTACGTTCGCGCATCGTGCGTAACCAAGTAGGGAATTCCGCCCTTGCCAAGCTGGACGCGCTTGACCTTGCCGAGCTTGTATTGTGCCTCCTCGTCTGTGATCCTGTGGACGGTGAAGCGGCCCTTGGTGTCGTAGATCAGGCGGAAGTTCTCGCCAGTCTTCTCAATGGAGATGACATCCATCAAACCGGAGGGGAAGGTGGAGTCGGTGCGGACCTTGCCGTCGACCTTGACCAGACGCTGCATGAGAATGGCGTTGACCTCGCGGGCGTTGAGCGCATACTTCAAGCGGTTGCGGAGGAAGATGATCAAAGGAAGGGAGTCGCGGAGCTTGTGAGGACCGGGCGAGGCCTTGGGAGCGTAGGCACCTGCAACATGTCAGTTTTGATCTCGCCATGTCGCATCTTGCGTCGATTGCAGGCGTTGCGCGTACCGGACAGCTTGTCCAGGAGCCAGTGCGAGGGCGCGCTGAGGCGCTTCTGGTGCTTGACGGGTCCACGGGCCATTTTGACTGTTGTGTGAGGTTAGTCGTCGAGGTTGTCGGATTCCTGTCTTGAGATCTGAAGATCCAGTGTGCGATATTTGCTCACGCACGCTAGTGTTAGGCGAGAGGCTAGCGCCACCAAGTCCGGCGCGCCTGCCATTGCCGCATCACCAACACGAGCCCTACCTTACAGTGCACGTTAGCATCTAACAAGAAAACTCGTGAAAATTAATAACGCTGTAGACTTCTAGATTCTCTGTTATGTCTACACAGCTCTTACGTCTACATAGCTGTTGATACGCCTTGCTGTAGTAGGAAGGAGTGCTCTGCTCCAAAGACATGTTTAGCTTCTCTCTTCGATATAGCGCAGCGCAACATTCACAAAGACTCGTCTAACGGAACAAATGGAAAATGCCGTACCATATTAGCTGAGCTACAGCGCAATATCGGTGCATCCCTCTGCATCACGATGGCAGCTTTTTGTGGTACGAAACAGTATCATTGACGTCTCATCTCACATCATGTTGAAAAAGCACTTGATTCTTAGGCACTTCCCAACTCTTGGAAACATACGATGGAACTCTTCTTGGGCCTGAATTATATCTTTTTGTATCGACACTAGGCATAGCCCTTCAGTACCGCCGCTTCTGCGTTCAATATCGACGATCCTGCCGCTCCAATGACGGCTGCGACTAGTTAGCAATATCCCGGATACCTTCAGGTGCAAGTCAGACTTACTGTTGTGGCTAAGTGCGACGAACTTGAGATCAAAGATGCCTGCCTCATCCTCTCTTATCCTACCTACACTGACAGCATATCCCCGATCTGTCTCTCTGTCTAGTCTTGGCTGCGGCCTATCCGCCTCGTCCATGACCACAATAGCCTTTGCAGGCGCTGATGGGCAACCCAGTTTCTGCGCATCGGACACATACTCGCGCATTGCCTGCTTGACCTCTTCCTCGCTGGGTGCCGGGCGGCGTTGGAAGCGTAGCGATACGCATGCAGTGTGTCCGTCAAGTACTGGTACGCGGTTGCATGCTGCGGAGACCTTCATAGGCTGGTCTACGAATCCTGTGACGTCGTCGTTGACGCTGCCGAGGATCTTAGATGCCTCCGTCTCGAGCTTGTCTTCCTCGCCTGATATAAAGGGCACGACGTTGTCGATGATGTCCATGCTGCTTACGCCGGGGTAGCCAGCGCCAGACACGGCCTGCATTGTGACGACTGAGACTTGATCTATGGGACCGAACTTCGCTTGTAGTGCTGCGAATGGTATGACGAGACCGATGACTGCGCAGTTCGAGTTGCAGACAAGGAAGCCCTTCTCCAGCTTGTGATGTTGTCTCTGGTGCTTGATGACATCGAGATGTGGGAGGTTCACGGTGGGAACGACGAGCGGTACGAGAGGATCACGGCGGTAGTTCTTTGCGTTGGAGAAGACGGCCAGTTCGGACTTGAGGAAGGCCATTTCTAAAATGCGTCAGAAATCCTTCTTACTCTGAGCGCATGCGCCTTTACTTACCGACGTCTCCGGCGACATCGCTATCGAGTCCAGAGAAGACCATGTCACAGTCCTTGAACTCTTCAGGTGTGCATTTCTTCACCACCAATTCTCCAATGCGCTCGGAGAAAGGCAGCGCCTGCTTCCACTTGACGGCATCCTTGTACTTCTTGCCAGCTGACCGCTCAGATGCTCCAACAGCGTGTAGTTCAAAGTGTGGGTGTAGTGCCAGAAGGAGGATGAAGCGCTGGCCGACCGAGCCAGTCGCGCCGAGCACACCTGCAATTCAGTTAGTCAATAATCTCTTGAATGAAAAACTACACTGACCGCACTTCTTCTTGGGAAAGCTCTTGCTTTGAGATGTAAACTTTTCAGCGTCCATTGTAGTGGTTGTTGGTGTTGAGGAATTGAGTCAATGGAGTCCATAAAGTTCAGGTATGACGCGGGGAGTGGGGTGGAAAACGCGACGCCAGCCGATCACGGAGGCCTCCATGCGTGCGAGCATCTTGAACAGTCATCTCTTTGCCGCAAATCGTACTTTTTCATTACCAAGCCAGAATGGTACTCAATGATTGAGATGCTAAGAAATCTATGTATGCCCTAACAAATGCACCAGAATGTCAGACCTCCTCCCCATGGATGCTCCCCAAGGAACCAGAACGAGAAGAAATGTGCCGTGTCAGTATGCAACTCTACGCCTGAGCGTCCATGATCTTTCCTGGGTTCATGAGCCAGTACGGGTCCAATGCGCCCTTAATGCTTCTCATCACGTTGATGGTGTCTAGGCCGAGCTCTTTTTCCAGTGATGCTTTCTTTCCCAACCCAATGCCGTGCTCGCCGGTGCATGTGCCCTCCATCTGAAGCGCACGGTCGACCATGTCGTGAACGCATTTCTCCACAGCCGCCCGCTCTTTGGGATCCTTGCTGTTGTACATGATGCTTTCGTGGAAGTTGCCGTCTCCAATGTGACCTAGGATGCTCGCGAAAAGGCCGAGGTCGTCCATTTCCCTCTTCGAGATTTCTGTCGACAAATCAGCAAAGCCGCTTCAATATTAAGCTTAGCGTGACAACACACCGATGATGTCGGGCAGTCTGGAAATAGGCACCGCGACATCCGTTGACCACACCTCGTCACCTTCGCGACGGAGCGCCAACATGCTCCACAGAGACTCCTTGCGCGCCGACCATAGTGTCTTCTGCTCCTCGGCGCTGACAGCAAACTCAAAATCTCCGCTTTTGTGTTTCCTTGAAATGGACTTCACCAGCTCAATGTTCTCTTGTACCTACATACAATCAGTTTCATTCTGGGTAAATGCAGGCCGCATAGGGCTGACATACCCCTGCCTTGGTTCCCGAGAATCTGTGTGCGGCTCTTAGTTCATGCTTTCACATGTCAAACGGTTATCTTGACGACTTACTTGAAAAACATTGTCGGTAATTCTTTCCATTTCTTGGTCGTTGATCCGGCTTTGTTGATCACCCCCATTTGCACGTCGTCCATGATTTCCATCGCAGCTACTGGTATTCCAGCGCGCAATACCTTGGAAGCTGCTGCTGCGGCATCTCGAATTGTGGGGAAAGTCACAACTGCGACACTGGTTTCTTGGGGAACTACAGCGAGTTTCAAAGTGATTTCGGTCACTATGCCCAGTGTTCCTTCGGAGCCAACGAAGAGGTTGGTAAGATTGTAACCGGCAGACGATTTCCTAGAGACTTTTAGTCATTCTCATATCGGAAATTGTAATCATCTTGCATACCTAGGCCTGCGTCTTGTTTTAATGATTGTGCCGTCCGCGAGGACTACGGTCAGATTGATGACCCAATCCTTCATCGTGCCGTATCGCACCGCGTTAGTCCCACTGTGACGTTAGCTATGGAAACCATGTCCCCAGCGGTCGGCGACCTCACCTGCAGCTTGTACCAACCATGCCTCCAATTCGAGCCTGCCACGTCCGTTAACATAGGTTCGGATTTCCGCTTTGGGATTTCCGCTTGTTGGTCGCGATGTAGTGTAACACATGAGAACGTACCGATGGACCGGGGTCAACTGGAAAAAACAGACCTGAGTCTTTGATCTGGTCGTTGAGACTCATCCAGGGTACCGAAGGCTGAACTACGACATCCATACTACAGGTTATGTTAGTATCGTAGATTTGGTATGCTGAGCGAATTCTGCACTTACTCATCTTCGTGCAAGGCCACAATCTGGTCCATGAACGAGAAGTCGATGCTCATTCCGCCAAACGGAGCCGAGAAGTTGGCCTCAAGGCTTGATCCTCCAGAATAGGGAACTGTACGCTATCAACACCCATTTCTTCACCTATCCTCGTAAACATACTCATGGGTATCTTGTATTTGTAGCAGACCTTGGCGATCGAGGCACACTCTTCCGTAGATTTTGGGTAAGCCACCGCAACTGGGAGCTGGTCGATGTTAATGGACGACCATTCCGAGTATCCATGTCTGTGCAAATCTTCGTCATCGGTACTAATCGCATCTTCTCCAAGTGTTGTCCTTAATTCTTCAATCGCCTGCATCCAGGTGAGTGACTGATGCGTGCGAACCTTTGCACGACTCGCGAACCTACCTTCTCCATCTCGTGTTTGGACGCATATTGAGGTCCTGAGGACTTGAGCCATGGCATTTGAATCCTGTGAGGTTCATCGTTGGCGCCATAGAAGTACGTAGTTGTGCCGGTGACGGCAGAAAACAGCAAGACCCTTCCTGAGTTCCAAAATGGCCGTTGAGAATGTTCGGATCTGAATGTCTGCTCGCGTCCGGTACGTGCTCGAGCGCCTCCTCGCTTGAGCAAAGGTGAGGCTATTTGCCTCAGTCGCGCTGCTGGCTGGCGAAACATGACAAATCAACAACGAAGAAGAGAAGAAGATGCAATCAGTTGTCGGGATGATTGATGAAACTCAAAGTCGAACCCGCCTCCGCTAAATATCGATCAGGGCGCATTTACCGAACTAGGGTGAGGGAAGAGGAGATGAGAGAATAGTAGCAAGGCTGCCGTACGCATTTTGTGGATCTAGAAGCCGGACGGCAAGCACAGTGAGAGCGGGGAGAGATATCTCAGTCTAAACGCAGTTGGCGCGATTGTTCTTTCGGGTATCGCTTTGAGCGTCTTTGGCCAACGCACAGGTAAAGTCGCAATACACGTCCCAGAATTCGTGGGACGAGCCAGTGATAGCGTGGGAGGCTGACTAGATTCCCGATTTTATGTATCAAATTTTTCGGCTCACGCAGCAAATGAAGTCGTGCATGATCACCTGCAAGGGGGCTTGAATACACGCAAGGTGATTGCGGGGAAGACCAGGGCGATGACAAGCAAATGTGTTGGTTGGAGATGCATCGTGGCGACAGGTGACGCTGGATGACATTCCGAACGGCATGCCGTCGCGTGACGAGGCGTTCGCTAGGGCCCCGAACGGCTGCAGACGAGGACCGGAGCTGTGGATCTGGAACTCTGCGAGGTGCACTGCTGCACTGTATGCTTCCTTTTCGAGGTCGAGATAAGTAGCAGAAGAGGCGTATGCCAGGAACAATTGCCAACCTCGATACCCGATGCCCATGGCGTTTGAGGCTCAAGAGCGGAGCTTGGAAGCCCTGTGGAGCAGCTGAGGGATGCGGCAGACCTGCCATGGTCTGTCTATTGGGCAACCGTGATACGATTACCTCACTAAACTTTACTCCTCCTGTCTGTGCAGCCCAGACGCTGGCTGACAATCGAGCGAGTGGGGGAACATGCTGCACAGGGACGCTTGTTACACCCCACGCGCGTTTTTAGGCCTTTGCTTGCCGGTGAGGACGGAACGCTCGGGGATGTTCGTAGATGCCGCGGCAACGGCTTCAGCTTCGAGGTGGCCAGCTCTATAGTATAGAAACATAGCATCGTATAGTACCCCCTTGAGTGGCATAGCACAGCGCTGAGTATCACGCGCGAGGCAATGAAGGAGCTGCCAAAAGCAAAGAAGCGTACATTCTAATGCCGCCAATGGGAAGCAATATGTAAGCGGAGAATAGAACAAGCCCCGCCACGCCTGCAAGACTAGCAGTGTTGCGCACAGCGGCTGTACGATTCATAGATGGCTGACGTCAATCGAGAATCATCCATGGATGTGCATGTGCGAGCACAGGATGCGAGACGTCGCATGGTCGCGTGCATTGACACGAATGCGGAAGTCGGTGATGTCGGCGCCTAGTTCGGTTGTCAGGAGAACGCGATAGCAAACACGTTCGCGTTCCATATGCACAACGAGCGCGCTCCACAACGACTATCCGGCCCATCTCCGAACTCAAGCAGACTCAGCCGACATGGCGGATATCACCGCAAAGCTGACGTCCGAACTGACAAGGATTATCGAATGTCCATACCCCCCTTCGCTATCCGTACGCATTGCCCCTCATCTTCTCAACGCCCTCGCGTCGCACCACTAGCCTGGTCTCGAGCCCGAGCACATGACTCGCTGCATATGCGTTCCATCATTGCTGAGCTGACGCGAGATTCCACAGCATCTATACGATCTCCTGGCTGGAGCAGACGTACCGACTATCCGATCATGTGTCCAAGACCGGTCACCATGTGCGGTGAACAGGCTGGCCAGGATCGTCTTCGATGCATTGCCTTTGAATGCTTACACGTTGCGTGTGCTACATCTTTTGTGTAAGCAGCTTACCGCTGTCCGCTCCAACGTCGGGGACGCAATGAGAATTGACGAGTTAATTTAGGTCATGCGCCAGAATTTCGAGATGAATTACTGGTCCTGCGACCGACACTTCTTCATACTTTGCTGAAGAAGGCAAGCTCATCCAAGTCCGACTTTGAGCAGGTCAGTATACAAACTTGGAAGTATATCCCTGTCTAACCTCATGTAGCATGCCGAACTATGTGTGCTTCTCCTCTCTCGTCCATTGCCTAAGGCGATTCCACTACCTGCTGCAGCACAGACATTCTTCCTTAATGTTTTCGAACACGCTACCCAGCAACCGAACTACGATACACTGCGATCAGTGTATCGCATGCTCAATGGAGCATGTCGTCGGCTCTACAGCCTTCTTCCGAGGGACTCGAAACATCGATTCGACACAGAGTTGTGCAATATACTCAGATCTAAGAGAGTTGTACAATCTTCTATGCTATTCCTATGGGCGGAAGGTATAGTACTACTCACAGAGCATCCTGAAGAAGTTGGAAAACTGCAAAGCCCGTCTACTGATGAGGAGCCGACATCTACGGAAAGGCTGAAGCAACATTGGGTAACACCGTCAGGCCAAAAGTTGTTCGGTTCAACCAAAGACTCTTACAAAACCATTGAACTGACCTGTTTGAACGTGGTATGGGTTCTTCGAGGAGGAATCAAAGATGACGAGGCAGTCGAGGGTATACGCATCGCATCTAGAGCTTTACAGTCCATTGGCCAAGATGTAAAGGACAATTGGCATCTATCTAGCAGCTCTGCGGCCACCCTGTACAGCAAGTGTTTTTCCAAAGTACAGAGCTCTGATGCGAGTTTACCTATTCAGTTGGAGGCTATGTCATTCCTTGGCATACTTTCGAGTTCCCATCTGGACTTACCGCAAGACATTGTCTCACGCTATGAAGCGTGTTTATTAGAAGCTCCTCGTATAGCAGAGCCCGAAAACTTTGCCGAGCTTCTTGCGGTTTCTCTGCCAGCCTTTGCAATGCATATCCAGGAGGGAACCATCTTGGCACTCGTCTCAGGTGTCTTAGCAGCGTGTGCTTCACAGCCAGGCTCCCGTGAGGCTTCTAATCTTATTGGCACTATCGATGAGCTGGCCACTGCTACGATGACGTCTGGCATCCTACGAACTACTGTGCTGCGTGCACTGTCATCAAAGACTTTGCAAGAGAAACTTACGAACCTAGCCCATCCCACTGTAACAAAAGAAGGTACCGGCTGCTACGCACATGCGGCATTGGTGCGTAGGCGATTAGTCGCTGCCACAATCGCTTCTCTACTCACCATCGCTCTTACGGCAGAACCGGGAGAGTCGAAGATACCGCAAGCCGTCGTCACTGCTCTTATCAAAAAACAGCGAGACCTTCCTCCAGTGTTGAATGCTTGTTTGCACTCAATGGGAAGCTTGAACCAACCTTCAATCTCTCTCTTTGAAGAAGCAAGCACACAACACACAGGCCAGCATCTAGAAGACTGGAGAAGACGTCTCGATTCGGAGCTAGAAAGTCAAAGCAAATACCAGCGAGATGCTGTCATGCGCTCTATGGCACAGATTTGCAGCGATCTCGAGACGCGCTGCAACACAGTCGAAGAGCCGCTATGGCTAGAGAAAGAGAGGTCTGTGAAGCTTCAAGAAAAAACTGCTCATCTTGAAGATCAGATTGAGTCGTTACGTCAAGAAAGACAGGACTACATCGATCACATAGACGGCCTGGATAAGGACTTGCAAGATTTGAAAGACGACCAACAGCAACTAGAGCAGCAAAAGTCCGAATTAACCAAAGAGAAGGATCAGATGTATTCCAGACTCCAAGACGCAGAGACCTCTCTTGAGGCGTCAAAGCGAAACGCAAGCGAGACTCTGAATGCCGCCTACGAAAGATCGAGCGCAGTAGAGTCAGAGCTTCGCTCAATGACACAGCAGTATAAACAGGCTATCGACGCTCGTGATGAGAAGATTCACGAGCTGAGCGCCACTATAGACCAGCTCAGAGAGTCCCAAGCGCAGCAGAAGAAAGACTTTGAAGACTTGACAACTCAGTGCGGGCAGCACCAGAATCGTAGCCACGAAGCAGAAGATTTGCTTCAAAAGGAACGAGGAAAGGCTTCTCGACAATCGGATGACATTGCACGACTTGAAGCACAGGTAATGGAAAATCAGCATCAATTGGAAGAAAAAGTAGAAGAGCTTGAGGACGCTATTCAACAGTTACATGTCTTGCGGACAAGTTATCAAGAGCTTGAAGAATCATCGGCAGAAATGATGAAAGAGCTTGTAGCAAAGCATGCCAGCGATATAAATGTCACTGCTAGAAGAGCTGAAGACGAACGCAAAGATTTAGAAGCTCAGCTGTACAATGCTCAGAATAGCGCTCGCCAAGAGAGATATGATCACGACAAGACCCGTAGCGTCGTTCAATCCCTTCAAGCCTCGATACCACCATTAGAGGCAAGAACCCTAGAACTCGAGGAGTTCTGCAGAGAGCAGGAGGAGGAACTCGAAGAATTCAGGACCGCTCAGAAAATGATGGCTATGCATCTGCGGCCGGCTCGGCCTGCTTCTCGAACCTACAAAGAGATCGCTCAGCCCCAAACTGTACGCGAGCCGCGAACTCACAGACGGCGGAAGTCAGCTATCAACACTCAAGAAGGCATGTCAAAGGCTCAGGCGGATACCCAGGAACTACTTGACCAGGCCAATGAGCATGTCACAAATGCGTCTTTCGCCTCGTCTGCCGACTCCAATTCCTCACTAGGCGGCGGGCCAACACCTAAACGTGCGAGACCAAGGCCAGCATTCAAAGTGCCAACGATGCAAACGCCGTACACCCAAAAACCGGATTCGATACCCAAGCCAGTCTCACACTCACGTAACTCGTCATCAAGCAAGCGTGCTTTGAGGCCAGTATCGCCGAATCGCCGCCACACAACTGCTGAATTCAAATTACCAGATAGTGTGAGAGAAGGTACAGCTAGCGAACTTGGGTCAGTCAGAAAGTCCACAGGCAGCCTTCGGACTTTTGAGCAGACAGATTTCGACGTCGAAGATGAGTTTGCGACAGGCACGCCACTCACCCCAGGCTTTATGTCTGGGACTGGTCGTATGCCAGTGGAAGACGATGAGACCATGGCTGAACTGTGAGCAAAGAATTATAGCATAATATGACATGGCCAACCACTAAATCTGCAAATATTGGATAGGGACACTTTGATACAAGGTGCGTGAGACATTTGACAGTTCTGAGATACCTAACGGTCTATCCTTATTCAAAGTGTTAATTCCACCTTTACCCTCCGACAGCTTTACCTCAACACTAGCCTTGTCTCCTCTCAGTTTCCTTTCTTGATCTTGTCCTCCTTCTTATACCCTACGGCTACCTGCTTCCTTCACCTGCGCCTTGCCGTAACTCATCATTACATCAGCCATTATCTTTCAACTTCTCAGGTCGCTCCCCGTTCGTGACTACCTCATCTCGACTCAGACATATTGTTGAGTAGTAGCTCTGGATTCGACCACGCGCCTTCCTCATCCGATTGCTCCTCTGAGGTTTTCCATCTACTCCAGCTGCCCTGTCACATTGCCTTGTCCGCTGCTGCCATCTCGACAATCCTCTCAGCTACAAGCCATCTTCTAGCCCCCGAATTCCAAGACTTCCAGTCTATCGTCACTAGGTAAATATCGCGCACACCTGTCGCGACTCGCTCCTACCGGATGCAGAACGGCTATAAGCAAACGCTCGTCTAATTGCCCATCCACCTCGAGCAAACAACGACTTCCATTGTCGCATTCTATGCTCTCGAAATCCGGGTGTCATCGGTATACGCCTCCAAAATTCCTCTAGTCAGCCGCTTCGGCACCGCTACACTGCGCCTTCCTGAAGTAGCGGTCACTCTCGATTTGGCAGCTCGTCACCGTCACCGACACCGACTGTTCCTACCGCCATTCCCTGGAGATCAGAGCGACGGCAAGTGCATTGACAAGCAAACATGGATCGTCATCTTCTTAATCAAGGTCCCACTGACTCGACTCCTGCCTTCAATAACAACACTCCCACATCAACACAACCCTACACTCTAGACCGACAACCGACTGGCAATATTGGACAGAAGTCGGAGACAAGCTCTAACAGTGAGAGGTCTTTCGTCGCCCGCAACATGTACCGTGGCAATCAACGCAGCGGCCCCAGCGGATATCGTGGTGGTAGAGGTGGCGATCGTACATACTCCGACAGCTCTGGTAGTTCCAACGGCCAGCACAACCCGAATCGACCGACGCTCAAGGCCAATCCAGGTTCAAATTCAACTCAGGTTCCTCAAAATCGTGTAGCAACTCCCGAGCAGTTGGCCAATTCATCAGCCAGTGTGGAATCACCTGTTACGCCTGTCAAACAGATCTCTTCGTTCGACTTGAACGGCCACAATATCAATGAGACATACATTGCGGGTACCCGTACTGGATCAAACCCTCCTATCATGAGGTCACCAATTAACAGCCCACCGAGACAGATTACTCGAGCATCTCATCAGTACGGAGATAACCGCCCACGCTACAACTCGGTCGATCAGCGCAACTTACAGCGACCAATGCTGAGAGATGGAGCCCAGAATTGGGCCTACAACCAGGAAGGCAAGATCAAACTTTTGGATATACCCAAGAACTATTGGACAAAGGACATTTATCGCACGATGGCATCGTTTGGCACCGTCTTCAGCATCGATATGGTCCCTGGCACTCGAGACAATACCGCTTATGTGATCTTCCGGTAAGTGTACGTTCTATAGCATCACATAAATCCTAACAATTCGTTGATAGACCTCCCCCTCTCGGTGTTATCCCATATCGGAACCTACGTCTCGGTGCCGCTCTCATACGATCCGAGACACTTTCTCCCCATGTCAAGACCGTTCCTAGCCCTGCTAATCCCACAAAAACATACTATGAGTTTAACATCTTGCCATTGCAGGGGATCGATTTCGGCGTCAGGGTCGCAGAAAAGAGCATGATCGCTATGTGTACCTTAAGTTCGTCAGATGAAGCAGCCGCCGCCACAACAAACACCACAGAAGACTTCAAACCTTCTGTGATGCTGAACTTAACCCGCAAAGAGCTCGATGTTCAGTTTCCTATCAATATTGATGATGAGCTGCGCAAGTTTCGATTTCGTTTGCCAATCCCTCTACTCTCGCGTATCTACCAGACCACCAACGAGATCACAGGTCGACCGGCTTTGGTCATTCCGTTCGACTCTCCACCACAGTTCTACATGCAGATGAAGGAGGGCGAAAGCCTTGGGGATGGAACAAAGCACACTAGCTTCTCTGAAGAGAAGTTCTGGAACGATTGGGGCACCTGGTTCCGAGCGACTGATATAGTCAACAACACGATCAAGAAGACGTTACAGGATTCACCATTGATGAACCACAAGGACACAGCTATTATTGATATTGGTAAGCTTTGCTAGCATTCTTGATGAGTACCTGACTGACTACTGCAGGCCGATGGACCACTTATCGCATGAGCTTCGACGCAGCAGTCATAAATGGGCTCAAATTCAAGGAATTCAGTAATGCTCTTGCCGATCATGGCGTTATGATTGAGAACCTTGAGGAGTACACAGTCAAAGAAAAGGCTGCATCGCTTCTATGGTCTCTGCTACAGGAAGAGATATCCGGCACTCACCCGCATCTTGGATCGACGCCCACTTCGAAGGGATCAGTATTCGACGACCTCTTCGCTGGTCAGATTCATCTCAACTTCCCAGTTCGGTATCAGCTCGAGGCTTGCCTGTCGAATGGCTACTTGAAAGAACATAACATGACGAGCGACTTCCTGGAGAAGCTCGCGGCGTTGGAGCCTCGTCGTGCTGTCTATATACTTGAGAAAGTAGTCGACAAACAACACACGTACTACGATCCGATGGAGATATTCAACATCCGGGTCAAACACCTCGAGAAGAAAGTTCCTAATTACTGCGTCCTCCAGCGATCGGTCACGATTACTCCAACCATGATGCATGTCGCATCACCTATCATGGAGACTTCTAATCGCATCATTCGTAAGCATGCTGCGGACAGTGATAGGTTCATCCGAGTAAAGTTCTCCGATGAAAAAACCGAAGGTCAACTCCGCAATATGCCAAACGGAAGAGCTGAAGCTACATTCGATAGAGTACTCCGTGCCATGAAACATGGCATCGTTGTCGCAGGAAGATACTACGAATTTCTAGCATTTGGCAACTCACAGTTTCGCGAACACGGCGCATACTTCTACGCACCTACTTCATCTAAGTCTGCTGATGACATCCGTGTCGCACTAGGAGACTTCAGTCACATCAAGACTGTGGCAAAATTCGGTGCTCGTCTGGGTCAATGCTTCTCGACCACCCGCGAGATGCCAGACAACGTCAAGGTCATAGCTATTCCTGATATCACGCGCAACGGCTATACCTTCACAGACGGAGTCGGTAAGATATCGCTCTTCTTAGCTAAAATGGCTGCCCAAGAGCTCGGACTGCCATTCGATGCTCCGCCGTCTCTGTTCCAGTTTCGCCTCGGTGGTTGCAAAGGAGTGCTTGCACTCGATCCCAAGATCACTGGCCGTGAGGTCCACATCAGACCGAGCCAACAAAAGTTTGCTGCACCCCACCACGGTCTCGAGATCATCCGGTCGTCATCCCTTGCCACCCCATTCTTCAATCGTCAAATCATCATCGTACTTTCATGTCTCGGTGTACTCGATAACGTTTTCATCAGGAAACAGCAGGAAATGATCAACGATTATGAGAACGCTATGGTAGATCAAACGCTGGCTTTACAGAAGCTTCAGAAGCACATCGACATGAATCAGACTACCCTAACGATGGCGGGCATGGTACTGGATGGGTTCATGAAAGCCCAAGATCCCTTCATCATGTCTCTTCTTAAACTCTGGAGGGCTTGCACCATTAAAAATCTTAAGGAAAAGGCTCGTATCGCTATTGAAGATGGTGCATTTGTGCTTGGATGTGTCGACGAGACAGCAACGCTTCGAGGTCACATGAACGATCCCCAGTCTAGACTTGATGCTACGAGGAGTGAGAAGATGGCAACACTCCCAGAGATCTTCTTACAAGTTGACGACACCAGCAAGATGGGCCACTACAAGATTGTTGAAGGCGTGTGTATCCTGGCGCGAAACCCATCACTGCATCCAGGAGACCTTCGAGTGGTCCGCGCAGTGAATGTGCCGATGCTCCATCACCTCAAGAATGTTGTCGTGCTGCCTCAGACTGGAGATCGAGATCTCGCCAACATGTGTTCCGGTGGTGACCTTGATGGCGATGATTATATGGTACTGTGGGACGCCGACCTGATACCCGAAATTGTCAACGCACCACCTATGGATTTCACGGCTGAGAAGCCCGTTGAAACCGAAGACCCAATCACCGCTTCGCATATCGGAGAATTCTTCGTCACTTACATGAAGAACGACTCTCTTGGTCAGATAGCGCACGCGCATCTAGCACAAGCCGACTCTCAAGCCGAGGGTGTAAACGATGAGAAATGCCTAGCCTTGGCCGAGCTGCACTCCAAGGCTGTCGATTTCCCGAAGAGCGGCTTGCCGGCTGAGATGACGCGTGAGTTAAGGCCGTGGAAGTGGCCACATTTCATGGAGAAGAAGCATATTCCAGAAAATCGGATCTATCGTTCAAAGAAGATCCTGGGGATGCTATATGATCAGGTTCAGTTGGTAGACTTCAAGCCGCAGTGGGAGAACCCATTTGACGAGCGCATCATGAATGCATTCGAACTCGAAGACGACATGCTAAGTAAAGCAACAGAACTCAAGGCATCATATGACGAGTACATGCGCCGTTTGATGGCCAAACATGGTATCCAGACCGAATTTGAAGCCTGGTCAGTCTTTGTCCTCTTACACAATCACGAAAGCAGAGACTACAAATTCGCAGAAGAATTTGGTAAGGCGATTGGAGCCTTCAAATCACAATACCGAGAGCAGTGCCGAGCTGCTGCAGGACTAGCTATCGGAGGTATCACCGACGGGAATGTTTTAGAGAAATTCGTTGTTGCAATGTACACGGTTACCGCTAAAGAGATGGAGGCAGCACTGGTCGAGTGCCGAACGAAGACGAAGACTGTGGGCGGTCAACAAGTTCGAGTGCGGCCTATGGAGCAGGAGCATATGCCCCTTATATCTTTCCCCTGGCTGTTTCCTAGCGAGCTAGGCAAGATCGCGAATGGCGGAATCATACGTCAGCCTGACTCTTTGATTACTCAAGTTATGCCAACCCGACATAAGAAGCACGTCGGAGCGAGCATAGCTGCAGAGACTGAAATGGGAGTTGTCGAAACCGAAGCAGGAATCGCGCGTTATGGGGACTTGTTGGATTTGGACTTTGGTCTGAGCAAGGATGGAGGTGGGTGAGCCGGATGGAGGCGATGCAGTATTAAAAGTAACATGAGAGTTACAGCATGTCTGCCACACGATGCAGAGATGTTTGGCTGGCGTTTATGGCTAGTCTTCAAGGCTCGTATGAAGTTGGATGGATTAAGGCTATGCGCGATTTGATTGTCCGCCATCAAAGTAGGTAAAATGATAAAAGCACCAAAAAAAGTAGAAAATAGAAAATCATGAAGAAAAAAACTCGTTGGTATTAGCCGTGATGTTGTCGGGGAAAACAAGAGTTATGATGACGCGTGGTATCGATAAGCAGCACACGATGCGCAACTCGTAATTTCCTCTTGGTGCCTGCGTCACGATGCCACCCTCTACGCGCATACCACCGCTCCTACAACCCTACGTCCAGCTACCCCGCGACGATTCGATCCTCTTGCTCACGAGTACCCTTGGCGCCAGTGCGAATTGGCTGCTCATCCGGTTCCTCTGCAATGCGCTGAGCACCGCGGCACCGCAAGATGGTGGGGGCGAGGGACACAACGTCGTCCTCGTTTCATGGATGAGAGAACATGATTTTTGGAGGCAAGAGACTAGAAAAAGCGCAGCCTTGGATGTTGAGAAGCTGGCCAAGGAGGGACGGTTCGCCTTTGTTGACGGACTGATTGCTGGTGGACATGAGACCAACGACAGCACGCCCAGCAGAGACTCGCAGAACAGTGCGCAGACATCACCACGAGCTACCGTGTCAAATGCGACACCAGCGCAGAGAGGGCCACAGATTCTGCCTGCACGAGGGCCGCCTGGGCGAATAGTGCCTGCGAGAGGGCCGCCTCCCTCAGCTCTAGCCACCAACACCCCGAGTGCGCCAGTGAGCGCCATTCAGAGCACGCCAGGCCGGTATACACTTAAGAGCCTTGAGGTTGCCGACATCAAGACGACCATCTCTCGCGCCGTGGCCTCGCTGGCTACGTCAGCCACTCAACGAAAGACGCTCCTCATCTTCGACAACCCCGATATACTCCTCGCGCTGAACCCAGCAATCACGCCCTCTGACTTTACCTCCCTTATGCTACAGCTTCATATGCTACCCAATGTATCGCATGTCCTAACGCATATACACGCCGACAACCCGCTCCTCAGCCTCTCCACACCTCCCCAGCCACTCGAAGTGGCGCATCACAACCTGCTTGTCAAGTGCGCACACATGAGCACGAGGATACTCGGCGTAAGGATATTGGACACTGGTGTTGCGAGGGACGTTAGCGGTGTGATACGCATTACTGAGCAGAGAAAGCAATGGTTTGACGTAGGTTTTGGTATCCAAGAGAACAAGGAAGGCGATGATGGCGGGAAGGGGAAGGAGTTTTTATATCAAGTCAAGAGCGATGGCAGCGTGAGGGTGTTCGAGCGTGGTGCTGGCGGCGAGGGCTGAGACCCTGCATTTCGCTGCCCGAGGAGTGGCTCATGAAGCTACATCCTTCAAGGACGCTATGGGATCCTAGCTTCTTGTGTATGTGAAACAAGGAATAGTATGACCGGAAGCGTTCCAGCTGTATATGGTATGCTGCTCGCCATACAATGGACAAGACACAACACCAATGCTTATTGTTCATTGTTGAAACCAAGTCCACGGTCTCATAACGGACATACGCGAAACTCACATGATGTCGCAGCTCGTGCATGCATACATGCAACTATTGACCAATACGGAAGAGCTGATCATATCACCCGAAGCCCCGCGGCCCCAAATCCTACACCCAAATATCTACCCGTAAAATTCGGCGAGCGACTGACCAACGCGGTACAGCGACGACTCTGGCTTTTGGGATGCCGTGCAATCAGCACAGCAAGATCATATCATCCTGCTGCTGTCATATGACTGCGCCGCTCGGAGCTCCGCCTTATCACACCTGTATGCGACAATGACCTCAATGCGTGCGCCGCGACCCATTCCTCACACAACATTTGCGGCTTCACCCCATGCAGCCACAATTCTTTCCTGTAATTCAAGCTGTATGTAGGAGGATAACGTCGTTGGCAAAGGGCAACCCTTACATATCGACGCCAGTTTAGGCAGTTCGGGGTGGGGCCTTACACAGCATCCATGCGGCACAGTCGCTAGCCCCATGGTTCATGCACAACGCCACTACGACGCAGCTTGACGACAAATGTCTGCTTTGATTCAGAGATGATGGCCATTCGGGAGAAATGAATAAGCGCTGTAAGAATGGGAAGAAAGGGGGCTGCAAGATGCGGCGTATGTAATGTGTGTTACACGGTATATATTTCGAGAGTTTCGTTGGTAGTGGAATAGGTACCGAGATGTCTACCTCTGTATAAACTTCACCAAGCCTCGAAATACATTGAAAACAGCAGGTTCATTATCTTAACGCTTGACATCCTCACTTTCTTCCACGATTCCACGTCGGAAGCTCTCAACAATGCCAATCCACCTCCTTGACCTCCCTACGGAAATCATCAGCCAGATCCTCGCACCTTTACCCACATCATCTCTTCTTCGCTTCTCAGAAACCTCTCACCATGCCCGGAGCCTCGCCAACGCAAACCTACACACACTATCCCTCGGCATCGCTCCTCCTACCCTGTCTCATCCAAAGTTGCTAAACATCGATCAAACCAGCGAACCAACTTCCACTACCAGTAATAGCACCAAGAGTCCCTACTCCATATGGCTGCAGATCCCCAAAGCTCAAACCTATGAATACTGGACCTTGTTCAACTTCCAAAGCGCCCTCGTGACCAGCATCCTCAAACGCCATGGCACCATGCTCCAGCATCTTGAGATAAGCGTATGGGCACTCACCTCACCCATGGTGAGCGCAATTGAGAATTTACGTGCTCTACGCCGCTTTTCGCTGAGGATAGAGAGAATCATTGGTGGACGACGGTCTTGTGTTGCTGTCAAGCGTAAAGAGCAGGAAAAAGCTTGGGAGTTGCTCACCAAGAGTACGCCGGTTTGGAGCCGTAGACTGATGGCGTTGAAGTTGGAAAACTGCGATCTGAAGGTTGACCAGTTGGCGGTTCTGCTGGAGGAAAGTCGAGATTGTGAGGAACTGGGGTTAGACCGGTGCCGGTATTTGGGTAAAGGTCTTTGGACGTGGTTGATGGAATGGGAAGGGATGGGAAAGCTGAAAGTATTGAATGTGGCGGATTGCGGGGGGCAGTTAGGAGAGGTGTCAAGAATGGCGATGGGTAAACTAAATGGATTACAGGTACGTCCCTGCTCAAACTCTCCACCCTCATTTGAGGGCCTGGGGAACTGTGTGTGTATGCAAGCTAACGTTGAAGTAGTCTCTGAATCTTTACGATTGCCAGGAACAAGAGCCTGGCGAGTTCGAACGGTGTAACAGGAATTTGTGGCATATACCTAATTTTGTAGCACCGAGACCAGGTGGTTACGGTGCAAACATGATCTTAGAAGTGGATCCGAATTACATACAGTAGCATATGAAACCTAAAGCAGTTCTTTCGAAGCAGAGTATCTGTATTCTGCACTTGATCAAGCAACGGATCGCAACGACGTTGTTGTCGAAGATCAATCATTTCAGTTACTGATCATGTGTGCAAAGAGCTGTCTAAATAGAGTACCAGGGTATACAGTTCTTGCCTTGTCTACCCACCTATCCAGCCATTCAACTGTCATACGTCGTTGATATCGTCAATTGGGTCCCGGCCATAATACCTTCCTCTCGCCAATTGGAAGCCATTGTCTACCCTTGGAATTGCATGTACTGACTGTAGTTCATGTCGGGGTGATGAATTACACCACCACTACCACCAAGTGGCAAGGTAGAGGAGAAAGAACTAACAAAGCTGTCTGTGACCGAGCCCTGAGTACTTTGGACAGCACGCTGCGACTCCTGGCTAGCACGAGCACGCAGGTAGCCGCTGTACTCTGATACACGCTGCGTCTTCATCTGCCACTCAAGAAGCATGAGCATATCGTCTGCGTTCGCAATGTTTTGTTCGCATATGGCCGCGCTATGCTCTTCGTAATGGCGACCGGGATGGAGCTCCGCTAGACACTCGGGGGAGTACTGCATCGCTGCTTGTTCTTTGGGTAGATACTGGTGGTCAGCCTCAATGCGGGCTTTGGTATTGGCGTCGTGAGCCGCCTTGCGTGCAGTGCGGGCAGGACGGCGGTCAGAAACCTTCTGCGCTACTGGTGCACCGGGAGGAAGTTCGCGCGTACTCCTCACTTTGGCTTGACGGCGCTCTTGCCTCGCCTTAATAGTTGCCTCTTCCTTCTCCAGGTCGAGTATGTGTCGATATTTCTGCTCCAAGTAAGCACCGACCATGGTCGGCGCCCAGTCCTGAACAAAATTGAGTCCTGAGATGCCGCTGTAGACATCCATGCTGTTGAGTTGCTTCAACTGCTCGAGCGCATCTTCTACTGACATGTTGTCGCCCTCGACTTGCCAGGCCAGTTCATCGCGGAGCGCCTGAACCTTTGCCTCGCGGATTGCATCATCGAGCGCTTTGCCACATGATGGATTGTTGAGAACATCCCAATACTCGGAGAGACTGTTGTGGAACTCAGCGATGCTCGGACCGCCTTCGCAAACCAGTTGAGTCGCAATGTTGAAGCCACTGTTGATACGAAGGTTCAGTAATTGACGCATCTCTTGCATGCGTGCGACGAGCGCGTAGTAAAGGTCCTCGTAGTCGGCAAGCGGGCGGCCGGTAGCCTCTTGGTCGGAGCGCAGGTAGATTCGTGCGTGAATGCGCTCGGCAGTGAGAAACCCAGGAGGTAGTAGGCTGGGACCGAGCTGCTTCTTTTGCAGGCGGTCGAACAAAGTGTCCAGGCTGGGGCTGTATAGATCGAGTTCGGGTCTGCCAAAGAGAATGCTGCTGCCAGCGAGATTGATGATATAGTTACTGAGCTTGAGAATGTGCTCGACGATATAGTCAGCCGGATAGGCTGTGGCTGCGGCCTGAACAGCCATGTGACTGACCGCCACTGCGAAAGTTGGAAGGAGAGTCTTTGCAGACATCTCGAGAGACTTGTTGTGTTGTACCTCGTGAGGTGGGAGATGTGAGACGATCAAGACAAGACTTGCTCAGGATAGGTACAAATTTGAGGACAGTGTGAAGAAGTCGATAGCTTCTCATTGATATATCAGTGTTTGATAAGTATTGGCGAAAGGTTTGTTGATTTGAAAATTTGGAATCGGGGAGGCTGGAAACGACTTGGTTAAGTGAAGGTGAAAGGGATGCCCGGATGGTGAACACCCAGTGTGCCCTGCTATTGCTGGTATTGTTCTTGCAGAGATTTGACAATAGAAGTGACTTGATTGTACCAATGAGATAGGCGCTTTGGGGCTGCGAACGGAGATATCTAGGTGTGATGGCCACTCCGTTGCTGGAGGGATCACCACTGGCGGCGAAAGACTTTGTAGCGAGATATAAACCACGAAATTCGTTTCAAAGATAAGATATCATACCACCTGTTCTATCCTGTGGGTATACCAACTCTTCGCTGCCTTTTTCGGACGACGTTGCTGCCTGGAGGTGTTGGTGATGAGAATAGTCGCACAGTCATCCCACCCAGTCATGCAGCAACTCACCACCACATTCATGCACGACAGTTCAGGTAGTCATCCTCTGAGCCAGTGCCCTAGCATCAAAGTTTCTTAGTCTCCGAGGCAGTTCATCTTGGATCCAGTCTCGTCCTAAGAAGGCGCTTGCCGCAAGTGCTCCTGCTGTGGCTAGCCAAAAGATTTTCTTGCCTGTGCCCGGTCGGAACTCTTCGCCGGTCTTCTCGTTCCGATAAACAAAGTCGTTCTTCTTCCAAAATATGCTCCTGAACCAATAAAGGAATTGCCAATCGGGGTACATCACTGAACTGGTTAGCACGCAGACCCATGTCAAAGCTTCTTTGACTACTTACTGTTATTCAGGCCTGTCTTGGGATCGACAGCCCAGTTGACACAGCCAGAAGCCCATACTAGCTTCCTGGCTGCCTGTTGTGTCCAGTGCGAATCTGCAATTGCGGCGTCGTACTTGACTTCCACAGTTGCTGGCGGTGGCGCCAGCATCTGGGGAATGAATGACCGCGATCGATATGATGGGAGTGATTTGAAGATAGGCTCGAGGAGTCGGAGGGTGAAGTTGATCTGGCATTCGACGGTGTAGATGACGCTCAGATGACCAGTGACAGTGTTTGGCCCCATGAGGATGAAGAAGTTTGGAAACTCGGGGACCACAGTTCCAAAATACGCTTGCGCAACACCCTGTGAAGTTTTGTCCCACTATAACATGCATCAGTATCTGGATTCCTCGCGATTCCAACGGCTCAACTTACATATCTGTTCAGGCTAAGTCCGTCACGCCCCACAATCTCCATCGGGCATAGCATCTGCTGTGTTGCAAATCCGGTCGCAAGCACAATTGCATCCGCCTTCACTTCGCGGCCACTCCTTGTCACCACACCGTTTCCGGTAATTCTCTCAACGGGGTCGTCGGAAACGAGCTCGATATTGTCTCTCCATAATGTCTTCAGATAGTCTGTGTCCAGGACTTTCCGCTTGCATCCAATCTCGGTCTTTGGAATGAGCGCATTCCAGTACTTTGGCGGCGCCATGCTCTTGACATATGCCTCATTCTCTTTCGCCAGATTTTGTCGTATATCACGACCCGTCTCGATATCAAACCCACTCCAGTCGCGCTCCATGTCATAGTAGAACTTTGCACGGTAGAGGCGCATCGCGAATGGTACGTAGCGCATCACGGCTTTGAATGTTTCCGAATAATGTGGGTTCTGACGTTCTGCGAGGTACTGCGCCTGTCGTCCGAACTGTACAAGTTTACGCACAGGATTGGGTTCATTAGCCATGATAGGAACAAATTGAGTCGCTGAGCAGCCATTGCCTAAGGTTTCGTAAGCATGATATTTGATGATTCGCTAGCACTACGTATCGAGACGTACCAAGTACAACGACATCTTTGTTATTCCAGTCGAAGCTGTGGTCCCACTGGGCTGAATGAAACAACTTGCCCTCATACGTCTCTACTCCGGGTAGATCGCACGTCTTTGGAACTGATAGTGAGCCAACACCCGAGACTAATACCTTCGCTCGCCTCGTTGTTCGCTCCTTGGTTTGTAAGTTCAGGATGGTTGCCTCCCAGATGTTGTCAACATCGTTCCAGACTGCTTTCTCGACAATGGAATGGAAACGGACATGTTCAACGACTCTATACTTCTCAGCTACGGAACGAAAGTAGGCCTGGATTTCCGGGCGCATGGAGTATTTTCGTGACCAGTTCGGGTTCAATGCGAAACTGTATGAGTAAAAGTGCGAGGCAACCTATTCAGCTCAGCAAAGGTCTCGGTGCTAACAAAAGATTGAATCCAACACCACTTACATCGCATCCACATCCCGGGTATGTATTTGCCAGCCAGGTACCACCGACATCATCACTTTTCTCGATGAGCTCAAAGTTGCGAAGACCATACTTTCGAATGATTTGGACTGCAAGGCCCAGGCCACTCATGCCCGCGCCTATAATGAGGACTTCTGTATCGTACGACATGGCGAAGCAGCTTGTAGCGACTCGGATACACAGCAGAGTGAAATGGGAAGAGTCGCAGGATATGGTACGAAGGAACAATACCAGAAAAAGGAGATGGAAACATTTATACTATGCTCATTCTTTTGCCAACCCGTTCGCTGATCCACCCATCCACTCTCCAGAGCTACCAGATCTCCATCGGTGGGCCCTGCATCCTCCGTTCAACCTCATTATGTGCGGAGTATGGGTGCCGTCTAACCACTTCGTGTCTATGTTTGCGGGACGTCGTTGCGATGTGGTCGATATTTGGGCAAGTTTGCCGAGCAGGCAGGAAGGAAGTCTGCCGACATCCAATGGCAGGCCATCGGATCCTGCGGGGACCCCACACCTCGCACACGCGTGTATGCTGCTCGTCACGATCCGGAACACTCGCTTTTGGCATCCCGACCTCTGCTCCTTTCAAATGCTCGTACGACTGTTGACAAAACCCATGAGATGCTTGTGGTGTTCAAAATTCGGAGTCGCACATAGATGACGTCACCGCTTCGACGCGACGTTCGTTGAACTCGACGCGCAATTCACTTCCAGATCCCACGCTAGCAAGAGAATCGCTAATCGCGAAGCCTTGGCGTGGCGTTGGTTCGAAGAAATGAAAAGACATAGATGTTCGGACCTGCAAGCATAGATGATACATCGACTAGGGCAGTGATGGACTTGCCACAGAGCCTCACACGAGATGTATCGCCGCCACTGCCTTCGAAGCGAAGAAGAACGCTCGCGACAGAGACTGCGCATAAGCTTCCAGACTCGGAGACAGCTGCACCTGTAGATGATACACCAGCTATCCCGATAACTATGTCTACGCTGGCAGCAATTGAAGCCGGCAAGGTTATAATTGACGACCATCTTACCTTCTCCAGAAACCAATTGGTAGGAGCCTCTAGGGATACACTACCTGATATTCCAAGAATCTTGATTTACGGTTTCGCCGCTCTCTATCAGTCCAACCTCCAGCTCCATGGCCACCACTTTGTCTTCCTCAACATAATCACCCTGTCGCGGGTGTGCATTATGACTTGCGTCTTCAATTCTCCAAGACGACTTCCATATCCTCCGCTCTACCTAAAGGACTGCCTGGCGATCCAAATTCGAAGAGCACAGGTAGAATGGCGATAGAAACTAGAGTACACAACGATTGGAACCAGTTGATTGAGTGTGCGGGTGTTAAGACTGGAAGCTTACTCATATGGGATACCGGAACTTATAGTATCCTTCCTAGGAAGAAAAGGAAGGATGACATGTCAAACCCTCAGACTACAGATAACGAAGAAACTGATAATGACTCAGACAGCGAAGTAACAGTGAGAAAGCGCAAACATGCAGATGAAAGTAGTTACGAGAACTCCAAGTTAGTAGCAGCTTTTAAAACTGGATACATTCGCCTACGTCTCCACGGCACGCGACTTCCAAAAGATTACGCCGTCACATTACGCCTCAGATCAAGCAAGATGGCTAAACAGGTGGTGGTAAAACGAGAGAGCCTGAAGTCTTCTCAAGCTTGTGCTGAAGCACAAACTCCTACTACCTCGGATGATAAGGCAGGTGGTGCGAACATATCTGTGTAGACGGATGCAGAAAATCAAGACTTAGATACCGACACAAATGTGGATGACCAAACACGCATCACCAACGCATATCCTGGCTCCTCGAACGATATTGGATCAATACATCAGCGACATTGGTTTCTTCAACTCGATCGGCAGAACAGTGGTTTTCGATTGGAGACATCTGGTAACCAACGAGTGACATGGACAGGAGGCTTCAAGCCTTTCCTCGTCCGTGGTCGGGATCACGAACGCAGCGTCGTGACGGGAAGACTAGCACGGGATGTGGAAAGTGATGAGGCACTAGAGGACTTCGTAGGAAGGAGAGGATGGACAGGAATCGAGTATTGAGCGTAGCACACCCTCTATTATACATTAAAGAGGGCACAAGCAGCCTTTGAATTATTCAAAATGTGGTGAGGACCTCCATGTCTCCCTCAACATCTCTCATCTCCAAAACCCCGCGTTTTAGCTTCTTAGTACCGCAAGTGTACACACTTTCGAAGTACCATCGATGAGCTTCAATGTCCATGATAAGCCAGGCCATGTTACCCCTCAAGTTCATAGCCCCATCATAGGTCTTGATGTCGCCAGCCGACACCTCTTGCCTATTCGGCTTGTTGATGTAGTACTCAGGACTGATATGAACATAACCCATCGTCAACAGCGGCAGCTTAGGAACCGGGTCGTTCCAATGTGTGACCCGATAGTTCCCACCAGCTTGGTTCGTGATATAAGAGCTGATCTTGCTGCCTCCTATCCTCGGTGATCCGAAGTTGTACAGCGCCACAGTGTAGCCAGCGTTGCGCATGCTTGCCGCTGCGAGTGTAGCGATGGCGCCGCCTAGCGAGTGCCCTGTTACGGTGATCTTGTAGCTAGGAAATGCGGCAGACGCTTGCTTCACAGCGGGTAACACAGTATCGCGCGCATCCGTCCAAGACTGCCAAAAACCGCTATGCGCAGTGCAGCCAGGACAAATGTCCGTTTTAGTGGTGCCGAAGTCGAGGTTGGTGCGCCAGGCATCGATCGTTTGACTACCACGGAAGGCCACTACTACAAGTTTGTTGGTGTGGTCGACGGCGACAAAGCCGGTAACATCAGTCGAGGTCTCCTGTCTAGCCTTCGTTAGCATATTTGTAGCTTGTGGTCATGTAAAAATTATCCTGGACTGATGAATGCAAAATTGGGTTGTGAACTTACCTACTGTACTCAATGACAGTAGTAGAATCTGCATCTTGCACAAGCGGGCAGTTCCCAGTCGAGCACTCAATCTGATCACCGGTAGAGTCATAGTTGTTTGAGCAGTAGGCCGCCGAAGCATACTGCTCCATCAATTTGAAGCTACCCAGAAGGTCTGCTGCGATTCCTGCGACTTATCAGTTGACATTGTTGAGGACATTCCGCAACTCCAGTATACCTCGCTCCTGAACGAGTGGCGCAGCATTGCTAGCTATGGCGCCTAGCAGCGCAGTGATAACGAGAGACGAGAAAGGAAGCATGTCGTAAATGAGTGACTAATTGAAAAGAATGACTTCGGAGGACGATAACACAACCGACTGAGCAACAATAAAAGAGCGAAGCGGATCTTAGTCTGCATATAACGAGGAAACCACCGACTCACCTTCACGGCTCGTGGTTCACTACAAGAGCCATGGTGTGCTTCATCACATAAAATGGAAATCTGGACTGCCGAATGCGGAGTACCAAGCAGCCACGCTATAACCCGCTCTTTCGGTCACACCCTGTAGATGTTCAAGACGAGGTAATCATTGGCACGCGTCTGTATCGGAAGGCTTGCTTGTGGTTGAGCTTGTCACGGTCCAGAGCGCGTTCTGTGTTGCTATTGGGTGAGACGAAATGCGACCCCAAAAGCTGTGGGGCGGCGGCTCGACCGCGCGGCACGACTTGCATACCTGTGACTTTGGGTTTGATGGGACGAGTGTATTGGATTAGAATCATCAGAGAACCTTCTTGCTAGTGTACAGCGCGTGCTTTTGCTGTCGGGAGAAACAGATTGAAAGACACCAGTCTGCAAAAGGAGGTGGACCTTGGGAAAGGTCAATGCACGCGCTAATTACTTAGCGCGTGGCGCAAGGAGGTTGCAAATGGGCACTTCTACGAGATGGGCGAACGATAGCATATTCCTCGCATTCCTTACTATTATATATCACATAAGAGTTCGTCTATCTCAACACTTCTTGACTTTGCCCAACTCCCACACCGATAACAGATCTAGAAAACCTTGCTACGTTTAGACTGTCTATGCTGCGCGACTTGATCTTGATCAAAGAGCATCCGCTGTGCATCTCGGCCGCATTTCTTGTGTTCGTTTGCTTCTTCTTCTCAACTCTCGTTCTGTATATCGGTCTTGTTGTGCTCTACTTGCAAGTCCGAAATACTGTAAACAAACTAGCGAGCCTGCAACGTCAACGTCGACGCATCCAGAAAGAACTCGACCGATGTTCAGCTCTTATCGAGTCGTGTCGTTTAAGAATCGATGAGGTCTCTGACCAACTAGATGATGATCCGCCTATGAGGCGCGTACACATCATCCGCCGAAGCCAAATAATCTAGAGGTGGAGGTCATGATCTGGAAGAACATCTTGAGGAGGCACTCTCGTACAGGAAACCATCGGCTGGGACGGGAAATGCTTAGGCCAGGTAATGGATACAACGTATGCGGTTCAAGGAGGCCCTAGGTCTTGGATGTCTCAACACTGTCTTTAGACAGGACCAATGAAAATCGTTTAGCCAAACAGACACAAGCATACGATTTTCCGATGTCTGAGACAGCCTTCAGTACTTTCAGTGACCTTAATATCTTTCTGTATAAGAAAGTTCACACTCACCGTCTTCACTTTTATTTCTTGTACTCATTTCTCCGTCCATTGCTCATATGCTTCCACATTGAAGGTCTCATTAATTGACCAGTCTCCTTCATCAGACAACCATCATGAATAGAGCACAAAGACTCCGTCAAGGTCTTTCCTTGCCGAAGCACACGAAGTTTGCAGTCGAGCACACTGCGCGGCTGCTGTTTGCGATCATCATCCTCGGGTTTCATGTCGACATTATCCGATTTCGTGCAGACGACATTCTGGTGTACTCTATAGTACTTGTGCGTAACGAAACCTCGTTTTGCATACCTAGCTGATCTTGTTATTAGGTCACCTTCACGATCCTGACGTGCACCTACTATATCGTACGTCTATGTGCATCTACAGCAACGCACAACATCAAGATCTCGCTAGCAATACACTTGTTCATGAGCCTTTTTTGGCTGGCTGATACTGGATTGGTTGTTATGCTGGTCATGGATTGGGAAGAATTAGATCCTACAGCCCACCTCAAAACATTTGTCGCAAGGATTGTCTTGGGGGCTTTTGAATGGTGAGTATAGTTCATGACGTATGCAGAGCCATACTAACACATGAAAGCTTACTCTGGCTCATGCCGATAGCTGATCTCGCACTCGCCGTTGTCGATAAGAGAAAAAATATGTCTACCGATGAGCACATCCAACTGCCGCGAAGATATGCCACCGCCTCCAGACCGACACCCACAACGCCAACACAACGAGCCGAGCCATGGGACGATATGGTAAGCCCACCTCCCCAAAGAATTTTTCAGCCGTTACTTCCTGAGAACTAAGACGACTTTGCGTTGACCCTATAGTCGGACCTCATCCAAGAATCTCATTCTACGTTTGGTCGGCATACGTAGGTAGCAGGCGAAAGTGAGACCCCGATCACCGGTGAAGTTCTGGTCTTCTACGATCAGGGGGAAGAATTCAGTGGATGGAATAGACAAAACTGATCCAAACTTAATATTGATTAGGAGGATGACCGATGGATACACTTAGATACCAAGACTAAATATGTTACGCTTGAGGCACACATAGCTGTTCGTGATCTATGCCTGACCTCAAGCATCTCGTCCCCTTACACCATACCTTACCACCTGGAACGCCTCTGGCACTTGCCTTCTCGCACAAAAGAAATTTTAACAGCTCATTCACTCCCCTTTCTTCAGGAAGGTCAATGCAGCAACAACATATCCCTCCATTCCCACCGTCAACGTAGGCTGCACAACCGGTGCAAAGAACGGACTATGGTTTCCTGGAACATCCTCACTAAGCCTTCCCTCCTTCTCCGCCTTGTCCCAAACCGCTGGATCCGTTCCCCCATACAAGAAAAAGCAACTTGGCTTACCGATCGCGGTAGCCAAGATACCAAAGTCTTCTGAACCCTGCAAGCGCGCAATGTCAGACTGATAAGAATGCTTGCCAGGTTGAAAGTGAGCTGAGAACGACTCTTCTAGTGCATTGGTAATGTCGGCGTCATTGAAGAGCAAAGGGAACTGCGTTGTTGGTGTCAAGGTGGGAGCATTTGGATTGTTTGATGCTTCGGCTTCAGTAGCGACGATACGCTTCACGCTAGCAAGTACACGTTCGCGAGTCTGGGGCAAGGCGGCGCGGACGTCGATCTTTAGGTTGGCTTCTGAGGGAATGATATTTTCGGCGTCGCCGGCATGGAAGGCAGAGACTGTTACGACGGCGAAGTCCAGGGGATCTACTTCTCGCGCTACGATGGATTGGAGACGCATAATCGTGGAAGCGGCTTGAAGGATAGGATCGATGCCGCGGTGTGGGGTGGATGCGTGGGCTTGCCGGCCCTCGATGCGGAGTTGAAATCGATCTGCAGAGCTGGCGATCAAACCATGCTTTGTTCCTATGACACCGGCTCTTTCTGGCATGACATGCGCGCCGACAACGACGTCTGGCTCCTTGACCTTCTGATAAAGCCCATCGTCGACCATGTTTTGCGCACCGCCTGCCCTCTCTTCCGCTGGTTGAAACACCAGAATCAGTTCTCCGCTCCATTCGTCTTTACATTTGACTAGAGTTTCTGCCGCCGCAAGCAACGCTGTAATATGCATGTCATGGCCACAGGCATGCATAATGGGTTTCTCAACATCATCCAAGTCCTTCATACGCTCCGTACTCGCATAGTTCAGCCCAGTCTTCTCTTCAACAGGTAGCGCGTCAATGTCAGCACGTAAGAGAAGGGTCTTTCCAGGGCCGTTGGAGAAGCTGGCAGCAATACCGTGACCGCCGATAGAAGTATGGATCGTGAAAGCTTTGAAGGTTTCGAGCTGTTTTACGATGGCCTCGGCAGTTTTGGCTTCTTGGAAAGAGAGCTCGGGGTGCGTGTGGAACCATTTGTCTGGATCACCGTTAATGCCAGTATCGACAGAATTGGAAGGGTACCTACAAAGCTCCTCATATGAGGCCAGGTCGGGCTGGTTTGCCTTTACAATCTCGCTTATCGAAGGCATGATGTCTGCTTATCCAGTCTTGCGAGGTTTCTGAAAAGGTGAGATTGGATTGCTGTGAAGTCAGTCACTCATATATACGCTCGAACACAAGGCCGATAGCACGGTAAATGACCTGCCTTTGTCGCGTTAGTGTCTCCTAGGCTGGATTAGTGAGGTTGTGATAAATGTGGTTCCCGACGGGGAAAGTTGAAAATGACGTATGAGCGTGCGTGAGAATGTGGGGTAGCGTATCTGACCATAACGCTCATATCTCAATCGGCAACAGCGACATACTACGGAGATATGCGGGAAAAGAGCCCCCCGGCAACTAGAAAATGAGCAGCGGGTGAATCAAGGAAAGTAGGTCAGAAAAGTGATAAGGTCGTTGATATTAATACAATGATGTGCGTAACGCCTGACTAAAGACTAAAGCTATGCTCAAATCCATAAACATATGCACCCACAGTTCCTCGCATGTGGGCACACGAGTTCCTGACTCTGTTCTTTGGTTGCCTTCCTGCTGCAGTTGCACACAATGTACAGCAAATGAAACAAGCTTTTGGAGTGCGGAAGGATTTGGCTTGGCCATTCTATGACCCACTCATATCCTCGTTGTCTTTCTCCAACTGTCGCTCAAGACTCCCCATAGGGTCTGACTCGGAACGTGACGTAGAAGGAGTGACTGGTGTTTGTTGCACAGGCTCAGGCTCAGCTTCGGGCTCAGCTTTGGGCTCAGCTTCGGGTACTGGTGCAGGAACAGATTCTGGTCCGGGTTCGGGCTGAGACTCAGATGCTACCACCGGCGCTGGTGCCGTGCTCTCTTCCACGGTTGGAGCTAGGACTTCATTCTGGGCATCTCCAGGAATGAAGGCTTCTGTGGTGGTATCAGAAGTTGAGATCTGGTTCATAGAGTTCTGGCGACTATGGGAGACGGCAGAGAGCGGTAGATCAGGTGAACTTGAAGGGTCACGCTTCGGCGTTTGCATAATCGTGTCGGTCGTGTCGGCCGGGACAGATTCGAGTGTGGTCCTTTCGATTGTTGCGGTATTTTGGGAAGGCTCGTTGGAAGTCGGCGGTGCTTCAGTAGCTAGCTCGGCGCTTTCTGCTGGAGCAGGCTCTGTGAAACTAGATATCTCGTTCGCTAGAGCGCTGGTAGGAGCCACAGAAGATGCCTGAGGGGTCGCTGGGTTAGAGGTATGTTCCATGTCTTGGTCCTCATCTTCTGAACCCTCCTCGCCAGAAGCCTCTTCTTCCTCGCCGCCGGCGTCTGCCATTGGTGTATCTCCTCCATCTGAAGGTGCTACTGATCCATCCTCTTGTTTGACGCCTGGTACACCCAGCAAATCACCACCAGCAAGTGATGCTGGCGTTCCTTGCTCTACTCCACCCTCGGCGAAGACGACTTTCTTCTTGCCTCTGCCCGGACCTCCACGCTTCACCTTCTTCTTTGGAGGTGGTGGCCTTCGCCTAGGTGGCGTTTGTTGTAGAATGTCGTTAGCGACGACCACGCCCTCCGCGTTCACCACACCGACTCCTTCGACAATGGTGCCTGGTGCCGCGGTAGCTGGTGCGACTTCAATCGCGGCGTCTGTGGGTTGAACTTCGCCTTCTACAGCCTGACCTTCTGGGACAAGCACTTTGTAAACAGCCACATTGCCATCGGCATCGAGCTTCTTTACTTTGGTTTCTCGCAATGCAGGTTGTGCGACCTGACCATTGACGTAGGGTGACGGTAGACCCTTCCTTCTCTTTGCGAGATATTCTGGTTCCGGGACTTCTAGATGTCGTGCAACTTTGACGTACTTCTTGATAGTGAATCCGGTACGAATTTCTTTGGTCTCTTCTTCTTCATCTTTCATCTCGTTGTCGTCTTCTGGAGGTGCGGGTGGCTTATATAACTTCCCAGATCGTGCTGCTCGCAGTAACTGTTGAGAATGCTCAGGCAACATGTGAGAGTCTCGAGGCATGGGTAGTTCAGGCCAAGCATCCTTATCCAAAGGTTTGTTATCAGCCGAATTTGGTTCAATAGTAATTTCTGCTTCCCGGTATTGACTGATGGGAAGTCCTTCTAACACATTATGTTCTATTTGACCACGCCCTGATCTGTTGGATCGGTCCCTGTTCCGGAACTAGTCACATGATGTTAGCTTCCAGTCTGACAAACATACGAGCGTATATGCTATCCTGCTCAGGTTGAAGAAAAATAGGTCATGGCCGCTGCTTTGCATGAGTGGAAAGTAAGTACCAATGAGGTACTCATCACCACCTGTCGAGCAGGCGAGACTCTAGACCACGAAGTGATCTCTTTGCGACGTTTCCTCCACAAAACGATGTCGCGTCGATGATAAGAAGATGAAATGTTCAGGATGCGATGCACGTGATGGCAATAGCGATGTTACGTCGCGCGCGTGCAAATGGCGGCAACTCGATGTGACAGACGCAGCTTGAGGATGCACGCTCGAACGGAAAGATGAGGTGACGTACCGGAGCCATGGCGACGTGTGGTTTCCTCGATAAAGACTGGATCAGTCGGTGAAAGTGGGTATGAGAGTCGGCGCAATGCAACGGGAAGTCGCGATGCGTGAAGGGGAAGCGCGTCGCTTTGCAGATGGCAGGCACAACCGTGCGCCGCTAGACTCTTTTGAGTGCATCTGCGATCGCTGCCTTGAGACTTGAGACGCAATCATCAGTCTCCTGCATATCCTCTCAATAAAGTGATTTCAGTCAATTTCAAACTATCAACTCTAATTCCGTCAGCTTTCCGATATTCTTCTATCTGATCTGGCATTGTGGTTTGGTTGATTCCAGTTCTGCAATGACGCACGCGAACGAGCCACTCATAAGTTCCGCAAATCAAACAATATACACACGATAGAAGACAAGACAATCAAACATTCACACCAACAATAGTAGTGATATTGTCCTAACGACTCATATTTTTTGTACAAGCGCAGGAAGTACCGATGCTTGTTGTCATGCGAACTTCACATTTAATCTGAACATTCCATTCGATGGAGTTGAATAATAGGCACGATATAGTACAGTATACTCATTCTCGATTTTTCCACCGTCGTCGGGACAGGCGCAGCTGTTCTGCTACCGTGCATGTCTCCGCATCCACATGCAATTTACGCCATATTGTTACAAGATCATTTCGTCTCATTATCCGTATCCGCACTTTTGGGCGGACCACTCAGTCCCAACCCTGATCCTTCACCCTGACGATGTCATTTCTGTCTCCCTTTTGCTTGCCCTCTTTCCCTCCTTCGACGACTAATCGATCGATCTGGTAGAATTGGCTTATTACTGTTTGCCTCTGTGGACCGAGTCAGCGTCCGTCCCAGTACATTCCATGCTACACTCCTGCGCTCTATCTGTCGTTGTCGCATCCCACAACATGCATCCCCTGATAGGTTTATAGGCTGCGATTTGTTTTGCTTGCCACCTTTTCCGCCGCGCGCTGCAGACCCTCCAGTACCGAACGAGCAGAAAGCTATCTTACCTTCAGCATTTGCAATTCGCTCAAGCCCTTCTGTACCAGCTCTTGTATTGTTCGCTCTTCTGTCACATTCTTGCTGTCTCGGAACGCATCGCGAGTCCTCCGTTTGGCGTATTCGCGGAAATTGTAGGCGGCGAACTGGCTGCTCTGGCGCAGGAGGGAGCGGTACTACAAAGATTAATTAGTCAATGTTCTACGACGAGAGAAGCGACACGTGCGCGCGCAGTACATCTGCACAGTACACGTAGGGATACAGTGCAGATTGTAGGCTGCGAATCCCATGAGGCGACACATCATGAGTCGCTGCAGCGGCTGTATCGAAATAATCCAGGAGGGGTACGTACGAGCGAGCGCACTTGATAGGCCATGTCGCCTTTCGTTGCTTGTGCTAATGACATGATTGCAGACGATGTGCGGAAGTGTGTATGGGGACGGTGCGACCTGGGAATAAAAGTCGCTGGTTAGGTCATAGGTCTGGGGCACATGTCGGAGCGAAGCTTCGAAAGTCCGAGCAGTGAACAGAACTACCACAGCTTGCCCCACGCTAAACACTGTGGAAACGGATTGTAGATGGAGCACGAATTTCAGGTACACTTTTCATTAAGCTTTTGAAGCTGTTGTTTTACAACCGAGCTAATGACTCGGAACTATCGAACCTGTGAAGCTCTTTTGGCTTCTGATCGGTGGTATACACAAGTGACATCGCCAAAAACGCCACCCAATGCAAGTAGAGCAATTGATGTCCTGAACAACGAATCACGTGGAAGAAAACTCAAGACTTACTCGTATCCACGCCCTATTGGCGATGCTTCTCTTGAATCCTGCGAAGCTGCTCCTGAACATTCATGCTTTGCATTTGCGAAAGACGTGCAGCGTCCTTGGCAGGATCAGGCTGGCCGTCGTACGACAGTGCAGCTTTCTTCCTCCGAGCTTCTTCCTCTGCAGATATGGGTAATCCTGTAGCACCATCGTAGATGTCTTCGCGCTGACTAGCGAAACGTTTAAGGTTGTTTGCAACGTCGGCGGTGTTGATCGTGGTAGAGTACCGGGCTTCCGCCTTGTCGCGCTGTTCCTTCCAGCGTGGATCGAGCAATTCGACTATCATACAGCGTTAATAAAGGCTTTTGGGAAAATGGAAAAATGGAAAACTTACTGCGAATGTGCTCGTCCATCTCGTTCGAGGGGATTTGCTGCTTGCAGTTAGGGCATACGGCCATCGGAACGTTTGCCTTCTTTGCGGCAGCGCGGGGAACGTAGTCTGTGACAATGCGACCAGGTGCTCCTCTGGCAGCAGCCTGAGCGCGTGCGCGCTGCTCGTTCTCCGCTTGACGCTCCCTTGCCTGCCGAGCTTGCTCTTCCTCGCGCGATATTTGTGCCGGCGTCCGGTAGTCGGGCATAGGGGGAGGCGCGTAGGACGGTACGCCATACGGTGGCTGCACAGGTGGTGCCGCAGGGGCGTAGTTTGGCGGCATCTGAGGCGGTGGTACCTGCTGCTGTGAGACGTTGTAGTACGTCATCTCGTCGGGCATGGCTTCTTCGAGACGCCTTGTTGATAGCGAGACCGCAGCCTTCTGTTCGAGCGACTGCGATTGTAGATCATTCAGCTGTGCGGGAGGAGGCAAATCCGCTGCATCATCAGCTTCATCAAAGAGCACAGTCGCGATGACTGTGAAGTCGTGCCAGTCGACCGTCGCATACTCTTGCTTCTCGGCCTCCACCTTCTTCTCCTCTTTCTCTTTCTGTGCAGTCACATATTTGACGTACTCGGCGCGTCCCTTGGCGCGATCTAATACATGGAATCGGTTCTTAATGTTCTGCTGCAACTCCTCGATGCGTGCCTCGACTGTGGCTTCTTCCTCAAGCAGGATCTTGTATTGTTCAACGAGCGATCGGAAGAACTGGAAGAAGCTGTGATTTGGTCGGAGAAAATCAAACTGAAAGTTGCCAGACTCACGGTTGCGCAAGTCCTTCAACCAGTTCTCACCCACGCGCGCCGTGTACAGAGCAGTGAGCTTCAACACCTCCAAATCCTTTGCGCTGATGTTCGGCATGCGCGCGGAAAAGCGGAACTTGGGCGGTTCTGGAGGACCCTTGGGTTTGTTGTCAACCACTTGCTTAGCACTTCCAGCTGATCGCCCATGACCCTCCTTGAGTTGCTGAAGATACCACAGGAAGTAGGCATTGTAGGGGTCCTCCTCCAAAACGAATACAAAGTTACGGTTGTTCGCAGCTGAAGGGTCAGACGTGACGCGCTGCTTCAGTCCATTGAAATGTGATTCGCCTCGGCGGGCAACGAAATCAGCCGTCTTTGCGATCGTCTCGCGCACGTTGGGCGGGGGGATGACTAGGTTCTCTGGTGGCTTGACATCGAGCTCCGGCGGTCCTACAGGAGCGCCTTCGCCGTTGGAGTTGGCCATGGCGCGTTGTGGTGATGTTCGTTACGGTTTCGAGGGATGGTATCGGTAGTCCTGTTTACGAGTCGCAAAAGATCGGTAAACCGATCGCCAGGGCAGGAACAAGGGGTTCTTTCTAGGCGCCAGGAACAAGATTTCAATCGCGGCTACCTGCTTTTACTGGCTTGCGCGTAGATCGCGTGGGGCGGTTGCGGACGATGGGGTAGCGGCGACTGGGCTTGGAGTTGTCGCAAAGTTCCCATAGTACAACAAGCCCGCTGGTGCGAGAAAGATGTTCCGGGCCGACGATCTTCAGCCACAGTTGAGCCACATGCACCAGCCACACATGTCAAGGTGAAGCACTCGGCGCGATACCCAAGGCGCCTCGGCTTGGGAACGCTGTCAAGTCGTCAGACTACTATTGCTGGAAAGATTGTCTGGACTCTTCAACTTGGACAGAACATTGCGTGGAGTGATTGTTCTATACGGGCCTTGACCTATTTTCAGCCCTCCCAGTTCGGTAAGGCCCGTCGTAAGGAACAGCTTGCAACTAGGGTTAATTGGTACGCAACGCAACCACTACTCCTCGCGGGACCCTCCCCCTAGCTTGAACTGTTGCGCCTACCATTGAGACTCCCACCTCTTCTCTCCCCTCATCTTGATGGGACTCTCTTCCAACTCTCTTTAATTCTTTTTGTTACGACATTGGCCCCAAGCGCCTTCCACCCAGACTATAGTTGCAACTCCGCAGCGGTCCCAACTTTTGGTACAACGCCGTCTACCAGCTGATCGAGCCACGACACATCGTCACGTCCCGCCGTCATGGCGAGCCTATCGGCATCCAATGCCTACCTAGGCGAGAAGCCCCAATCGAAGAGATCCAAGTCGCGTTCCAAGTCGCGGTCGCCAGCACCCAACGGCCGAAAGCAGCAAAAGACGCAGCAGCAGAAGGTCCAAGGCTATACCTCCGAGGGAGTGCAAGACCATGACATTTTCAACCTCCCCGCATCGGACTGGTCTTTGTTAGCCATGTTGACTGGCGTGGCTGCTGTTGTACGCCTCTTCCGCATTCAACAGCCGACCAGCGTTGTCTTCGACGAAGTCCAGTAAGCCGCATCGTCTAAGCAAGAGTCTAAAGAACTTGTTCGCTGACTTCTATCTCAGCTTCGGTGGGTTTGCGTCGAAATACATCAAGGGCAGGTTCTTCATGGATGTCCACCCTCCGCTTGCGAAACTCCTCATCACATTGGCAGGATGGTTAGGTGGATTTGACGGAAACTTTGACTTCAAGGATATTGGCAAGGACTACCTGGAGCCCAAGGTTCCATATGTCACTATGCGCATGTTGCCCGCCATCCTCGGTATTCTGACGATTCCGACCATGTTCCTTACTCTGAAGGCTGCTGGCTGCCGTACTACCACCGCAGCCCTGGGTGCTGGCCTCGTCATCTTCGGTAGGACGCACACATCCATCTATCACCATATATACTAACCATTGCTAGACAACGCACTCGTGACCCAGTCCCGCCTTATCCTCCTCGACTCGCCGCTCGTCATCTTCACAGCCCTTACCGCACTCGCCTGGACAAGCTTCATGAACCAGCACGAACAAGGACCCGCAAAGGCCTTCCAGCCATCCTGGTGGTTCTGGTTGGTCACCAGCGGTGTTGGACTCGGCGCGACAGTCAGTGTCAAGTGGGTTGGTCTATTCACTATTGCCTGGGTCGGCAGCTTGACGCTTGTGCAACTCTGGGTCCTTCTTGGGGACACCAAGAACGTCACACCACGATTATGGTTCAAGCACTTCTTCGCCCGCATGTTCTGCTTGATTGTCATTCCCGTCTCGTTCTACATGGCCATGTTCGGAATCCATTTCCTCTGCCTGGTCAACCCTGGTGAAGGTGACGGCTTCATGTCGTCGGAATTCCAAGCGACACTAAACTCCAAGGGCATGCAAGCTGTTCCTGCTGACGTCGCTTATGGAAGTCGTGTCTCTCTGCGCCACTGGAATACTCAAGGTGGATACCTTCATTCACACAGTCACATGTACCCGACCGGTAGCAAGCAGCAACAAATTACCCTCTATCCCCACAAGGACGAGAACAACATCTGGATCTTGGAGAACCAGACTCTGCCGATCATGCCTGAAGACTACACTGGACCAAACCTCACAAGCCCGAAGGCATGGGATAACATCGGCCCAGATTACATCGAGGATGGTGGCGTCATTCGTCTCTACCATATCACTACCGATCGCCGCCTTCACTCCCACGATGTCCGCGCGCCTGTTACTGAGGCTGACTGGCAAAACGAGGTTTCTGCGTATGGCTATGAAGGCTTTGAGGGCGACGCGAACGACCTCTTCCGTATTGAGATTGTTAAGAGCAAGTCTGACGGAGCAGTGGCTAAGAAGCGCGTCCGAACTATCCAGACCAAGTTCCGGCTTGTTCACGTCATGACTGGCTGCGCACTGTTCTCGCACAAAGTCAAGCTTCCCGACTGGGGTTTTGAGCAGCAAGAGGTTACCTGCGCTAGGCAAGGTACCTTGCCCAACAGTATCTGGTACATCGAGGGCAATGTTCACCCGCTGATGGTGGATGGTGAAGTCGAGAAGGTCAACTACCGTAACCCCGGATTTTTCGGCAAATTCTGGGAATTGCAGAAGGTCATGTGGAAGACCAACGCCGGCCTTACTGAATCGCATGCCTGGGATTCTCGCCCTCCGTCTTGGCCAATCCTACGTCGCGGTATCAACTTCTGGGGCAAGCACAACCGTCAGATCTACCTTTTGGGTAACCCAGTGATTTGGTGGAGCTCTAGCGCGCTCATTGCCCTCTACATTGCTATCAAGGGTATCGCAATCCTTCGCTGGCAGCGTGGCTATCGCGACTACAGCAATGTCACATTCAAGCGTTTCGACTACGAGGTCGGCATGAGTATTCTCGGATGGGCCTTCCATTATTTCCCATTCTACCTGATGGCGCGTCAACTTTTCTTGCACCACTACCTACCCGCTCTTTACTTTGCCATCCTGGCTCTTTGCCAGATCTTCGACTTTGTGAGTTACCGATTCAGCGTCTTTGGCTTGAGGCAGTACCCTGCTATTGGCCAAGCAGCAGCTGTTGGTTTCCTAGCTATCGCCATCACGGTCTTTACTGTATACTCTCCACTGGCATACGGCAACGCATGGACCAAGGATGCTTGCAACAGTGTCAAGCTTTTCGACTCTTGGGACTGGGACTGCAACAACTTCCTCACTTCTGTAAGTATCCTTCACGTGGTGAACGGCCGACACCTGCTAAATGATTCTAGTATGAAGCATACAACACCATGCACTCTGAGCCGATAGCATCTGTCGCTGTACCTTCTTCAGCACCTCCTGCGCCTCCGGTCCAAGCCGCACCAGAAGTCGTTCCCCAAGTTCAGCAAGAGCAACCCAAGGAACAGCAAAACCAGCAGCAAAATCAGCAACCAATCCAGGAAGCAAAGGAGTCGAAGCAGGAGAATGTGATGTCCGAACAAGCTGTAGTTTCCCAGCCACCTCAGGAGCCTCCCAAGGACCTCCCTGTTGTATCAAAAGAAGAGCGTGTTGAGTACCGCGACGAGAACGGCCGTATCCTCGACGATGATGAGGTATCAGCACTTGCCGGCAAGGTCAGCTTCAAGACCCGCTACGAGACCCGGACCCGTATTATCGATGGTGAAGGTCACGAGATCTATGAGGGCCTCGTGGACTCACATGGCGATGCTGAGGAAAATGGCGTTGCCCCTCCCCATCCTGACGCCGAGGGCCGTAATCCCGAGACGCAAGAACAAGCCAACGCTCCCGAGGCCAGCGAGGCCCCACCAACTGTCGAGGTCGTCGAGGACCAACAGAAGGAGAAGAGCGTCGAGCAGCATCAGGAGGAGGCTCAGCCAGCCAGCGAAGCCCAATCGGCTACGCAAAAGGAGGAGTAAACTCATCCTGTCTTCTTCCCATGGCACTACCATGGTCTTCTTTCTCTCTTTTGTATCATAGGGACGGATAAACTCAGCAGCGTACGGAGCTGGTGGCGCTAGGTCTGGCATAGCAAACAAACATGACGGCAGGTGGAGAGTGGGCTGCATCTGTCTTGGATCCTGTATGATTACATATAATGTGATTTTTGAAAATCTGACTTGGCGTCTTGCATGCATCGCAAAAACTCAACTTGCTTCAAGACATTCTCGGTTCGCTTTAGAGATTAGTACCCAGGACTTCGTTGGTACAGACTGACACCCAGGATGAGGACGAGGAAAGTATCAAATGTCGATGTAGTTGTGGGAATATGACCTGCCGTGCCGATGCCAGGTCTTCCGACATCTTTTGGCTTTGCAACAACATCTGCCGGTCGGCAACGAAGATATGGTAAACTAGTAAAAGTAAGTTGCAGACTAAGCATTGCTGTCCCAGGTTCGATGACTTTCAGCCTCAGACCCAGTGTTCTCACCTCACCCGATCAACCGGATGGACCGCTAACCAGCTCTCCCGCAATCGGATGCCGCGGTGCACAATGCAGGGATCGGGTATCTTTGGACAACGTCGCGAACTAGCATCTGATCTCGGAATTTGCTCCAGTACGCTAAGCGCATTTCCAAGACATGCGATTCGTCGTTATCGGCACCTGGAGCCGCACTACACTACTCAACTTCAGGGGTCACCAGGTCCACAGTGTCTAGAACACGTTTGCAGCCAGGGTCACGACTGTGGGCACTCTACATCTAAGCGGTAGCTCATCATTTCTATGTACCGCTCGCACATGCCAGCGGCTTCTTCTTTTCTTTTCGGCCCATGAAGGGACTGGTAACGACGCGAAACCCCACCCATCACATCCGGCGGCGAGGTCGGGCAGAAAAGTTACGCAGCAGCTCGGGCAGAGTTGCTACAAGTCTTTAGATTTGTCCATGATCTCCGCGTGACCCCAGTGACCAACGCCCTATTTGTTGCAAGATCAACAACTTTTGACTTGTATTTCGCCGACAGATCACCTTTGCAAGGAAAAAGGAATTTTCTCGAATATAACCTTGGGCATTAAGCTGTGGCTGAGGCAGGGTGGGTGATGCGCGTGAGATCCCTAACATCTTCCCTGCTTGCGCTGTGTGGCAAATGCAGAGGAAGTGTCGCGAGCCTCATGTGCTCTTTGTGGGAATGTTCGCCACTTCTCATAAGCTAAAAGGAAGCCTTCTTCTCGCATTTCTGTCCTCCGCGGAGCAAATACTGGCACACGGCCGCGCCCACTCGACGCACTGTGAGTATTATAAATTAGAAATGCGGTCTAGCCGCGCATCGCTTTTTTCAGAAAACCCCTCTTTGTGCGTCAGATTCCCATGCTTGCAGCATCGTAAACTTTTGCGTCGGTTTTTTTGGGCTGCGTTTGGAAAGTGTGGTGGCATTGCATATCTTGCAGGAGCCGACTGGTCTCTCTTTCTTTCTTTTTTCTTTTTTGCGATAATAGTCCTATTCTCGCATTTTTATATTTCGCCGCAGTTGTCGTTACTCTCCGTTAGCTGTGCTGTTGGAGAAGAGCTCGTCGCCTGCGATGGCGCCCGACTCTCAAAACACCCACCATTTCATGAACAGCAAGGATGGGCCTACACCTACCCAACACTCCTACGATAACGAAAACAACCAAAGCTTCCACGACGGCGATTCGTACATTCAACAAAGCATCGAACAACCCAATCCGCCAATCGCTACCATCGTAAACGCTGCGACCCCGGGTCCCTATATGATATACATCGTGACCGATACTTGCTATCCGACCGCCTCCAGCTTTCAAAATAACATCGGCACCGCGCACATCACTTCGGTGCATTCCACAAAGGCAGCAGCCAATAGCCGAGCCAAGAAGATTATCTACGAGAACGATGGGGACTGCACGGTTGACCTTGATAAGATTATCGAGGAGGTGAAACAGGGATTGTACACTGGGATCGGGGTCGGTGGTAAAGTAGAATCGAACGGCTGTTGTTATGCGAGGAAGTGCGAGGTGGAAGGCAAGATTGTTGACGAAGACAGCGACAGCGAGGAGACAAGTGGGGAGAGTGGCGACAGTGATCTTGTGGATGGTATGGGAGAGCAAGACGCTGACGTGGAGATGGGTTGATGAAGCAAAGAAGACGATACACATGACAGAGAGAAGCTGTGACCGACGTAGGCAAAAGGGAGATCTGACGTTGATGCATACTACGGGCGTCATTCACAAAAGAGAACATCTGGGTGGGATTCTTCGCCAGCCGTGACAGGCATTGGAAGTATGGACATTCAGGGGACTTGTAGGATGCGGCTAGGCAACCTTACTGTAGTCGGCACTGGCAGCAATGTCCAGTGCAGGCACACGAAGGGGTTAACGGCATATCAACCATTGGACTGACACGTCCAGCTCATAGGGCTTTCTGCACGCTTGTGGTGAAACACAGCGTTTGGCACATCGCATACACAGATATAGACAACGAGCATATAATGAATTAAAGGGGATGGTGGATGGCAACATCAATGGCTGAGTGGATGAACATGCCAACGAACAATGTACGATAGTTTTCTTATGCCGCATACAGTGAGGAATCAACCTAAACTCTTCTCCAGTGTTCATGTCGGGAAGCAAAGGGTATACTTGGAGTGGGTGGATATAAGTTCGTCGATGCTGTAGTGTGGTTGTTGATTCTTGGAAACTGCTGGCCCAGGAGCGGTGCACGCGCCAGTCATTTCCCCGCCCCCGCCCACAGGCAACGCACGTCATCGGACGCGCGAAGCAGGAACAGCATCTCTATACGACTTGCACATGCCGCAACCCATGATGTCGCAAGCACTAACTGTATCTTCAACAGAATGTCCGCTGGATACTTCCCGAAACGCGAAAAGGTAGGCCTTGAAGACCTCTTCAAGGGCCTGGTTACAGCCTGCCATATCCTCCACAATGCAAAAATCCTAGACGCATATGGACACATCTCGGTACGGTCGCCGGATAACCCTGCGACCTTCTGGATGCCTTGTAACATGCCGCCAGCACTCGTCAGCTCACAAGACGATCTGGTTGAATACAACGTGGACGGTGCGGAAGCGGTCGAGAAGAATGCGAAGCCAGGCTACCTCGAGAGGCACATCCATAGTGAGATATACAAGAGATTTCCTGCCATCAACTGTGTGGTGCATAGCCATGCTGCCGACGTGCTGCCATATTGTGTAAGCGGTGTGCCACTGAAGAACACCATTCACATGGCTGGCTTCTTGGGTAAGTTTCCCGAACCACAATATCTTTTCCTGCGCTGATGTATCCGCTCTAGGTACCAACGTTCCAGTCTGGGATGCCTCGAGCCACTACCCATCAGGCTCCAAGCATGACCTCCTTGTCCGCGATAGTACACTTGGCTCCTCCCTCGCAGCTGCATTCAAACCAGCAACTTCAACTGGCTTCATATATTCAAAAGTACGCTCCGCTCTGCCGACGCAGCTCGGTGGTTCATCCGCAGAGCCCAAGATGGAGCCTGATCACGCAGTTGTTCTGCTCCAAGGCCATGGCTTTACAACCGTCGCGCACGGCATCGAGGAAGCTGTCTACCAAGCGATATACACAAGGGAGGCAGCCACAGCGCAAACGACGGCTATGACAATATTGAACGCTCACACCGGCTACGCGCTTGAAGGCAAGGTAGATGTTCAAGCTGGTGGGAAGATCAAGTCAGGACATGCCAAGGTCGAGGGCGGTAATTTGAAGTACTTGAGCGACAGCGAATGCCATGATGCCTGGGAGTCGATTTCAGGCACGCTGACGAGGCCGTGGGCGCTTTGGTGCCGAGAGGTGGAAGTCAATCCGCTGTACAGAAATGACTGCCCAGGTGGCGATGATTGAGCTACAAGGGAGTATCGCACTGTGGCTAGGTTCATCTTTAGTAACATTCGTTCTTTTAACTGTTTCTGACGTGCCTTCATATATAGTCTTATTCCCGTTTACGAAAAAAAACTAATTTCTCGCGAGTCCTCGGCTCTATTTCAAACTTTAATATCCAAAAGAGCCGTAGCACACCCACCTTGCAGACGACTTACCGCGACGCTTTTTTATCATTCCAATAACGTTCCATCTCTACATGAAACCTTTATTCGCTCCTTGCGACCGATTTTCCGGACTTTTTGGACCATGTCGGCAACGGCGTTACCCCATGCAGTCCAGCCAAGTTGTTCCATAGTGCTTGTCTCACAGGCCAAGATGTTCCGCCACTAATTGTGCATATACCCCGGACTCCGGAATCATCCACCCCTCATAGCAATCTGAGCCCCTAGGCCAACATCATCACTCCGTATTGTCGATCCGGGGAATTGAAGCGATCTCATGCCGAGGTGCATGTACCTAGCATGAATCACTACCTCTGCTTAGTATACCACCCGCCCTTCCGGTCTCATAGTGCGGTGAATTGGGGTGTCAAACGACCGCAAATGTGGCTTTTCTGGGATAAGAGGTGTGGAAGCTTTCTGGCTAGTGGAAGACTCGGAGTGGGCGTGATGAGTATTTCGGAGCATTTGCAACCGACTAGTATTGCACAATGTAGCAAGTCCTTGCTGTTGGCTCGAGAGGTGAGCATATAGGTAAGGGTATCAAACCAACATTCTTTCTACAAGTCTGTGATATTCTTTTGACTTCCACTGGCCACTCTGTTGATCAATCATTTCGAAACCTTCGTCTCTTGCCATGTTGTTCAAGAGCGCACTGTTGGCTGCGGCCACGCTCTCTCCCTCGACCTTGGCCGCTTTTGGCGCCTCGCAGAGTGGGGACAACATCGTTGTTGATACTGGCGCGACCAATCCCCTCATCTTTACCGTCAATGCAAAGAGTTGTGATATCACTTCGATCAAATATCGAGGAGAAGAGTTGCAGTCCTCAGAGAAGGGATCGCACATCTCATCTGGACTAGGCACTGCAACTGTCAAATATGAGACGATTAGCGGTCAGTTTTATATCCCTTACTTCGGGATTGGGAGCTGATAGAATGAACCAGGCCAATATGTCAAGGTTACCTGCACAACTAGTACCTTGACGCACTACCTTGTCGCGAAGTCCGGCGAAGCGACAATATACATGGCGACATATACGACTGCCGAGCCCAGCATCGGTGAATTGCGCTTCATCGCTCGTCTGAAAAGTAGCGCTCTACCACTAGAGTATCCCTTTGGCGTCGTATCAACAACTGTTGGGTCGACATCGACGGTCGAAGGGTCAGATGTGTTTGTAGTTAACGGGCAAACGCGAAGTAAATTTTACTCGAGTGAGCGCTTCATTGACGACACTACAGTAAGGGTCCCTCCAAGCCATGATCTTACTGAGTACCTTTATTGATGTGTTTTAGCACTGCGTCTATCGTGATGGTACCGACGCAGTTCACGCCTGCTTCCTTATGAACTCCTACTCTTACGAAGCCTCATCCGGTGGCCCTTTCCACCGCGACATCAACACAAACAACGGAGGTAAGAGATGTCTCTCTATATTTTGAATATGAGACATATACTGACTTTGTATACCCTCGCTTTAGGAGACTACACTTCATTGACATTCTACATGAACAGTGGTAAGGAATGACCCTGCAAGAACTGCATATGAGGCATACACTGACTTCATACGCGTACATTTCAGGCCACGTTCAGACAGAGAAGTTCCGTCAGGGTCTGCACGGGCCGTATGCCCTAGCCTTCTCTCGCTCCGGTATACCTGCAGGTGGCTCCAGTATGGACACTACATTCTTCAAGGACCTTAGTGTGACAGGCTATGTGGCTCCATCCGCCAGGGGTACAGTGACTGGAACGGCAACAGGTGTTAGCTCCAGTTTCCAACGGGTGTTGCACTGGTACAACGATGCATCCCAATATTGGGCATACGCTGATAGTAGCGGCAAATTCACATCGCCAGCAATGAGGCCTGGCACCTACACCCAGGTCCTCTACCAGGGAGAGTTCAAGGTCAAAGCCGCCAGTGTGACGGTTTCAGCCGGTAAGGCAACCACTGCGAACATTGCCGCCGATACCGAAACCAAGACTTCAGTCTGGCGCATCGGCGAATGGGATGGTCAGCCCAAAGGCTTCCGCAACGCAGACAAGCAATTGCGAATGCACCCCACAGATTCGCGCATGGCATCCTGGGGTCCATTGACGTATACAGTTGGCTCTAGCACCCTTGACAGTGTCCCCATGGCTATCGTCAAAGACAACAACCCCCTTACAATCAAGTTTTCGGGCATCTCTACCGCCGCGGCGACACTCCGTGTTGGTACCACACTCTCCTTCGCAGGTTGTCGTCCATCGGTTATAGTCAATAGCTTCAGTGCTGCCACACCTGCTGCGCCAACAAAGATCGATTCGCGTGGTTTGACTCGAGGCGCATATCGGGGGTATGGGGAGGTCTACAACTATGATATACCAGCTGGTACGTTGGTTAGCGGAAGCAACACCATCAAGATTAGCTGTACGAGCGGAAGTTCCGGTACTGGCTTTCTGGCTCCAAATGTGATTTTGGATGCGATAGAGTTGTTCAATTAGGTGTTTGAACGCTTCGGGAGAATGATATATGGCTGTGGAGTCTACAAGATATATGACGAAGGCGCTTCAACGGAGCTGAATAGCCAAATCTTTCTTCTTGTTAGTATTTACCATTTCATTCACTTTTCGTGAATAACTCTTCGCAGATTCTGCACGTTTGTCTTCCTTTCTGGTTAAATAATTCCCGCGTGGGATTGGTAGTTGACAGAGATCATTTCACAATACCGAGGATTACATAAAGTTTCAACGCGCATTTCAGTGTGCATCGGATGCATTGAGCACAACTTTTCACAGCAGCACTGACCACGATGACAATTATGTTTGCCGAACTAGGAGCCTACCGTTGCCGCGCAAAGAAGGATGATTCCACCGGCTTCGCCGACAGTCGTAAAAGCTTACAATCGTATGTCTTTTCCATGTCTATGGGCATAGCATTCATATTCGGCAATTTAGAGTCTTAATAAGGCAGGTATACATCCCACATCCTAAATTAGATGTCTGCGAGTCATTGAACAGACTGACACAGGGATCGGGGAGCGCTGAATGTCTGAGGACCCACCGTGAGGGTATTCACCGGGTGGGGACGTTGTAGGAATCGCTATATCTGCTCCCGCCTAAAGTGCGGGATCTATGAACTAGCGACGTCAGGTTCCTGCGGAAATACCATCGACTGCTTAAGATATAACACCGGTGGTCTTTTCGGATTTTGTTAACGCGAAAGCGAGGACCGGGAAGCTTGTATAAGCGGTCCAGAGTACTGCGGGTTTGCCGCGGCGTCCCAGCCCTTGCTGCATGCGTCAAGCGATCCGGTTATCGGTACGGCGTGGTCTTTTGTATGAACCTCGCGAAATGCCAAGCAAGGATAAGCCTGGTAATGGCCTGGAAATGTGATCCTTTCCAGAGTAGGAAGCTCGGGTCTGGAACCGATGTGCAATCTATTTACTTAATCATCAGCGGAGTTGACGAATAAAACTACCCTTTGACGCATGCACACGTGCAATCGAAAGATGTGCCAGAAGAGTCATGTTGTGGTCTTTAGCGAAGGGAGGCGACCAGTCTTTGTGTGGAGCTCCCGTAAATCATCGTCGATGTGATAATCTTGTCCAGAACTGGTGAGGCATGCATATGGCGCGAATCGGTAGGTCACTAGATTCAGAGAAGAAGATTCGAATGATGTCTAATGCTGTTACCGGACCGACCCTTTCCCAACTCTAATCAGCTCTTGCGGTCTAAGCATACACGTTCTCACGGTTACCAAGAGTTGTTCCCCGTGAAGCTAGCGGTCAGCAGGACTGAGTATTGTATACCGGATTCCGGTGCCATATCGGAGCCCAGTGCACTGCTGCAGACAAAGTGCTCGGGAGGCTGCATTAGCCCAATATACGTGGCAGGATTCCCAGACGGGGATGGAATCCAACTACCGAAGTCAAGCAGCCGGACACGAAGGGCTAGGATACTTGTGTTTACCCTGTTTGTTCGAGAATCATCCGACTTGTCAGCTCAGCAATGGCGCCATGTGGTCCGCTGATACTCCAGGGTTATCAGCGATACCGCCTTCTAATCAGCAATCAGAGACCCGTGCATATACAGATATACACCCGAATAGTGGAGAACGTGATCTGAAACCAATGCGCGCAAACTCGAATTCTGTGGAGGTGGCTGAGATCTATGAACAGGACGCGTCTTTCGACAATCCGACTAGCTGGATCTGCGGTCACTGACCACAAGCGCCTGAAGATCGCGGGGGCAGGTACTCGATGCTTCTGGAATGAGAGACATCGGAAGTTTAGTTGATTGATGTTAGAATACGGGGTGACGCCCCAGTGATTGATGCGTGATCCATGGATCACCGATGAAGCAGGCTTTAGTGCGCATTTATGCAGGTTTCAATACGCGCAGCATGCTCTCCAGTAATGCTAACTTTCAGTAAGTCATGCCATGTGTGCACCCTGTACCCCCGGCGGTATGACTGGGTTGTATAGCAACGATGAAAAGTATGCTGACGTCCTCCAAACAGGTACAACACTGGTCGTTAGTTATCGGATGTTCCGAAGGTTCATCGGGATGAATTCCAAGGCGAATCAGAAAGCGTACAGATCAATGGCTTGGAGTATAACATTGCTGGCTGAGCATTCTGGGCGCAATTTACGACAACAGGAACTTAGACCGTCTGCAACTAAACATGACCACAGTAGCTATGTTGGAGAAGAATCGTATGTTTCTTCCTTGTCAATGGTCAGCAAGATTGAGATTGCATCTGTGGTCCTTGTAAGCGCGATTCCTGCGAAGGTGGTTCATCGGTGATGGAGACAATCGAAACACGATTTTGAGTATATGGCAGCCGCGCGGTTCTATCGCTGAGCCATGGCAAGATTTAGCCTCAGGTATTGAGAAGCGGCGTCTATGAGGAGACAAAACAGTGTCAAGCGCAGGAAAACCATGAGAAGGATCGCCGGTTATTCGGCGTGGACAAGACGCGACGCACAGGCTCCTCCCTGCCCAGGTGCACGCGGCTTGAGGGACACCTGATCATAAATGACTCTAGGCTTCCTAAGCTAGAAACCGGCAACATGCTAGGGGGAACTGGTGTTTGTCGGGACAATTGACGTGTCCGGTTGCTTCGCTTGCAGATAGTTCACCGATGACGAGGGTGGCTCAGGAGTTGGAAGTCGTCCCCGAGGTCCGCTGCTCAAGACCCTTTGTAACTACTTTGAGACTGGCGCTATGGTCACGAACCAGACGCGCAATTTGCAAGCGTCCCGAGGCCAACGACGGTTAAAGACATCATCAGGTCACAAACCTCGATCAGTTCAAGCTCTATTAAAGGAATTGGCGAGCACCACATAGAGCGACGCAAAGGCCATGTGCAAGGAAACCACATGCGAAGAGCCTTGGCCTAGAGGCACGGCGATAACCGGATTGACATGATGGCATGCATGGCATGCGCCGCCGCTGGGATAGAAACCCGTCCCCGCGTGCTCTTTCTTGTTTCGCGGTGAGACGACCCCGAGCTGTGATCAAATGGGTCGGCAACAGTATCTGGGATCCCTGCACGCCCAGATAGGCAAAGCCACTCAACATCGACCTGTACCTTTGTCGCTAGCATTGTCGATCATATCGATGGGGGCGGTGTCATTGCACACGCCCCTGCATCCTTGGGACTTACGCAATCGCATCCATCGCAGAAGGGAAGACCATTTCTTTCAAGATTACATCTTGCGTTGCCTGTCTTCGCACTAACTATGCAATAACCTCTATTAGATAGTATCGTCCACCGTTCCCTTTTTCGAATGACTTCTTGCTTGATCTGACATGTATAGCCCAGATACGCCCCAATTCGAGGGGCTTAAGAAGGCTGCATACTCGCGTAGCTTTGATTGGATGACCACCTTGTAATCCCCACCGGCCAGACGGCCCATTAAAGTCTCCCGCCATCCGAGGGCCCTGCCGCGCTACCCACCTAACTGCATATCAGAAGTCGGGCTTGTTGGTGCCACTTGAAACGCCTTCCTGGGATTCACGCCTTTAAGGATCATACACGTATATCAGCGTTGCCAATTCTCGCTCCCCACACCCCACCGCATCTTCGTCTTTGCATACACGTAGCTTTTCACTCTCAAGCACTTACACTCAACTGGCGGAATCTCGCGGGGCATCTTCCAATCCCATATCCTCAGTTACTCTTTGACGTCTCGCATACGGCCCGATTATGTCGTTCACATTCCAGGTGCAGAAGATCAATCAATCTTTTGATCAGATTGCAGCATGGTAGTAAGCACAGCACTTCTTTCATTCCGGTCATTCGTTCATGCTTATTCCTGTAGCCATGAGTTCATGCGCAGGACAGAACTGTGCTTTCGGAAGTTGCACGAACGCGTCCTTCTACTGGAACAGAGACAAGCCGTACAGGGACCCACAGATGAGCAGGTTGAGCGCGTGCTGCGCAAGATTCTGGATGAGAGGTTTTCAGACCTGGGCTCGCATCATGTAAGGAAACTCGATGCTGTGCAGGACCCCAGTTGGTTCGTCAAAGATCCAAGAGATATCCCCTATCCCAGGTCAATCAAGATGGATGTCGCTTCACTCATCATTCCTCCGGACGCTGTTCCCTCGAAGGCATACTCAGAAACTTTCCGGATGCTAGAGAGTGGACTAAGAGGCTTTCCCGGTGACTACATGCTCGACTCGGACGACGAACAAGACTGCAAGATGAATGTCGGCACAAGGGATAGCCGTTCTTCTCGTAGTGTTTGAGCGGCGGCACATTTCGGTTTGACACATTCCATCTTATCTTCACATCACCCTAGCGAAAACGCTCGAGACCTTTATCCCACGATGCCGACCCTCATACGGCGCCATGGAAACAAGCCCGTATCGCGATTCTGCTTACCGACGATCGCTGCGCAACACCGGCGGCACCCGACGATACCACGGCCACAGTCCCGTTGCACCGTATTCCTAGCCCGCATGTATCCTATTTCCCACGGAATATCAATACTACAACAAGCAGAAAGTCACAAATCAAAGACGATGAGTGGCCAGACGCTTAGCCACGCAAAAGGATTATTTAGACTGCGCAGCAAATGCCGCGATAGCAGTCACAACAACTTCTGTTGTAATTCATTGTATTCAGACTTCAACCCACGCTCTTCATATAGCAGCAAATCTATCAAGAATACTATCCTACTAACCACTTTGAAACCACGCCATTGTCATATCTGCATCCCAAGCGTTCTCTTATGTATAGCTCTATCTCATAGGATTGGAAGCGCCCTTGCACTTTTTCCATCCCAGGTTCGTGAAACTTCCGCACTCAGCTACTACCACATCGACTCTCGGTAGCATTTAAAGTATACTCAAGCTATCCGCATCTGCACCCGACAGCTACTGGAGCAATCTCATCTTCTTACTCGGCATGGGTCGATGCGGGCAACAAGGCTGCTTCGAACAAAGACCAATTTTAGATGCGGAGATTGCGCGATCCATCCAGAACCAAGAGTAGTCCATCACCGTGTTCTCGAGTGTGACAACTTGGTCATTCAACGCAAAAACCCCGCCGTCGGAGCTCTTCGAAACGCAAAGTTTTTATGTTTAGGAGGAAGGATTTGTTGCATAATTTTAGATTACCAGTCAAGCGCGCATAACGTCACAGGCTTTGGAGGATTCATCACAACAACCCATGAATGCACAAACCGAAGCTATGCTATCCCATGTCCATCTTACTGGTACCAGCCACTCCCGCTACAGCGGGATGATCACGCCGACGGCGCAGTCAACACATGAAATTGTTACCATCTGTTGCATCCTTCGTGATGCAGTCAGGAGTCAGGTCGCACTCCAAGTGGTAGGCGCTTAGGTATAGATTAGCGTGGGGGTGTTTCCGATCTCATCCTAGATCCCACATGTCAGACTTCCCACCCTCCGCCTTACGGCTGCCCTAGATCTGCAAGCATATCCCTTGCTCTTGCAGCGACTCCAGCAACTCCAGCAACCAATCCAGGTCTCTCTGCGACCAGCTGCAAGCACTTTTGAGGCAAATGAAATCTACTATACCACGTTTATCGATATATGTTCGACAACATGGGGCTTCCTGACACCGCCACGAAGCGCACCTACGTCATGAGGCGTGAAGACACAGCACTATTGTCTACATACATCTATTCATCTCGGCAGTCCGTCCCGACCGATAATTTCTTCTGACATATTTAAGTTTTCACATTTTTTTCGTATCCATCTGTCAATGACGGCCCGATATAAACAGAGAAACATACGATGACCACGATTCAGATCTTTTGATCATTCATGTCGGTGAAGAGCTGCATGTTACAACGCTTTGCTTTTGACTCGAGTCTTAATCCAGCGACTAAGAGTGCTAGCGTTAAGACGTTGCAATGACTCTCCCTACGACACATGAGGGAACTCTAGTTCGGAATTTGGAAATCGCCAATCTTAGAATCTTCCTGGATCCTGATCACCCATAACTTCAACAAACCTTGTCCATTTTGCAGGGTGCCGTTACAATCTTGCACTGCAAGTGGTTATACGTTGCCACTAAAGGCCCTTAGAAGCCGCATCGTGCAGATCACCATCGCGCGCAAATGTTAGCAAGTTGTTAGGTTGAATCACCTCGCGACAGGCAAAGGACAAGCCTAGGAGATTTGTAATTGTTACATCTCCTCACTGGCGCCCTACAACCGTGGAGTCATTACTAATACATACCTATCTGATAGATTTCCTGGCCGTCAAACGATCAGCAAAGGCACATTTCCTCGGAATTGTTACCCAGGCGCATGACATGGCCACGTTTCGAAAAAGCACCATTATACACCGAACTAGTCCGGTCTCAATAAACGGCAGAATATGAAGCGCGTTAGTTTCGATACCCATTCCTTTACAATCGTAGCGTTAAGTGTCTTTAGCATACTGTGGGGTAGCGAGCGCCTCATTTTGCCTTCTGTGGCTGATATTGGGCACCAACAACGGTAAAAAACTAATATTACATCCCGAGTCGAAACCTCCGATGAGCGGTCTACCTTTATGCAGCGGAGGGTCTGGCTTACATAATTCCTTTTGTTTACTATCAGCAGGGCCTTACGGCATACAAGATGCACTACCAATTCTTAGCTTAAACCCTTCGACACCGACTTTTGTTCGGGCCTAGCTTCCGCATTCTACAATTCTAGTCTCATTTGACGCCACTATCCGATTGTCAGCCCATTGCAATCGTTTTGCAATTCCGGAGCCGAAAATGCGGTCTACCAGGCGATCCACACCAGACCTCTAGAGCATACCTACTATGCCTAGACTTGTCGTAGACTTTGGTTTCACGCATACGGAATCACCGCGAATGGACCTGGATCTGGATAAGCGTTCACGAACCAGAACTTCATGTGTTCGGGAACGTGCAAGTAACGCAATCGGTGCGACATCTCGGGACGACCGCCATACCAAGAGGCAACCCAACCACCGACTTGTGTTGCGTGCAGAAACAGAAGCCGACATGAGCTTTTACATCTACGCGAAAGCAACTGCCGTCTTCGGGTGAGCCATTCCACCGGTTATGTCGCTTTTGCCGTGTGCAAGGAGCATCAAAACCGGCCCGAAGTGTATCCGTACCGCGTGGGTACACCAAGACTAAGCAATCGGTTCGGGCATGACGAGTGGCTTGTCAACCCCTGAAAGCCGCCATGTTGCTGATAGATCGAGCCAAAAAGCAACTTCAAGGGTCGATCTGAACCCTGGTTTCACACTTCCGGCTGTGATAGCAAAAAGTAATATAGACCTTCAATCGAGATTTTAGATCCGGACCAACTGCCCGGCCTCATCTGGAGATCTCATTGGAGGGCAGGTTCAGGCACCATAAGACCTTGTGGATGAACTTGACTAACTGACTTTGGTATATAGCTCGTAGGCCAAGATACGAAGTGGGACTTCATGCTTAATCTCTTGGTGTGCCGAGTGATCCACACAACTGGTCATCCAGGCCCCGGGTGATTCGTGGCGCTCTACATCCATCGATGATTGTACGTGCAGAAGAATGAAGACGATACCAAAGAGCGCTGTCACAAATCAAAGTCTAATCGCAGCATTGTATGACTAGGCAGAAACACGGAACCTCTACTGAGCAAACGCCGCGTCTTTCATCAAAAAGAAACTCCGTCCGGTATGGCGAACATTGATATGAACTCCTGGTTGCTGATTTCGTACAGCCATGGTAGTAGCGAACAACGTGCCGTCGTTTCATTTCCTCTTTATGAAAGTCTTTGGTCGTATGCTTCCACCTATGGTGTTTGACTTATAAAGAAGACGAGAACAACACAGAGCAATGTCGTGGCTTTGAAAACGTCAGGAACGGAATCACTTCTTATCAGATAACCTTTCAGTCGTCGAGCATGTCACTTGGGAGTCACTGATGCAACTATCTGCCATGACAACCACAGCAGCAATGCCTACGCTGGAATTCGTCCGCCATTGAAGAGCTTGAGGACAGCAGTGCGTTGGTCATTTGATCTGCGAGAAGAGTGAGAATATAAATTTACAAGTCAAAGACCAAGAGAATATGCACACACGGTTCTTGGAAGTTCATCACTCGCGGGTAGAGTATAAGAGTTACCAACTAGAACACAGTGTATTCTGAGAGGAAATCTCGCTTTCGGCCCTGAGCTGCTAATATTGGCGCATCAATAGTATCTTTGTTAATGCTGTACAGCAATGTGGGATCTTAGCTACTCATAACCTGAGGTAACTGGACATTAAGTCTCATGCGATATTCTGGTATGCCATTCTCGATCTGCTTTGTCCCAGAAGGTGCTCATGTCATGTCTTCATCCACTTGCGCATGCAGATAGTCGCTCCTAACCGTCTGCTTCACTCCATTCAGAAAGTGTAATTCATCATCCCCCGTAGTTTCCGACTTTCCTTGAGTGCACTCTCCCGTGATTACGCATTTCCGCTGTATAGCCAATCGAGCGACTGGCGTTTGTAATCTCACCAAAGATTAGTCAAATGATGCGACCGTGCGGTGAATACTCAGCGCGTTCCGCAAATGGGCCAACATGAGTCCACGTCATTGTTTAGGGTCGCAATTTCACCATGAGCGCCTTCCTATAGCAAATGATCTTATCACTCCCCTCACTGCTGCAATCCCGCGCCACTTACAATCTGGACTGCAACAATCTCGAGACCGCTTACATCAAAACTTCGACTCACCTATTCTCGAATCACTGACAACGCCAACCACAACCAACCGACCAACCACTCATTCAGACAACTGCGCGTCGCGATTATGGCGGAACTTAAGGATAACCTAGGTCCCTATATCCTCGAGAAGGCGCTTACTGCTGACCGCACTAAGAAAAACTGCTTCGTACTCGACGTCAGTCGAGACAAAAATGGCAATGTAGTCTCTTCGCTGGAACACGTTGTCGAGCAGGTCGATGATTACCTCATCAATGCCTACGACCGTTCTGCTCCAGTGACCAAGCTCTACGTCGTCGGCGAGTGGATGCCAACCCCACCGAAGAAAGATGACGAAAAAAACACCATACTTGAAGAGCAGAAGCGATATGCTAACGAGGTAAGAGTCACCGGTGTTGGACATGAAAAGTGTACTCTGAAGATATTCGATATAATTGTTGTTATGATACTTGCAGAACTTTAGGTCATTTCCAGTTCGAGCAAGAACACGAAGCTGATGCTATACTAGCCGCACCCTCACACCAAGCCTGAACAAGAATGGCACGATGCGGGCGAGCAAATCGCGAAGCTCGTCCAACAGATGCCTGCGCTCAAAGAATTGACGTATGTGTATATTCTTGCTGCGCTTGCTTGTTCGCTAATGAGTCCTAGTTGGATCTCCGGCTTGCCGTTCATGGCTGTCATCTGGGAGAAGCTGTCCACGTCGCTTACGAAGCTTATCCTAGACCTTGGTCAGCCTGTTCGCCTCCAGCAAGATGGCACGAACGAGTATAAGTCATATATCACTCCAGCAGAGATGAGACCCCTCGTTGAGCAGACAGAGCTTGAGGAGCTTCGACTGTTCGGTATGCACGACTCTCTCCAGTCAGTCTACTGGGAAACTGTCTTCCGCAACACGTCCACGACTGGTATGCGTGTCCTAGATCTTAACATGGCAGCACCTCCAATCGTGCGTCAAGACCACTGGCGCAAAGCTGACGACGTCCGTGGATTGACTGTTCCAAAGGCAGATTCCAAGGAAAAGGAGTACAAGTGAGTCACTGCGCGCAGGAATTCGACCAGTGTTCAGTACAGGAATATTGCCGCTAACACTTTCCAGGGGCGTTGACGGAAAGGGAGTCTTGCACTATGCCTTCGGCACCGGTGAGTATCTCGACGACTTCAGCATGCGCAAAGGACGTATCGCCGCAGGCCTGGAGGAGGCCAGACCGCTATCACTATGGTACGTGCAACAATCCCGTAGAGCTGAGAAGACAGAGCCGTACGGAAAGGCGCAGTACTCATGAGCTGTACCCCACCAAGGACTCCAGTGGTGATCGCTGGGTATTTTGGCCGTGAGGAGCCAAACCTGGAGACAAAATATCCTTTTGCTCAGCCCCTAAAACAGAACTCTTCTCCTGCATCACAAAGACTGACTCGTTCAATAAGGTGCCTCAAGCTTGACGGCTTCGTTGTTGATTACCTGCCCTTCGAGCAAGAGCTGTCCCGTATCGCACTGTTGACTTGCGGCAAGGACTGCATCGATAGCGGCCTGCGCGCTCCGAAGACTCCTCGTACTCCACACAGTAAGTAATGTCCTTATACAATCTACATATGAGACAGGAACTAACTTCACCCACTGAAATGTAGATAGGTGGGCCAAGATGGTCAATAACGCGACATCCCATTGCTTGATCCGGTGGCCAAATTGGACGGGAGTTTTCGACGACCGCGGTGACCAGCGTTAGTGATACCACTGGTCGATTCGCATCTGAAACAAATACTAACCTTCGTACACCAACTTATAGGCAGCAACCAAGGCGATGTCGTCTCTCAGGAGGCAGGTCTCTCAACTCCGGCTGAAGAATATTCCTCAGTATTCTCACAAATGCCGCTGACCAAAGAGTCCCTCCACATGAAGGATCTTGGCGAGGCCTTGGATGGCGCCAATAAAGATGATGGCTATTTCTCAGCTCGTCCGCTGTCCGTTCCTGAAACGGGTGGAAGACTCTCACTGAGTGTGTGGTCAAATGCATCGACCTGCGGTTCCAATACCACAGCGCCTGTAGTGCCCTCGACCGCCCGAAGCTCACCTAAGATGCCTGTGGTACCTGCTGCGGTTGGAAGTTCCCCGATTGGCGAGAGCCTGATACCTGTCGATAGTGCGACCACTGCCGACTCGGTAGTCTCCAATGATGGCAGTTACGACCAGGTCGTACCCTTGGACAACGATGAAGCCTCCAACAACTCTATGTCAGCCGCGAAAAACAGCTTCAAGCATAAGATCAGGCGATCCTGGGATTGGCTGTCTGGTTCTGGTTCTCATTCCGGCGCTGCTTCCTAAAATTCGTCCGGTTTTCTCAGCATTTTGCTTGCTTTTGACATTGTTCTTATTAGAAGGCTGACAAAGGAGAGTGAGGAGACATGGAGAGGACTGCTAGCAGGACCAATTGAGTCTCGGCCAAACATCCTCACTTCGAATTCGTAGGAACGCGTGGACGACGCATGGCGGATGACCGAGAGACGAGAAACTACGATATCACGACATGGGAGCTTTTGGCACTTGGAGGCTTTGGAAAAGAACATTCAGGAACATCCTTGTAGCTAGGTCTCACTCCCGAGTCTGGCCCTTTCCTGGGATCGACACGAATAAACACATTCTACATCCATGTTATATCGGTGCTACTTGTTCGTTGCTGACATCTCGGCGCCATTGCAGTAGATCTCGCGCTGCCGCCTCGGTCCGACGTGCTTGCGATTCGTGTTGTGAGGCGGTGTGCGCGATGTGTTTGTCTCCAGGAGATCACGAACGGAGGGACGTCTGGCGATGACAAGTCGTCAGCGGGTCTAGCAGACGTTACGTCTGCAGCATGTTTCCTTGTTGGTCCGTTGCTGCAGGATCGTGGGGCTTGCGCATAGGCGAGGCTGGGAGTTGCATGCTATGTATGCAGGATGCAGGGGTCGACGTCAAACGTCTTCTATGTTGGCTGTGCACGACGATGAGCGACTTTTCGTGATGAGAGTTGTTGCGACACAGGTCTTGAGATGAAACTAATACAGCAAGTCGTCGTTGGGTTGAAGGGGCACAAGACTCGTGGGCAGATGCCGTGACGTGTTGACCCGCTGGAGGCGGGCCGCTCCTTCTTCACAAAGTTGCATCATGGCCCACTGATTGGCAGGCGCATCTCGGTGGGCAGGTGCGATGAGGTAACCGCGATGAGGAGCAGTGAGTGAGGCCGTATGCCAAATGAATCTCCAACTACATGTCTTCCTGAGAATCAATCCTGAACTGCTGGCTTCTGCTGCCTTGCTTCGTTCGGCCGGTCATGACGGCGACGGGCTTTCCGCTTTCCGGTTCGCGCTGTACCTTGGCCCCCATGCCAGGTTAGCAGAACAAGCACGATGAGCTGGCACGCTGGCAATCGATCGTAGCCGTCACCAACTCTACGTCTGCTATCCCGGCCTCATAGCAGTCGCTTGCATGCATCTCGCTGCACGTCGGTCAGTGCGACTCCACATGAGCAAATATCAGCATTTGTCGCATTTGCTTCCCGGGTGAACCTCCGCTCGCGCCCCAAGAGCGCTACGACAGGTCCGCGATTGCCAGGCCGTGCGACTTCAATGCATATTCATACGATACCCTCTGTCTCTCCAGTCACTCTTTACTTCCCGCCCGCGCGTTGCAGCAGGCGCCGCGCTTCCGAGCGCTGGGGCTGAGGGACAGCTTTCCGTCCAGTGACGTCTGCTTCGGCGTTGACAGCAGAACTCGAGGCATTGGACAGCGACTAGCACCACGACAACAGGACAGCGCATACGTCTTCGCCCATCGCGCATACAGACACGCACATTGGCTGTTCTATGCGAGTGTCGGTGAGAGGTGTAAGTCGATTTCACGAAGCCTCCCAGCCACCTTCCCAGCCCTTCACCTCTTCCCAACCACCCTACCTCACGCGTGGATCTGCTGGGGCGCACCGCAGCAATGGCTCCTCTGCTAGCCCTTCCGCAGTCTCTGTATCTAACATTATACTCACCAGCCAGCTTTCGTGTATTCCAACATAAGCACGCCGTCGCGCGCTGCTTAGCTTATCCCCAGAGACCCAGCCGCTGGGTATCTCCTCCAACCCAGTCGGGTGCCCTCGACGGCGCAAGGGCAATTGAGCCTGAGTAACACTCCCTGGACTCACAGTGACGTCCAGCGATCCACCAGAGCTCGCAAACATATTACCCTTCCAGCACACATCTTCACGAGACCACGACCGCGACGGCCCAGCGCCACTGTTCGAATACCGAACCTCCCTCCAGCTACGCCAGGAGCAAGCCGACGCCTTCTACCGCACGCAGCACAATCACTCGAGAGCATCAAGTTCGACTGGCAGCGTCGCGAACAGCCTTCGCCGTACGCCCAACTTCGAGCGCGCCAGATCAGTCGATCCGAGCCAACAACAGCGCGTTCGCTTCGAGACACCTCGCCCTCACTCAACCCCCTACGCTGAGCCTCATCCCGCTCTTCGCATCAGTCGACGTACTGCCTCGGCAATACGCTTCGTGCTCGAAGAGGGACTCCGACTTCCGCATCCTTTCACACCGGATCTGGTCGAAGAGAACGCCCTCATGTCCGATCTGTCAAGTGGTCGCGCTGCCAACGGCGGGGCCCGTACAACTGGCGGCCCCGTGCCTGTCGATCGGTCCAACATACGTACGCCAACGCAGATCATGAATGCTAGACGACAACGGGCTGAAGTGGAGGAACAAAGGAAGGCCGCCGAAGAGGAGCGCAGGCGAGCCAGCGCAGAAAGAAGAGCTCAAGCTGTTTCTGGTGTAGCTGGAGCACCAACAATTGAGCCTGGGACCCAGAGGCAGCCCCAATCAGCTCCTCTAAGATCTGGCGACCAATACGTACAATACCCGACCTCCTCGGGCGGAGTGCCGCGTCAACCAGAGAGGCCAATCCCATCACAAAACACCATGAACGAAGCACAAGAGACCACAACAGGCGCATCGCAATCAAGACCTCGAGCGGCCTCACAAACACCCTCTCGACCCACTCAGGCAAATCTAGGTCTGCCAACGACAACAGAACAAAGCAGAAGACCAGCTGGCTCAGGCCACGCCAGGCGACCCTCCGGTGCCACAGCTTCATCACAAGCAGGCCCTTCAACTGCTGCAGCACGACCACCGCCTCCGCCGGGTTCGTCCACTGGCCAAGCTCGGGAGTCAACAACATCCAACTTTCCACATGCGTTCGAGCGCTGGGAAACCCTATCTTCACATTGGGAGGGCCTCACCTCTTACTGGATACGGCGACTTGAGCAAAACACCGATGAAGTCCGCAGAGAGCCACTGGCACAGCAAATGTCACGGCAAATCACTGATCTTTCGGCAGCTGGTGCTAACCTCTTCCATGCTGTCGTCGAACTTCAACGCTTGCGCGCATCTTCCGAACGAAAATTTCAGAGATGGTTCTACGAACATCGCCAGGACCAGGAGAGGGCCCAGGAGCGCGAAGCGCAATTGACCGAACAAATGAACTCGGAGCGCGAGCTTCGCCTTGAGGCTGAAACGAACATGGAGCGCATGGCCACTGAGAAGAAGAATGCCGAACGAGCTGTGTCCGAGATGAAGCGTGAGCTACAAATCTCGAAGGAAGAAGCACGCCGAGCATGGGAAGAGCTTGGGAGGCGAGAACAGGAAGAGCGCGATCGCACATTCTCGTTGAGGGAAGGCCAGCCTACATTGGTTGGCGGAGTGCAGGTGGTGCCGATGGCGCAGAACATGGGACGTCAAGGCAGGGGACATGGAGATGATACTTATGCTGGTGCACAGAGCAGTGGCGAGGGTATCGAACAACACTACTCGTACGAAGAAGGTCAATCACCAACCGATACCGATCCCTTCACTGAGAGCGCCCGCCATGGGCGCCGAGAGCCTGAGCAGCCTGCACACGTAGCTCAAGGAACTTATATTCCTTCGGGTGCAGCATCGACCGCATCATCTCGGCCTGGTGGCTCTTCGGTTGCGGACGAATCGCTAGCTCCTGCCCCTCTACAATACCCATACTATACATCTCAAGCACAGCAGGGATCTACACAGCCGGCCATGTCCCAGCCAGAGGCCTTTTACCAACAACCTGCCTCCTATCTACACCAGGAGTCCGAATCTGGTCTTCCAGATGACGAGCAGTCGTACGTCACTTCTCAGGCAGAGTCAGAAGCCGACATAGAGTACGCCTTGGACGAGAGAGGGAACTTTATACGCGATGATTCAGGCCGCCGTATCCCGTTCCGATCTCTTCAGTCACCAGTATCAGACGAGTACGATGTAGAAGACGCACGCCGGCGTGAGCTCGAGCATCTCCAGCACTATGGTACAACTGCCACTTCTCAGGGCGGATATGCAATCAGTTCGGACGTGGGGTCTTCTCAACAACCCGCTGGTGGACGACCTGACTATAGTGGCGATGGCTACGGCGACGAGTGGGTAGGTATGAGACATCACCATCCTACTAGACTGAGCGACGTGCCCGAGGAAGATGAGAGGAGCCGGACATCGCCAAGCAGAGCAAGCCAGGCCAGCCGAGGACGCCTGTATTAGATGAAGATTGCAAGCTCCATCTGCATCGTCACAACAAGATCTCCACAAGCCGCACTTACCGTCGATTTCCTGTCTCGCAGATTGTAATCATATCGTTTTGAGTTTCGCATATGCATATATCGTTCTGGCATACATGTTACTGCGGCTATACCCTTCTACAAGATCTCTCTAATCGAGCGTCTCTGGCCCTCTATGGCTGATACTTGCATCTACAAGCGCTCCCATGTACTAGTAGAACCGTCCCTTTTTTGCTATCTGGTTTTTCTCTTAACGCAAGCATGGTGTTTATTGGGCATTGGCATATCGATGGTTTGATGGACGGAGTGCTCGGTAGTAGGGTATGAAGTCTCCGCAAATCATGAAGGAGTAATTTTCGGGGATGGGGGTCTAATGGATTGAATGAAAAGGAGAGATGGGTGAGCCTAATGCATGACTATTCAGTTCATTGTTCCGATGCTTTCGTCTCGTACCTTCTACCATGTCTGTTGTTGTGCTGTATTTCCTACTCCTCTGGTCAATCTTCTCTCTTCCTTTCAGATTCCTTCAACATGTTCCCTGGTATGTATGTTGGATTCACATGTCCCAAATGACCCATGAACTTTTGTCAACTTACCAGATCTACCACGTGCACACCAGAAAACACGGAAACCTGGGAAGCGGTGGCTTACCACAATCTCACCATCAGCTGCTTATGGCTGAAGACATTGCAGTCTCACGAATGTTTCTCGATCAATATTAGCTTGCATGGCCTTGTTGTTTAACATGTTGGCGTGTCCACTGCGCGCGCGTTTTTACGCCAAGCATCGCTCCCTCCTCTTCTGCCGCGTCGCTGGGTCTCACCTTCTCGCACTCAGGGTTTTGCTTCACCTTCCTCGCACCCAATCCAAGGATTGGCGTTGGCTCAGGAGTGCTACAGCGCGTTACTCAACCCAAGATTGAGCGACGTCTGCCCTCTCTCTTTCTCTCATTGGAAACTGGTTGCGTTAACGCGACTGAGGCACGATGCCTGGACTCAACACGCTCGCCAGTACAGGCGAAATCGGCGCTCAAGCTCATCTTACCTCTGCCACTACCACTTCTACCAATGAAAACGACAGTGGTAGCTGATGGGTCACTATCAAGCAAGGTGAGACGACATCCACCTGCTTTCGTGTAATACCCGTGATCTGACCCAGTCGAGACGGCAAGGTTCTGTTTACGAAGACCTATTTCCCCCGATATGTTCCGGCCGATCAACCATCTCGACCTGTTCGACCGACATTCAGGAAAGTGCAAGCAAATCTCCACCGAGAGAATGAGCGGTGCCACGAATATATGGAATATCTCGAGAAGCACCTGGAGGATCAGGAGAGAAGACTAATAAACACGGAGATGGCGCGAGTGGAAGATCGTAACAAAGCCGCTCATCAATTGAACGCTGCACGAAGAGAATTCGAAGAGAATTCGAAGAGAAAGTGAATGCTATGGTCGATGAGAAGGTCGCGTATATCAAACGGGTCATTGGCATAAGGATGAGGGAATTTGAAGTGAGGAGCGCTACTCTGAAGAAGCAAGAAGAGGATCTCAAAGCGTCTACAGCCAGACTAGCACGCATAGAGGAAAAGTCAAAGACATACAAAGACATTTGCAATGCAGTCGCGGGAGTCGCGGACAAAATCAACAAAGCCGAACGCGGTCGGCAGAACTTGACAGCCCGCAAGAATACGACACAGTCAGCGTTCGAAAGATGGGAGCAGCAGTATTGCCAGCCTATTAAAAAGCTCGCAGATCTCATCTGGGAGGTGGATAACAAGAAACAAGAGAACGATCGCGAGTTCGCTGAGCAGAGCGCGGTGGTGCGAGGACAAGAAGCACAAACTGCTGCTCTCCTTCTCCAAAGACAGCAAGAGGAAGTAATGCTGAACGAAGAGAAAGAACAATTTCTCGTCGAGAAACAAGAGTGGCAACTTAAGCAAGGCAAACAATTGAGTGCAACAGAGGTGAGAGCTGCCATGGAAGTGTTCCTTCAGAAAAAGATCGAACAGATCAAGCCCGACGTACTAGCAGAAGCGAAGCACAGCGTCTGGATGCTACTGAAGCAAGACTTCGAAACTCGTGAGGTTGAAAATCTTGCGCGTACAAAGGCTGAAGGCAAGGTCGAAGGCTATCGGCGCGGTTACGAAGATGGCTATGCTCAGGCAAAATTGGAAGAAAACGGACAAGCCTATAGCATGGGAATGATCGATGCCCGACAGGAATATCAGCTCAGAATTATTGAAGCAAAGCGTGAGTCACGCGATGAGGGTTATGACTTGGGCTATGAGGCGGGTTATGAAGTCGGTGCAAACAGGAATTGCGATGAAATCCACACCATAGGTTATGAAAAAGGTCGCAACGCTGGGCATTCGCAAGGTCACCAGAAAGGCTACGCTAAAGGCTTCTCTCAAGGTCTTGAGGCGGTTCGACGGGAAGCAGACGGTACCGCCTGGTCTTCTTGGTAAGGCATAGCTAAGTCTGGATCATAATCCAATCGGAAAGTAAAATGTCACGTTCCGCTGAAGGACCCAGGACCTCATGCATTCATGTATCAAATCAGAGACCGAAGTTCTCATAATTATAACTTTGAGGCCCTAAGCTTCGTACTATCAACTCTTCTGCCTTCGTCATCGTGCTCCTTGACCCGCAAGTTCGGAAACTCTGCCGGCATGATTCTCCTTGGTTTACTCCCCTCCACCAGATTGTACTTGTCAAAATCGCTAATACCCTTCGTCCTTAGAAAGTCTTCATCAAGCAGCAACTTGCCATTAACCTCTTCTACAGGCGCCTTGATCATCTGCAACACTGCGTCCGAGAAGATATGCGCTGTCCTGAGATCTTTAGCATCTTCACCTCCAAGATTCTGCGTTGCAGCACTCTGGACAGCCGTTGCAGGCCAGATGCTAGTAACTGCCATGTCATCTTTACCTTCCCTCTGAAAATCCATTGCTAGTCCCTTGGTAAGAACGGACATGCCTACTTTTCCCATTGCATACGCCGTCTTGCCGCGGAAGAAACGCGAGTATATCGGTGGACTGACGATGATAATACGACCCTTCCAGTTTCGACCACTCTGTTCAAAGTGCGGAAGACAGGCTTGTATGACGCCATATAAGCCCTCTACATTCACGCGTTGCATGAGCTGGAAGCGCTTCATAGGCGTTTTGGCCACGCTTGCCCACCATATTGCGCCGCTGTTGTATACCAATACATCAAGACGGCAATATTTCTCTATTGTTTCGGCCACCATACGTTGAATGCTTGTAAAGTCTCGTGTGTCAACAGTGATGGCTGTGGCTTCGCCGCCTGACTCATGGATCTCGCGACAAACGGTAGAGATGGTGGACGCCGAGGAGTTTGGGTCGGGTGGAAAGGGAGAGCACTTGGAAGCATCGGATGTGGATTTCGCTGCTACGACGACTAGCTCGTTGTTAGTATTTGTGCTCTATGGAGGTTGAGGGCTGTTGTGATGCGTACCTGCGTAGCCATCTTTTGCGAGGTCGATAGCAATTTGCCGGCCGATACCCCGAGACGCGCCAACGACGAGCGCGACTTGTTTATTGGACTTGGACATGGTGGAGACAAGGATACAGTCAATCGCAAAGGTGTCGTCGCGTAGATAGAGTCGCAGCTTGCGGCTGACAGTATAGGCAACTGTAAAGCCTAAGTAGACATGACATTGTAATCAATTCTCGCCATCGGCGCCTCGGTAGGTGCACATCATGCTGCATTTACGTCCGTAGGAGTTGCGCGGCGAGGATCCGGGGTATCTGCATCATTCGCGACTCAACAGGTGGAGGCGTCGTGCTGATTAGTGATAGAGCTCTCGTAGCTACGCTAACAGACCTCGGCAACCAAGACCTTGTGCGGTCCCAACGACGACGCGCATAATAAGACGCGACCGACGTCTTCGAATGCCAGGTTCAACGTGATTTCTCATCCTGTGGCTAGAAGCATTGCGAATATGTCAAGCAAAATTACGTGCTATCTGGATTGCGGTATGCTCCTATCATTCCCCTGATCTAAGTATCACATGCTAATTACGGACTAGTGTCGCCATACTCATACTACGCTCTACTGCATATTGAGAGAAACAGACAGGTCCTCGAAGCGCACCATGTAGAGATTGAGTGCGCACCCATTGCCATGCCGGCTCTCAAAGCCAATACCATGAATTGAAACCCTACCAACCACTGCACGCTCTCATCAAAAGCAAGTATGCTCACTGACTTGATGTAGTATAGTACCCGTCTTCCTAGGCGGCATCAACGTCGGCAGTGGTACATGTTCCCGTCCCCTTCTATGCACTCCACATGGAAATTTGGTACTAGCTATACCGAATGTGTCCTGACGCTGCAGTGCAGGAAACAAGCCACCCTGGACCCTCGACGCCAAAGCAAAGTATGGCGCGTACGACAGCGCGCGAGCGAAGAAACACTTCGGCCTTCCGAATCTACAGTCGCCGGATTTCTTCCCTATCCTCTCACTGCTACCACAGCGGGCATTATGTGCTGTGAAGGAAGCGCATCGAGAGAAATTCATCGACATCTTTTTTGACATCTTCCACGCCATGTGGGAGAACGGCAGGGATGTCAGTAAGCCGGAGATCCTTTTAGAAGTACTTCAGCTGCGTCTCAAAGCAGACGAAGCCAAGGAGATCATGGCCAAAGCAAATAGCCCACCGTACAAGCAGAGGCTGAACGACAATACCAAGGAAGCGCTCGACCATGGCGCTTTTGGTTGCCCATGGTTCTTCGTACGCAATTCCAAGGGGGAAGAAGAGCCGTTCTTTGGTAGTGATAGGTATGTGTCTTCTTCACTAAAACTCACTTGTCCGTATCTTGACTGGCATCCTCGTATGTCCGGCTATGCATAGAGCGGGCTGGACCTCTATGCACATCGTCACGTCAGTCAAGGAGCTGACCACGTGAAGTGGGGGTACCGCTGTATATCCAGGATGGGATGCGAACTATTGAAACGCGACCAACCGATGGTCAAGGGCTGTGGGGCGTGCTGACAGATCTACCATACAGATTTCACTATATGTGGGAATACTTGGGGCTGCCATGGAAGGACGTCGAGCTGTTGCCACCGGGTAAGGCGAAGGCGAAGATCTGATAGACAGGCATTATCGAGTTGGCTTGCAGGCATGTCGGTATGTACGGATCGTGGAGATGGGGCGCTAAGCCGCGTGGTGGACAGCTATGAACATGCATCAGACAGGTCTGCGACTCTAAAGAATATGTCTTTCCGTTCTCAAGTCTTCTTACCTGTTTCTCGTTTTCTCATCGAGGTCTCTCCCTGCTCGAATAGCTCACTCGCCTTGCACGAGCCTGAGGGATCGTCTTTCTGACCACATTGTCATCACACACGCTATGCATGCTGCACGGTTGCCGGTTTGTACCACTCACGACGAAGCATGGTGGTGTAGCCACCGGAGACGGGTACACGCTTCCCCAGACTTATGCAAGAGTATGCAAGATAAAGTCTACGCGACCTGTCAGGACGATACCATGCGCCATCCGAGAGGATTCGCGGGGGCAAAGCTGCGCATGTCTCACCCGTTCCACGGTTTTGCGGTCGCCTGGACTGACGGTCGCTGGACTGCGGCCTCCCGATGGCATCAAGTAAATTGGGGAGGTCAGGAGTATATCGGTCCAGGTGTCGTTTATCGCTCTCCGCTAACGTACGTTGAAGTGCGCAAAGCATCTAGCCGATGTTGGGACTATGTTGATGGATTCACTTACAAGCTTTCACGCATTCACCAGTGACGATGAGCCGAGACGAAAGCTTTGTCGGGGTGAGATTCTCTGGAACCATGAAGATTCTGGTGACTACATTTATTGATTGGGGAGCTTCTTGTGTAACGTCAGCGTCATCGTCGACAACACCTGTAGTACTTCAGAGGCTCCTGTTAGTCTAGCGAACAACATAGCATCAGATTACATACGTATCTGCATTCCTGCACACCATGACATCTTAGCTGGTCGTATGCCTGTGATTTAGACACGATGGCTTGTTGCCAAGCTATGTCATGCAGATAACCGTTCGCTTCCGTGGGCACGTCAGCCAAACAAGACGACGTAGGGCATTTCTCGCCAGCTCAGCTAGCACCGAACAAGCAATCCTGCTCGGCTCGATGGTTGAAGAGTCGCCGTCATAGGCCTAATCAACCGCGATTTGAGTGGGGTGTAGACCTATACAGCCGTGCCGCATGTGCTATTTGCCTTCTTTGAGCTAGCCACGTTGATCATTTCACAGTATCGGAATGGCAGTGCTGTTGCTTGATAGGAAATATGCTTGCTATCAGTAATTCCTTCGTATGCCCGACATATTTGCACAGCTGACGAGCGATCTAGCCCATACGGAAAGCCAGTCATTTTCCCGTGTGGTTTCCAGGCTGAAAAAGACTGTGGGTCTATCCGAAAGCTCAGGCCTTTCCCTCCCGTGTACCATTGTATAGCAAGACATGGGTGCTACGATATTCCAAACGCAAGTCTCATCCCTCAGTCAAGGGAGCTGGGGCTGTCTTAGTTTATAAACATACAGGAACGTCCCTCACCTCTCTACATCAGAACAGATGTGATTGGAGCTGTTCCGTCAACTGGCTTCGGCTTCACCCTTGCTCTTTGTCTTGTTAGTGCACGATTCAAGTCGACAGTTCATCTTGTGCGTTTTCTTTGCCTGCTACCCAAGATACTCGTTCCGCAAGTCAGAGTACGCCGATAGATACTCTAGTGTGTTTGTACATGTTCATGCAATCATTGCTCCCCATCTTTGGGCTGCTAATAGTTTCCCGGAGATCTCGTGGCATTTTCTGGTAAGGCCGCCCTCACTTCACGTATCGGTTTTGACTTAGCGTACTGATAGTGCGTATTGATCAGATACCTTGCATCGTCTTACCATTGCGTTGCATAGATAGTTGAAATAGCTTTAGCTTTTCTCTTTTTTGGAGCCGGTCATTCACATCGCCAAGTTTGGTAATTACAACATCGGTGCTGTCGTCGACCTAGCTCGGCAGAGCTCCGTACTGGCTCGATTTCCGTCGTCCCACCGCTCGATTTTGTGAAGCGGTCAACTGCATTAGGCGAATGACAGAGCGCCGTGCTCGTGAATGCTCAAAGTACCCGTGGACCTCGACATCTCCACAACACCCCGCAATCATCAGTCACGCCCACTTCACCGCTACGGTATCTCGCCCTCTACGACCTCTCGTAACTGCGCATTCACATCGACTAGAAGGACATTGTAAGATTAGCGGCCATTGTAACATCTTTAAGAGGCGCATGCCGCGTGCAGACTCATGTCTCTCGCTCAACAAGTCCACCAGGATTACAAGTTCGACGAACAATATATCTATCGTCAGTCTCTTGCACAACTCCAGCCCTGTCTGCCTTGTGCTCCAGAAGCTTCTCCGACAAACCACACCTTCGACTTCCATAACCGTACTGGAATGATGGCGCAGTCAATGGCCGTGAGTGGACTCTTTGCTGGCAACAAACCTAGATTGACAACCATGGAGGAGAGTTCTCACATGCAAACTCAGCCATGGGGAATGCAACAGGTCGAGCACGACGACGCGAAACTGATGACCACATCCAGCCCAAGCATCCACACGTACTCATCCGACCAGAACTGGAGTGGAGCATATGATACTCCGTTCGACTGGCCCCATGCTCTTCAACAGGCAGCAACCTTCATCGTACCAAGTTCAGAGTCGCACTTCCAGCAAAACCACGCTCTGTTATACAATGCAGCATTTGCTACACCGAGTGCGATTGGAAAGGGTTACGGCGATGAACAAAGAGCTCGTGTGCCTGCCGAACTGAATGGTTTGCCTCATGGGCTTATTGACAGGTCTGTCCTAGGTGCGAGCATGTCTCCGTCACCGAAGAGTTATGTCAGCGATGAATTCGGGAACACATACAGTCCAGTTTCTATGTTAGACCAATCCTCACCAACCGAAAACTGGAATGGATACCCAGTAACGGCCAACAACACTGTTCTTTCGGCACCTTGCAGGCCGTTCCTTGCGCCAAAGACCGATAGTGATGTTGGGCTCTCAGAAATCCCAAGGACGAGCACAAGCACGGTTATGACTCCCGTTGTCCCGTCTAATAGTCAGGACCTAGTACCAATCGCTCCGCTCGACGACGACCAACAGTCCGGATCTGAGTACTCGCATTCACAGAACAACAGTGCTGGGCACTCTCCCTGGTACCGCGCGAAACAGTCATATGACACTTCGAACGCACCCTACAGGCCCCGTAACGTTGCAATCTATAGCAATCCCAGCAGCGATATGAGCCTATTACCGACATCAGGACCTCGTCCTACCCAGCACTGCTTAACGCCTTGGAACGGTTCGCGCCCGAGCGCCCATACTCAGGATCGTATACAGGACAAGTTTCAGGTACCGCGCAGTGCTGGTACACAAGCCCAGAGAGAGCACAACGACCAAGTGCTCATTGAGGGCAAAAGGAGAGGAGAGACGTACAAGGAAATCAAGCTCAAGATGGTGGGCGAGAAGCCTGCGGAATCCACTCTGAGAGGTCGCTATCGGTCGCTGACAAAGGCGAGGAAGGATCGGGTCCGAAAGCCCGTCTGGACCAAAGTTGACGTAGGCTATCCCCTGTAGACTCTACTGAACGTGTAACATACTGACGCACCAGTAGTTGGAGCTTTTGGATGACGCTGTCCAGCAAGAGTTCGATCGGATCGAGAGCAGCCTACAGAATCCGTACTCGTTAAGCTTCGAACAGAAGATCCAGAAAGTTGCATGGAAGAAGGTCGCAGAGTTTATCGCCGACAGTGGTGGCTCGTATCATTTTGGCAACGCGACTTGTAAGAGGCGATGGTTAGAGCGCCATCCGGATCAGAAGTGATGGATGATGACTGCAGGTCACGAGTGGTACCATTGACACACCTTCATCGCCTAGTGCACGCGATGGGTGTCGAGTACTGCTGACGTGAAAGATCTGAGGCTTGAGCATCGGAGTCCCTCGAGGCTGCAAGATAGCGTTGCCAGCGATTAGCCGTCAAGGACAGCCACAGAGGGCACTCGTCTCGAGCATTTCTGCCAAAGACTGCCGCAGGGCGGTATCTTGGATTCTACTGTTTGCAGAGTTTTGCTTTCACCACTGTACCACTTTGTACTATTGTTATGTTGATGGTAATGTTTGTCGAGATGATTTTTCCACTTCCTCATGGGCATAAGAAGCCAGCGTGGCATAGATTGGGAAGTTGCAAAGCAGGACGGTCATATGGCGTCGCTCTGCAGGTTTCTTGTAGCAAGTTACCTTAGGATGCGATATCTCTGGTATGATATACTGTACAAGAGAACACTGATGACAGCCTACGCATGCTGTTCGGCGAATGTGGTGAAAATGATGAAAGGGTGTTGATGCCATGAAGCGTGACATCAGTTTTAGGCTTTGGCGCTAACTCGGAGCTTGAAGCTTTATGCTCCAACCATGCACCCCACCCAGCGCTGGTACTCCAACACGAATGAAAATGCTGCTCGGACTACCTGAAGCTCTTTCTAGCATTACGAAGCGCAAGTTTGAGGCTGCAAAGGCATCTTCAGATTTGTTGTTTTCGCCTACGGAGCTAGCAGTCATCCGCACATCCGCAGGCATTCCCGTACGTGTGCCAGCCATGCCACCGACAGCAGACTTATATACGACCAGTTCCAACTACGCTACTGCCCATCGCTTGCGAAGAAACCCTTGCCGAAGCTCCAGCATGCGACGCCGAAACAGAAGATCGACCCCTTCGAGAACCCCCCACCAGCATTACACCTGGCTGACATCCCCGCCGCGGACCCAAGCCACTTCCTCGTCCTCAACAAGTTCCCCATAATCTCCGAGCACTTCATCCTTGCTACAAAACCGAACAAGAAACAAACACACGCGCTAGAGCTAGACGATCTAGAGGCGACCTACGCTGTGCTCAAGGCTTGGCAGACAGACTCGGGCGACAGCGAGAAGCGTCTCCTCGCATTCTTCAACTCTGGGGATCATAGCGGCGCGTCTCAGCCCCACAGACACCTGCAGTTCTTGCCAGTCGAGGGAATGCGCGATAGCGATAGCGCTAGCGACTGGAGTCTGCTTATAGACTTGATCTTTTCAAGCCCAGTGGCCAAGGCGACTGGTAGGCGTCTCTGTCAGATGCGCACTGTGCAGCAGCTAATATTCTGTCTACAAGGCCATCTCAACTTCTTACAACACCCGTCCTTGCCGTTTACGCACTTTGCCTGTCCTTTCGACTCGGAGCCATCCGGTGCTCAGTTATTCCAAATCTACAACCATCTGTACGATGCGGCAAAAGCGGCAGTCGACACATTCATCTCCTCGAATCCCAACGACTTCGCTCTAAACCCCACCGACCATGGCGATCTACCCATCAGCTACAACCTCGCTATGACTACCTCGGGCATGGTCATCTTGCCGAGACGTGCTGAAGGCACCATGCTGCGTCGTGATGACGGTAGTGAGATCGGCTTTGCAGCTCTCAACGGTACAACATTGGGAGGCACGATGATGGTCAAGCACCAAGACGAATGGGACATGCTGCGCCAAAAGCCAGGGCTGCTGGATCACATTCTCTCGGGGATTGGCTTTCCAAATACCTCTCCATCCAAGGTGGGCGCACCGAACATCTGACCAGACTTCGTGCAAAACCACATGAGCCGTGACTAGCCAATCTTCCAGTGTTGTTTCTAGCCCACTCTCAAGCTTCCCTGGAGAACTACACCAAGAATATCACAAATAGGCTCCTAGGTTGACGAGTGATACCATGGTCACCATATGAGATGCGAATGTCTTACGAAGCGACGCGCACGCGACAAAGACTGTGGCGCATGCTCTGACCTCCCAAAGATAACACCGAAAACGACCGTCTAAGGAAGCTGAACGTTCAAAAATTACTGAAAAGCTGCTTGCGACCTTGCTCGCGGTATTTATTCCATACCAAATACTCAACATCTGCTGTGCGATAGGTTGTCCTGATAACATAGGCCTATGTTGTGAAAAAGCTTGGGTAAGTCGTTGAGTGCCAGACACCACGTGCAAAGGTGAAGTCATGCGATCACTCAGCACCGAATCCAAGAAGTACTCATGATGTATCAAATGCGAACACAAACTTTTCAGCTGAGCAAAAAGCAACAATGTGTCTCAAATTAGAAATGACTGTTTGATTGTAAGCCTTTGCGACGCAAGGTTTAGGTGCGCATTTTCACTGGTCTTCTCCTTCCTCATCTCATACTCCCTATACACTGTATTTCGTTCATATCGCCATCATGAGAGAAGAAACAGAGAAAACAATAGAGGCAGTATGCGTTAAAATGCTTCTCACAAATACCGACCAAGTGCTGATCAGACTTGTCTAGGCCAAAGGGCTACTGCAAGACCTTGTGGTGGTCGTGTCTCTTGTGCGGACCTTGACGGACTCTTTCGGGTCTGCGAGTGACTTGTATCGTAAACTCAAGCGTAAAGCCGGCACAAAGGATAGCGACGATGAAGACGATAAATACCACATCCAGATCCCTTCGCGAAGGCGTCGTCGCGACTCTCTATTTGGTTCGGGAAAGACCAAAGGAGACTACAGTGACAGCGAAGAAGAGCTTATCTTTACCTCCTCTTCTCAGATTCGAGCCGAATACGAACGCGGATATCGAAAGCTAGGAGAGCCTTTCGCGCGCGGTGATGGTACGTTCACGTTTAAGATCCAGACTTCCGTTATTGATAGCAAATAGTTACAACGCATACCCAACTCCAATCCCAGATCATCAAGCTTCAGCAGACAGTCCTCAACATTCAGCAAGACCTACTGCTTAGTACGTATCTCGCACCGTCATCGTCTCATTCGCATCTTGTGCGTCTGATCCAGGCAACTCGGACTACGCGCGCTGCTTCCATTGCCTCATTGAACATGCAGTACCAGCGCATGTTGCCGCCACTTCCATCACCACTGCCCCCTCGAGGGCCTGATCCGCCGTTGAAGGTTCCCGGCGCATTTCCACAACCTGATCACCCACGACCACCTTCAAGGCCTCCTCTCCGGCACAAGAAACGCATGAGCAGCAGTTCCAGTTCCTCTAACGAGTCAGAAGAGAAGGTAGTCAAGATACTACCAGTCCCAGGGCCCAAACCAAAGCCTATGCCTCCCCCTCAGGCCCCAGCCCCATCTTCACGGTACAGCACCAGATTATTCTGCATCTACGCAAAAGACCTCCAACTCAGTCCACGGCTGCACCTCGCCAACGCTTACAAACCCGGTGGGAACGGTAAATGTCCCTTTTGCCGTACACACATCACCATCCAACCAGGAAAAGCCTGGGAAATTGTCGTCGATGGCTGTAGTAGGAAAGTAGGACAAGGTTTTGTTGAGATCGCATCTCGAACATTTCGCATCAGAAATCGCTTCATTGTGAAATGTCATAGGGACACTGGAGGCTTTGCGTGCGTACTTTGCGCAAGATTCAAGGAATCGGATACAGTGTGCAGGGGAATTGAGTCATTGATGGATCATCTCTGGAGGGAGCATACGAGTGAGGAGTTGGAGAGGGATGTGGATATAGTGGAGATTGCCAAGGATGCTTGTTAAGTGGCGTTAATGTTTGTCGTGTTTGCGATAGTTTTGTGGTTTTCGACGATACCCTTGTAATTCGCTGCTGATGTATTCAGCGATCATTTCCTAAGATCTATAATATATTTCGAGCGTTTCATAAACTACATATACCATTCTTGCACAGTGTGGTCGTCGCATATGATAGAAGATCTACATGACTCTTACACATGAATACTTACAAAAGGCACGTTCTTGTGAGGTATCCCATGCTTTTGCAGCAGTAAATATGGTTCGGATTTATACCAAATGTCCTTATAAGACACCGACTTCAGTCGCACTTCGGAAGTACAGGCTACAGTAGTTAAACTAATATGCATAGAAAACATTAACGCCATCCCTTTTCAACCTCCGATTCGTCACCTGAAGCCACGCTCTAAGCGCCCAGGCGGATGCAATACACGCTCCTGCAAATGCGGCGTTGCTACTCATAGCAATCACATACTTGGGCCCATCGCTCGCAGGATACAGATAAGGCGTGTAGATAAAGCTAGCCATAGAGACCACGTTCACAATGGATAGTGACACTGCCTTTTTCTCCGTTGTCTGGCCAAGTGTGCCTGATACCCATCCGAGGATGACGGAGTTGACAGAGTAAACACCTATAGTATTATACGTTAGTTGCTAGTTTGTGGGCGGGAGCAGAGAGGAATGACGAACCAGAAGCAAAAAGGAAGCAGGAGATGTAGCGTGCGGCGGTGTTGAGCGTGGCAGCACTAATAGCAAACCCGACGACTGCCAGTCCCATCATGGCTGTGATGTGCCATGTTCTATCATTGAATTTGCCGGATGAGATTCCGATGCCGATACCTACTGCACCAGCGACTAGCGATGGTGGAGCAGTCAAGACCAAAGTGATAGTGGTACTGAAGCCCAAAGATTTGACTACGGTAGGGAAAAACTGAGCAAGGTTAGCAGGTGTTGTATAGGGTTGAGGACATGTTCCATGCGACATACTTGGTTGAAGGATGTGGCGCTCAAATGCATATTCTGCATGAAGACCAGTAGATAAAGTCTTGGATCTCGCAGAGCTTGCATAAAACCAGCTTTGACACCTCTGCTTTGTTCCAGACCAACAGTATCCCTTTGTATGCGGTCGTGCGCCAGTTGTCGTTGCTCGGGAGTCAGCCACCTCGTGGTCAGCGGCTCATCCGGCAGCAAGAAAGCACAGACGATAGACACGCCCACTGTGACGATGCCCTCGATAATGAACAGCCATTGCCATCCATGCATTCCGTGCTTGTCGTCCAGCGTCGCAAACGTAGCAGCAGCGATGAGCCCAGCAAAAGACACAGCAAAGATGTTCCCGGCATACAAGATAGAAACTCTTGTAGCTATCTCTTTGCGGGTATAAAACATGCTCAGAATGTATAGAGCACCAGGGTAGAATGGCGCTTCTACGAAACCGAGGAAGAATCGTACCAGAACCAACCCAGTGTAGTTCTTGACAAGAGCTGTCAGAGCTGCTACACAGCCCCAGACTGAACAACACACGGCCATGTACAGAGAAGGTCGCACTTTCTTAGATGACATGAGCATGTTGCTGGGGATCTGAGCGAATAGGTATCCGACGTAAAGAATGGATATACAGGTGTTGTATTGGCTTCCGACTAGGCCAAGGTCGTCTTCGAGGCCGTTCAGTCGTGCATTCGCTATCGCATTCTGGTCGAGCTTGTTGCTAACACCAACGTGATCAGCAGATTCTTACAGATGAGGTTACGAAGTTTGGAGGATTTAGTGACGTACAGAAAATACATGCAAAAGAGTGCTGGCATTACTCGCATGTCAAGCTTGCGTACCAGTGCGATCTCCGCTGGGTCCGTTTTCGCGATCGCGCCACTATAATCTGCGCCATCGAGCGCAGATTGGGCTTTGAGATCCTTCTCCGATGTTGCGACATCGTCGATTTGCAGTGGAACGTTTTTCTCGGTATCCTCGTAATGGTTGGGGTTGGTGCTGGCCATCTTTGACAGTGGTCAAAAGTGCAAGTTATATGTTTAAGTCATACGCCAAAGCTCAACTTGATTTTTCGACGAGAGACGAGATGATTGAAGATTGCAAGGAAAGTCTTTGCTATATACCCCAGCTGGACGAATGTTGCCCAGAAAGTCCACGACCAAGCTTGACCCCGGACTTTCCCCAGACCCCAAGTTCTTTGTCGCGAAGCGGAGGAAACATGGGGAAAACGAGGGCGTTCGCATCATCCGCTACCTTTGAGAAGAGTCCAGTGGAAAACCCTAATAATTGGCCGTGAGAACCGTCGGCTTCTCCAGGGTGGAGAGCGGCTTGCGGCTGGTGGACACTAGTTCGGACAAAGTCAAGTCCGGGATACCTTAGCCGTCCATTGGGCGTCCTATAGGCGCTACATCGGAACAATCCAAGTCCATACTACTCGTACGACACCAAGACTGGTCCAAAATCGCATGTCGGGGTGAGTTCTCGCAGGACTACTGCGGACTTACCCAAGTCCGCGTCCCTAACGCGCGCTCGAGATGGAGCACGAAGTGACACACGGGAGTGAGATCGCCAAACGGTTGCCGCTCGGCATTCATGTGCGACGGATAGCGAAATACATATAGTGCAGGTAATCAGCCCAAGTCTCATCATCATCATCAAACGCAAACCAACACACTCCATTCAGATCTACAGTGGACTCTCACTTCCTACCTCAACACCAATACTTCTCACCACTACAATGGGTTCAATGCCTGAAATCAAGCAAGCTCCCCAAATTGACCTAGCAGGTCTCGTCCCTGCGCCGGTTACCCCATTCAACAAGGATGGCTCGGTCGACTACGCAGCCATTCAGCGCCTTGGCTCATGGCTCGGCAGTATCCCAGGCGTAAAGGGACTGGTGGTCCTTGGACACGCTGGCGAGGGCACCTTCTTGACTCAGGAAGAGCAAGTAGACGTCATCAAGGCCTTCGTCAAGTCCGTAGACAACAAAATACCCATCATCGCTGGTATCACTACCGAGGGTACTGAAGTGGCTGCGCTCGAAGCCCAACGCGCAAAGGCTGCTGGCGCACAGGCAGGTCTGCTTTACCCCAGCCATGGTTGGCTACGCTTCGGATACCAACCGGGAGCTCCACAAGACCGATACAAGACCGTGTACGAGAAGTCTGGACTTCCCCTCATCTTGTTCCAATACCCCGACAACACCAAGGCTACCTACAACTTGGACACATTACTTGAGATTGCCGCGCAACCTGGTGTTATCGCTATGAAGAACGGTGTCCGCAACATGCGCCGCTGGGATGTCGAAATTCCCATCATCAAGAAGCAAAACCCCGATTTGACAATCCTCACATGCCATGACGAATACCTGCTGCACACGTGCTTTGATGTTGACGGCATGCTTGTCGGATATGGCAACATCGCCCCTGAGCCGCTGCTGGAGATGATTGAAGCTGGCAAGGCACGAGACTACCCACGCGCGAGGGCTGTTCATGACAGACTGCTCCCAGTCACCAGAAACGTTTACCATCGGGGCTCGCACATGGAGGGAACCGTTGCACTGAAGCACGGTCTGGTGGCGAGAGGTATCCTGGAGCACGCAACAGTACGGAGTGGTCTCTTGCCATTACAGGATGGCGCAGAGCAGGAGATTCATGCTGCGTTCAAGTCAGCCTCTTTGGGCAAGGTAACGGCGCCGAAATCAGGTTGATTAGTTGTTGACTTTCTTGCATATGTTCCAATAGTAGCTCAATGGAAATTTTGATCATAATAAAGAGAATTGCCGGGCATTCCCGAATCGTTTCCAAACCAGTAATTGATGTCTTCACCATTAAAAAGATGCATGATCTCTTCGTTGGGTAATGGATTATCAGAATATTGTTGCGCAATACCAAGGAAGTTGCCTGCGCCCGCAAGGTAGTCAGTTCCCAGGCTATTCACAGCTTGCACATCCGTGTGGTGCAGGTTGACGTTCGGAAAACTTGACTCGTTCGCTGTGTTCGTAAAGGTTGTAGAAGAGGATGCTGGATGTAACTGGTTGTTCAATCTCTGCGGCTGTCCTACTGGAGTGTTTGTGCCTGTCACTGGATTGGGTCGTACTGGTGTGTGATTTGCCAGACGAGCTTCTGATGTTTGTCGCTGAGCTGGCACATTACCAACTCCAAGCGAAGAGTTACGAGTTGAACGAACTGCCGTCCGCAAACCGTCTCCAGACGTGTTCGTGGAGCCCCGATTCGATTGCTTGTCCAGTCGCGCAGCAAGATTCTGGACGGCGACGATGCATGCATCTGGCCAACTCGTACCCCTCGAAGATAAATGCTTAAGGATTTGCACACTTCGATCCGACAGCCTCAGTGCGATATCGCGCGAGACTTGTTCCTCTGCAGCGGCGGATAGAATGATGAACGTACTCATCCACACTGCCCAAGTAAATGAGGGCCAAAGCAGAGGGGTTCTCTCATACCCATGCTGACCAGGTGAGCCATCGAACGCTCCAAACCCCCGGAGAGCTTTATGCAATGTGTTGATTATAGAGCGTGAGGCTGATATACATCGTTGCAGCGCCGCATTGTATGCTGAGTTCTTCTTCGATGTGGCTAATACTGAGCGATGTAGAGCGAGGACCGACTCAAAGCGAAGGACAATGAGAGTGACTTGATGTGTTTTGGATATAGTCTGTGTTTGTTGGTCATCGGAGAGGTGTTCATCGACCGTGTTCCACCATTTGGTGTGCTCGGCTTCTACTTCAAGGGCTTGGTCGATATCGTCGGTGCTACCATGTAACATAGATTGGTGTCGCGTTTGCATAATAGACCCACGAATATCAGCGTGTCGAGCGAGAAAGTCCAGCAAGTCTAGTCGGTTATCGCGCTCGAGGTCTAGAGAAGAATTAGCCTTGGCACACTTGAAATCTCATTCCTTGCGTACATACCATCTGTTTGAGGCTCCGATTCAGTATGCTGCTCCGTGTGCGGATAACAGACATTGGCCTCATCCGACCGTATCCCTAGTGGAGTGCCGAGCCGTATGCATATGTGTCTATCAATACAGATTACAGACCAGAAAAGTCGTTTCCTTAGCTCTGCTTCTTTGCTTGGTATCGGTAGTTGCAACGGACAACGATGTAATCCTAGCTGGAAAGCCATACGAATAGCCAAGCCTTCCAAACGGGAAGCAGCATTATACCTGTGCATCGTAATCAGAAACAACTGTACGCTGACAAGAGCTTGTAATGAGAGAATAGAGCTTTCCTCAGTCAGCACCAGTTGTACGCTCCGGATGGCATCGTTGATTGAATGGAAGACAAGGATTGCAGGCATCAGTTTGCTTGCGGGGCTCATTTGTCGCCGATCATGGATGGATATTGACATGATCGAGCGTACTATAATGTGTTGGAGTTCGTTTGATGTAGATTGAGCTGCGATGCGAACGCCTCTCTGCGCTATTTGACGAAAATAGTCGAGGAGTGACGGTGCATGAAGGAACGGAAAAGCAGGATGCCAATGGTCGAAGTAAGACTGGCTCCATTCGAGAAGGTCGTCAAAAGCAATCGTCGGCGTGACGCTCTCTAGTTCAAGCGGACGCACTTCGTCCAGTTTCCAGAGCCATCTTGACGCACTTTTTGCTGCGCCTGCAGGTAACTGATCATCTTCTCCAGGCGCAGCATCACTCTCTGGCGTATCGACATGACGAACGGACGCCTGGTTTGCCGCGACATTACCTGCGCTGGATGGAGGTCTGAGGTTACTTCCAGGGCTGGTGCCGAACGTGTTGCGATTATGATCCTGAGGGCTCGTTCCTTCAGTTCCAAATTCCCGAAGCTGCTGACCCATCGTCTGAAGAAACGCTCTGCGTTTCCTCACAGCGCCGACATCGGGCGCCGCTGTGTTGGATTCCGACTCATCGTGATGAGCCTGTCGCTTGTTGGACCTCGCGGTGGCTTCGGCCATCACCTATGCGGCAGTCCCAAACACATCAAGCTTGGGACATAAGCTGCAGCCGTGTTATGGCTAGTGCAGCTGCGATGATGTCTGCCGAGTCCGACGCGAAGTGAAATGAGAATGGAAGAGGCTGGGGTGTGTGTGACTTCGGCATCGGCAAGCGCGACGAAGATGACGCTTTAGCAGGCTATGGAGCCAAATGACGTTAGCGTTGTGCGAGTCAGTTCTGGGGGGCTGGAAGCTGATGCACCGTCGAACCATGTTTGACTTGCTACATGCACTTGTTTTTACAATTTCAACTTTCTATATTATGGACCCAGAGGTATCGCTGCCAACATCCAAATACCCTCAGAAATACTTGCGCCACTGTTCCGTGGTTGAAGACCGCGAGTAGAGGGCCGTGGTGTGCTGTACTGAAGGTGCCGGACGCTCCAACCTATCATCGTGGTACCCTTCGCTTGCGAAATTCCTCACCGGCGGCACACCTGCCATGTCCTGGATCTGATCTTGGGTGACTGAAGCTGGTTCTATGTTTTCTGATATATCTGACACTGCCTGCCACGCAGATCGCGTTGGCTGGGGCTGCTGTGCAGGTGGGACGTTCAACCGCTCAATGGCTGATAGTTGTAAATCCTCATACTGTGCCACTGCTGGACTCGACTCCGTTACCCACGGCTCTGTCGATGCTGGGCTGACTTGGGCGATATAGCTAGCATTCGCTTCGACACCCTTCGTCAAAACATCTTGTCTTTTGGACCACCAAGATAGACGCTCCTCGTCCGTGTTGAGAGGATGACGCTTCCATTCCTCTACCCTACTCGACTTAGCCTGCTTTTGTACACTCTCTGCTAACACCCGACGATCTGTATCAGAAAGGCGTTGCGTTTCGATCGGTACCTGGGAGCTGTAGATGGTGGAAAGAAGCTCCAGCACGACGAACTCAGTTTCGAGTAAACGCTGTTCGATGAATGATATGTATCCCGAGGGGATGCCTCTAGCACAACAGTCAACTTCATCTCATGCAAATCGTTCTTCTCGTACCTTTTATTAATCGGCGGATACCGACACGAGGTTCCTGCAGATATACATTGCGAGCAGACTGGCAGTTCACGATCGCACTGTGAACGTTTAGTCAATGTTCCCCAGATTGAAGGTATAGTGTGAACCTTTGACTTCTTGTTGCGACAGGACTCGCACGCGATCGGATGGAATGCGCCGGATTCGTTCTAGTTTGTGTGAGAAGGTTGCCAAGCATGATAATCTGGGGTATTTGAGACTACTCACCATGGCATCGGCGCTCCATGAGCACCGCTGGCGACAAGCGGTTCTTTCTTCGTGCGTTGCCGGACTTGACTTTGTCCTAGCGCGATACCCCACTAATCGCTCGGAACAGCATGTGCGGGGGCGTTGCTCAGCACACAGGACTACCAGAAACAATGAAGAAAACTCCAGAAAAGACGCGTTTGTAATTTGTAAGACAGTTGGGTCATGCGACGGCTGATTATGATCCAGCATACCCTGCAAGACGCAAGTCGTGAGACGTCATCTCAATTCTGGAGTTTACCATCACTCACTCCTTGAGATACCTTAACCCACTTCTAGTACTTCCAGCCTTTTTCTCAAGCTTCGACTTCTGCTTCTGAGTGACCGAGAGCGTATAGTTTTCTTCGTCGGTTGTTTCCTTCACTACCACCTTTCTCTGCGCTTTACCCGCTACTTTACCTGCAATAGTAGCTTTCTTGGTCACTTTCTTAGTCGCTGCTTTAGATTTCATGACCTTTGATTTCGTGGCAGTCTTGGCTTTGACAGGAATGACCGCGGCAGGAATTTGATTGAGAGCTTCTGTGACATCGCCTTCGCCAAAGTCGTCAAGTTCATTAGACTCCTCAGCCACGAAGGGAACGGGTCTATCTGAAGTTGCTTGCGCTCTAGTCCGAACAGAGCTCCTCAGTACAGAGGATTTCACAGGCTTCGAGCGTTTGTGATCAACAGTGTAATCCTGTTCACTGATACTGCGTTTGCGCTTGGTAAGTTTCTTCGTAGTACCCTTTTGGGTGACGAAGCTGATCGAGTTCGGGGCAACTTGCGGCTTGGAGGACACGAGAGCAGCAGGATTTTTAGGACTGTTACTTACGCGCTTCTCTATGACTGCTTGTGGATGAACGACAATTTTCTTTGTTGGTGAGTCAGGACTTGGAGGCACGGTACTGACACCACTCTGACGTCTCGGGCTACGCTCAAGCGATGTTGCGCGCTTCCGATTGATCTTTCTTACTATGGGCGACGTGTTTTGAGCTTCCGATGTAGGTGGCACCAGATTTGTGTGCTTTGTTGAGCTTTGAGGGTGCTTTGAGGTCTGCTTCGTCGAGGTTCCAACTGCGGGTCCCTTCCGAGTACTGTTTGCGGAACCACGCTGAGAAATGTTACCTTTGATAGTATTGCGAGCCTTGGTAGGTGTTTTGTTAACAGCATGACGAATCGCTGTGGGATCTACTGAGTTCATGTTAGTTTATAATTACTCAGAAGGATTTCATTGCTTACCTTGAGCCCCCACTATAAATTGCTCCAAAAAGATTCGGGGAGCATATCGATATTTTCCTTCCACACTCACTTCGTCACTGCTCCTGTTAAGATCTTGCACAACTTTTTCAAGGCTCTTTTGTGTTCCCAGCCGGTTGACCTCTTCTTCAACGATTGCGCTAGCTTTCGGAAGCTTGAAGCGCGATCCAGACTCATATGGTGGAAGAGTTTTGTACTGCCGAAGAGCAGGATGGTCGAAAGATACATTAGTCTCAACAGTCTGGCCCTCTGCTTTCATCTGTCTGCCAGATTCCGAGATATCGTAGTTGATTTTGAGACTCTCCCAATGCGCCAGTTGGAAGGTTTCAGGAAACGGTAGTGAGGCTGGATAGTCCTTGTACCAGCTTTCGACTTCGTTGTCCGGACCGCCATATTTGAAAACACGCTCGCTAGGCACACGATGTCCTCTCTCTGCTGCGGGTCCTTTTGTTGCAGACACTGGCATGTGAGGCTTGGAGTGAGGCTCATCCAAACCGTCACCCTTTCGGTAAAGAGCTTCTGCTGCAGATGGCGTGTAGTATTCTCGTGGTTCCTCTGCACTCTCCGGCGCAGGTGATTTTCTATTGGACATTGATGGCGAATCTTCTTCTGATGAATCTTCTTGGGCAGCTTTATCAAAATCGAGCTGTGCCTCACTGACCATGTCAAGTACGCGATTGAATAGTTTAATGTCGAAATTGCGTCCTTGTTGAGTAAGTGGCAGAAGAAGAGAATTGTCGATACGATCAACCCGGTCCATGAACGTAGCAGGGGAATCACTACCTCCTTCCTTGACAAGATAATTAATTGCCTGAGCTAGTCGGCGATCGTTGGCCTCCCGCTGTGTCGGCTCCTCTTTGCTGGTTGAGGTAATCTCTTCCAAATCTGCGATATCGATGAGCTCCGGAGAATCGGCGGCACCGCGGTCTTGGTTCTTGAACGTCATCATGCGATTAGAAGTGGCAAATTCGATCTGGGAAAGTGTGTGCTCGCTGTTGATTTGGGCACGTTAGCAGACGACAGCTCAATCATGCACGTGTAGCAAACAAACCAAGACGTCTTTTTTCAGACGAATGTCGATTCGACTCGAGTGAAGAATGGGCAGACTATCTTGTCACGAAAGCGAAGGGCATTTGAATGCGAAACAGTGAAGATGCGTCTTTGTCACGGTACAGAGGTAGTGGACAAAGGCTACTTGAAGCAAATAGTTGTTGTGCTGGCCGCAAACGGCTGTCCATGTCGAGACTATATGATGATTGATGCTAGCTGCTGTCTTGTTTTTGCGACAATGGGCTCCCAGCTTGGATGATGCAGCCATTGTGTTGTAGATGGCCGGCGGTGTTCACCTGCTGTGTGAGGGTGGTGGTAGTATACCGCGGCCAATCAAAGCCATGTATGCCCTGTCGCTCGCAACGAAAGCGAGCGCGGGATGTGGCTTTCTCCTTGGAGCAGGAGAGGTGGCCCATCTCTAGGCGATGAGGGGAAAGCAGCCACAAGGCGTGGAGGAGGGAGAAGGTTGAAGGCTTACTCGAGGAATAACGGGGGTGCCCTAACATGTGCCTCGGCTCCACAGCTCCCATGGTGCCCCTAGCCTGTGAGGTCAAACGTCACTAGCTGAGGACAGGGAGCGCTGCGGCAGTTTGGTCAATTAATAGTAAGAGGATGTATCCTCTTCTTCCAGTTTCTCAGATTCTGCAGATTGTGACATTTTAGCATCTCTCACTTACCTTACAGTTGCTTTAACTCTATTGGCCGCCGGCCATGTCAGGTAATCTCGCGTCATCCATGGACCGCGCCGCATCCTGCAGCTCGCTAACATGTCTCACTACCAGTTCTCCCTCTCGCCCTGCCTGCAGCAGCAGCTGGTCTTGCATACCTCAACGGTCGCCATGGCTTCACATACGACTGGCCACTACTTTCTTCCTTCGTTGGCAGCAGCGTCGCCGGCGCGCTGCAAGAACGACGCGACACCCTGAACCTCTTCTACGAACTCGAGGCGCATGCCAAATCCTCTTCGCGCGCAAATCACGCCTGGATCATATTCCAGGGAAAGACGTGGACCTATGCCCAGGCTTACGATGTGGTGCTCCGCTATGGCAACTGGCTCAAGAGCAAGGGCGTGGAGAAGGATGAGATTGTCGCAATGGACTTTGTGAACTCGGAGGTCTTCGTGTGGGTCTGGTTTGGCCTCTGGAGCATCGGTGCGAAGCCGGCTTTCATCAACTACAACCTATCGGGCAAGCCGCTGGTACACACAATCAAGACGAGTACGGCGCGGTTGGTGCTGGTGGACCAGGAGAGCAAGGACAAGTTCAGCCAAGATGCGCTCAAGGAGCATGGCCTCACTCGTGTGCAGCACGCCGACAAGGTCAAATACACTTTTGAACAAGAGCAATCGGACGTTCCACTATCGGTCAAGAACCAGGCGCACACCCCCCAGGCTGCTGTCGAAGCAGGTGCCGTCTCCGAACCCTTGACCGCGCAACGAAACCTCGAAATCATCTTCTTCGACGATGCCCTGACCTCAACCATCCTCACCCATCCACCCACGCGCCTTCCTGACTCGTCTCGCTCCGACCAAAAGCGCAGCAGCATGGCCATGCTCATCTACACATCCGGCACGACAGGCCTCCCTAAACCCGCCGTAATGTCCTGGGGCAAATGCGGCGGCGGCGCCAAATTCGCCGCAAACTGGATGTCCCTCAAGAACGACATAGTCTACACATCCATGCCGTTATACCACAGCTCAGCCTCCGTCCTTGGTGCATGCGCTGTCCTGCGCGCTGGTAGCACAATCGCATTATCCAAGAAATTCTCGCACAAGACATTCTGGCCTGAGATCCGCTCCTCACACGCTACAATCCTGCACTACGTTGGTGAAACATGTCGCTACCTTCTCTCTGCACCGCCCTCCCCATTAGACAAGCAACACAACATACGGGCCGCCTTTGGCAACGGCCTACGCCCAGATGTCTGGGAGCCATTCAAACAACGATTCGGCATAGAAACAATCTACGAGTTCTACGCTGCAACAGAAGCGCCCGGTGGTCTCTTCAACCGCTCCACAAACTCCTTTTCCAGTGGCGCAATCGCCCGAAACGGGTCGCTGGGAAACCTTCTCATGTCGCGCAAACTTACCCTCGTACGCATGGATCCCAATTCCGACCCCCCGGAACCTCTTCGCGACCCCGTCACCGGCTTGTGTGAAATCAGCGACTACAACGAAAACGGCGAACTCCTCGGTAAGCTGGACGCAGCAAATATAAAAGAGGGTTTCCAGGGCTACTATGGGAACGAGAAAGCTACAAACTCGAAAATCATCAGAGATGTCAAAGAGAAAGGGGATGCCTACTTCCGTTCGGGCGACCTTATGCGATGGGACGACGAAGGAAGGTTCTGGTTCGTTGATCGCATTGGCGATACCTTCCGTTGGAAAGCGGAAAACGTATCTACAGCGGAGGTTTCAGAAGCCGTGGGCAAGCATCCAGCGGTTGCCGAGGCAAACGTCTATGGTGTCAGTGTCCCTGGACATGATGGGCGGGCTGGGTGCGCAGCCATTGTTTTTGAACATGGCGTTGGCGAGGTAAATGACAAGCTATTGCAAGAGCTGGCACAGCATGTCAAGAAGGAGTTACCGGCGTTTGCGGTACCTGTTTGGATCAGAGTAACGAGGGAGATGCAGTTGACAGGAACAAACAAACAACAGAAGGTTGAGCTGCAGAAGGAGGGAATTGATCCGCAGGTCATGGAAGAGAAGGGAGACGTACTGTATTGGTTAAGGGACGGCACTTACAGGAGATTTACCGTGGATGATTTGAAGAGCATTGAGAGGGGAAACGTGAAACTTTGAGGATAATGGAAGGTAGTTTGGCTGTTGTAAGATAGGATAGAGTAGGCATATATATGATACCAGATGATTCTACATATACCTCTAATTATCTGGCTGTTTTCCCTTTCCGTGTCTTCCTGGGCTTTTTCTTCGTAGGTTCCTTGTAGAGCTCGTCTTCCTCTTCCTCTTCTTCGATATCCGCGGCCACATCTGCCTCTTCCTGCTCGGCCAGGGACACGGGCTTACTCGCAGCTTTTCTCTTCTTCCTCCCCGTCGATCCACTAGCTGTCGCATTCGCACCTTCAGTCTCTCCATCCTCAGTCGCTGCCGCATCACTCCTCCCCGCTAATCGAGTCAACGCGGCCTCCATTCTCTTTCCCGCAGCTGACATGCCCTTCTTCTTCCCACTTGGTCCGCTCTCTGCATTCCTCACTCTCGGCGCAAAGGCTCCCGCTCCAACGCTGCCCTCAAAGAACCTCGTGATGTTTGCCTGCGTACCTTCCTTCTCCCTCCGATTCATGTCCCTAATGACAGGAACGAGCACCTCATCCGTTCTCTCAGAACTCCATCCAATCTGGGAACTCAAGAATGTGCGCAAAGCAGCCAGATCAGGAACACCCCATTGGAAGGGCTCAGGATCGCTATCGACCTCAGGATGAAGATAAGCTTCCGCAACACGAGGATCGGGAAAGGTCGGCGGCAAGAACAGTTTCGTGGCCTGATTCTTGCGGAACCTTTTTCGGAAAGGCTTTTTAGCATCATCCTCTTTCTTGATAGTTCCATTTTGAACGCCATCCCACCACAATCTGAATGACTCTAGGTCTTGGAACTCGGAAAGGATCTCTAATGCGGTGACAGGTCCGATGCCAGGGATACCTGTTGTGTAATCACTGCCGAGCAATTGTGCGATGGCGATCATTTTCTCACGTGTGAGGCTGAATTCGTTGGTGAGGTCTTGGGCAAGGTAGCATTCGACGAATTTGGCTGCATTGAACATGTTCTTGTAAACACGGGTACCGCCGAAGAGGAAGGTATCGGAGTCGTCGGTTACAATGCCGTCAACAAGACCAAGATTCACAAGTTCGGCGCATTGAGCTTCTGCTTCCATCGGAGCTGTGATGTATGGTAGTCCGAATAGGGTCAGTAAATGCTGACACTCTGTGATCATAGTCTGAGTAACTTCATCGGCATCTCGACGGTCTTTCTTCTGCTGTGCGCGAAGTTGTTTGAGCTCATCGTCAAAGTTCACTCGAGCGGCAGTATTGTTGCTCACTTCCTGAGCGAAGCGTGCGTGCTCTTCTGCCTCTTTTGCAAGGGATGCAAAAAGCTCTTCATCCTCAGGGTCGGAGTATTGATCTGACTCGTTGCCTGTCAGCATTTCAAGATGCCCATGGTCGTCCGCTACGCCACTGTGAGGCACAATAGGCTTTGTCAAATCGTCTGGGCCTTGCAAGGGAGAGAGTTCCCTCTGAGGTCGATGTGGCCTTTGCTGACGGATCGGGACATCTTCGAATACGGGAGATGGGGACTTTGGTGGTACAGCTTCTGCGACGGATTCGTTTTGCATAGGCACATCCTCGAACTCTGGCGATGGCGACTTCGTGGGCTCAGGCAAAACATTGATCTCTGTCTGCATCGGTACGTCCTCGAATTCCTCTGATTCTTGGGAAGGAGACCTTGAAGGCTGCTTCGCAAGTGACTCTGATATCTCGCCATTAGTCGCTTTCTGTTGTGCACGTTTCTCTTCTTCAGGTTCGCTTTCGGACCAATCTACTGGCTCATCATCGGAATCGTCCGCAAATGGAGTTTTCTTTGTCAAGGCAGGATCCTGGCGAGGAGGTGACTTCTGCTGCGGAGAGAGCGGTTTGGGAGGTTCTGCTTTGATTTTGTCGGCAAGATCGCCCATCCTCAACTCAGGGTCCTCAATTGGCACGTCTTCCATTTGCGCATCAGCTCCTTCATCCGAGCCGACTGCAGCTACTTGCTTCTGGCTCTGACTAGCGGGCGCGTCGAGGTCGATAATTTCCTTGGTTTCTGCCGTCCGAAGGCTTGGGAGCTGCTGAAACTGAAATCTGGACTTTTCTTCTTGACGTGCCTCTTCCCACTGTTGCTTCTCTTCTTCCCGCTGAGCGTTCACTTCTTTTGCAATGTCTCGTTGGCCGCTGAACCATGGCGGGAGTGGCGCTGCAGTCTTCTTTTCTTGCCCGTAGTCCTTTTCAAAGCCTCCTGCGTTATCCGCTTCTAGTTTATCCATCTTCTTCTTGCCCAGGAGGGAGTTCCCCAAGTTGAGCCTCTCGAAAGGCAACGGGCCGTCAAATCCGGCAGCATTCTTTGGCTTGGTCGCAGGTTTCACAGCTGGTGCTGGGGGTGAATCTTGCTGTTTAGTTGATGGTTGTCTTGGTTTGACAAGTCGCTTCGTCTTTCGAGACTCGGCCAATGCAGCCTGGAGGTCCATATCGTCTTCGCTATCGCTCCCTTCAAAAGGGCCTTTCGGCGCAAGCTTGTTACTACGTTGATTTGCCAGCCTTGCGATAGCCATTCCAGAACCCTTCGTTCCAGCGAAAGGGTTGGCCTCAGCGGCACGCCTCTGTTCAAAAACTTCACGCACTGGGTCGTCTTCCGACTCGTCGGCAACGTCTTGCTTCTCTGGCTGCATCGACAACGCAATGGCTTGCTGCAACTGTTCGTTCTCGATATCATCCCCTGCGTCATCCATGTCATTCACGCCATCCACGGGCACGTTCTCCCAATCATCTTCTTCCTCATTATCATCAGCAAGAAATATTGAGTCAGGATCCTGGTTCACTGGAGCAGCTCTCTGCGGTTTGGACTGTGCTGTTTTCTCTTTCCTTGCCTTGTAAAGCTTCCTACGTCGCGTCGCCAGCTCGTTAGCAATAAACTCGCGACCTTCCTTCTCTTGCGCACTGAGGCTTCCCTTGGGCTTGGGCAATCGGTTGAGGCCTTCGATCGGAACGTCCTCGAAGTCTTCGTCATCCTCCCATTCTTGATCTTCTTCAGCAGGACGCTCTGGTAGATCCACATTGATCGGCTTGTGTGCTTTGCCCTCTTCCTTGTTCAACACAACTCCGAGCGCCCAACCGCCTTCTACTCCATCATTTTTGACAAGTACATATTCCCTGTCCCTCTCACCTGCGACGCGGTTGAATCCACCTGCTCCAAAAGCATCGTCGTTCATACCGTTGAGATTCATCAATCGTTGTGTAAGTTCGTTGCGTTCGCGTACACGGTCGATCTGGAACTTGGAAAACGCCATTCTGTCGGGAAACATGGCGTCGAGCTGTTCCTTCGAGTGCCCCATTCTGAGTCTGCTTCGCAACCTGGCTGCGTTCAAGATGTTGTATCGATCGGCTGGAGGCAGACTTTGGAAGAAATGGCCGTCGAAGTCAATCTTGGAGAAATCGTAGACATTGATATCCTCGCCTCTATCAAATTGGCGCGCGTATTCCTCTAACTCCTCAAGAGACATTACCCTGGGATCGTTCGCAGCGCCCATTTCAGACATGGACTTGCCCAGATCTGGTAGATGATACTGATCCTTCCTCTTAAAAGTGCGATTCTGCGCACGCTCCTGATCGTTCTGCAAGAGCTCCTCTGCATAGACCAAGTTATCGGGTATTTCTTCCTCCTGCTGCTGCTGCGGCTCTTCCCTAGGGTGCCTTGCAGCTTCTTTCCGCTTTCTGTCTTCCTCCTCAGCAGCCCTCTGCATCTGTATAGCTAACAGCTTCCCCGCTGTTCTGACTGCATCTTCGCGTCTTCCCTCACGGCGCGACTTGCGATTGCTGATAGTTTGTCGCTTGAGCGCCGGTGCGCCACCATCGAAGACGAAGACGGGCTTGATGCCGATGAAGAGGAGCTTGCATACTCGGCGAAAGAAACCAACAATATGGCTGTTGCGCAGCGCGTTTCCTTCCTTGTCTCGCACTGCTTTGAGGAACTGGTAGATCCAGATGGAGGCATCCACGGCGAGCCGCTTCTTGTTCAGCGTCTCGATCTTAATTGGCCGCGCGCAGGGCTGCAAGACAGTCCAGAGACCGGTGACACCCATGGCGATGTTCCAAAGACGCGGTCCATCGGTCTCGAGGGCTATGCGTTGTGGCCGTCTATGTGCAAGCAAGTTCTGACTGACATAGGCAGCCGTGTGATAGCGCGTCCAGAGCGTGTCCTCGATGACGACATGCCAAGCCGCCGGGTCTAGCCGTCGACGCGACTCTCACGTGCACGAGACACTACGCTCTTCTGCTCAGAAGGTTATACACTTTGTAGAAAACAAACGTTTTCGTAACTGAGAAACCTATTGCGAGACCAAAGTCCGAAACTAACTTTTTGAAAGATTTACCCATTAAAATTGTTTACAGTCTACTCTAGGTATAAGGCAAATGGAAACACTACAAGGCTTGTCCCTCAAGGCCAAGTCCTACTCCAACATTCTGCACTTCATCTTGATCGCCTTCATCATCGCCGAAATCTGCTGCCTCGCCATGATCGTCAGCATCTTCCATACCGGCATCCGTGCCACCAAATGCGCCCCCCTTGTGCTGCTGTCTGCGTCTAGAAGTGTCGTGAGATTCGTCTGCGTCGTCAGAGTTGTCGAAAACCTCGCTTTGCTTTCTTCCTTTGAGAACGCCTATCATGTCGCCGGATGGCCTGAATTCGAACATCGAATTCGGACGGTCGTGAATATATCGCGGATCGCGTGGGCGAGACTTGAGCTCTGTAGAGTGTGTTGTAGCTTGAGGTGACATGGCGGACCACCATCCGCTCAATCGTTTTCCCAGTGACGGACTATCAGGAACGTCTAGTTTTCCATCTGTGACTGCTAGTTCAGCTGGCGCATTCTTCTTCTTCTTGCGAGCGAACGTGAAGCCGAGAGGAAGATTCACGGGTGAACCAGGTCGCGATGGTTCTGCTGTCGACGAGGACTCTGATCCCGATGCTGGATACAGAGCACCACCTTCTGGACCATCGCTTCTTGTGCGCTTCAGCAAGCTGCGGAGGTCTTC